TTTGGCCCGGGGACCCGCCTGTCCATCCAGCCCAGTGAGTGCTCAGCTTTCCTGGGGCTCCTCTCCCCAAAATCCTTCCCTGCCCCTGGGGCACCCTGTGGGCTCTGCTCTGGTGGGAATGGCAGGGCAGATGGGGAGGAGAGCAGAGAGGCTCCTTCATTGATTGCTGCTGAGGTGAACCTCCAGCAGAGGATCTGAGAGGGGGGAAATTCACTGAAATTCCAGGGGCTCTGGCTTTGGGCTTGCACAAAGTGCGCCCAGCTCCAGGGGCACCCACGGATCTCTGAGCCAAATTGAAACCCCCCACACCCAGAGCTGGGGGTGCCCAGGAGGTCCCTGCAGAGGAGCAGGTCCCCCTGGTTCTGGGGAAGCCTTGCCAAGGCTGGGACTTGTCTCTCCGGGCCGCCCCAAATTGGGAAAGGCAAAGGGAACTGCTGCTTCTCAGGCAGCAGCTGGGGAACAGATGCTGCCTGGTGCAGGGAATGCAGCCTGGTGTGTCAGGGAGCTTTGCTGGTGCCTGCATTTGCAGGTGCTTTGTGCTTGAGATCAGGTGCAGGGCTGGCAGGGGAGTTTTTGCAATGGGATGTGTCAGGGTGTAAATGTGGCAGCCAGAGTCATTTTTGGCAAGGGGACGGTGCTTTCAGTCCTGCCAGGTGAGCAAGCCCTTGTCCTGGCAAGTGGAATTGCTTCATTTCTCTCTTGCCCTTGCTGGTTTGGAGGGGCACAGCTTTGGGAAGCACAATGTTTGCAGCCCTGCCATGGCCCAGGGGTCCCCTGCATTTGGGTTTGCCACGGGGCCCCTGCCCTCTGCTCTGCTCCAGCATCCAGAGCCTTTTTTCCAGGGACTCTGGCAGCATTTCCAGCAGGAGGATTTAGGATTTGCTCTTTAGACAAGGAGCTGGGGCCATGGCAGTGCCATGCTGAGAGTGCCTGAGCCCAGAGGAGCAGAGGGGAGGTTTAGGAGAGAGAGGCAGATGGATAAACTTGTGCTCAGAGCTTGTGTGTGCCTGAGCAAGGGCAGCTCTGGCATTGTGGCAGGGCTGTGCTCTGTGCCAGCAGCTCCAGCTGCCCTTGGCCCCAGGGCTCCATCCCCTGTGGGCAAGGCAGGGGCTCAGTGCCTGAGTGCTGCAATCTCTCTGCCCCAGCAATCCTGTCCTGGGGCTGGGCTGGGGCTGGGCAGTGCCAGCAATGGCCCAGCTGGAATGGAGAGCCAGGCTTTCCCTGCTGCAGCACCTCTGGCACTGCCAAGGTGCCTCCTGGAGCTGCAGATCTGGGCTGCTGGAAAGGTGCCCTGTGCCAGGGACCCTGATCCAGGCTGCCCCCAGGGCCTTCTTCCCTTCCCTTTGCCATGGCAAGCAAGCAGCCTTTGGGGCAGGCACCCCAAACTGCTCCCTGCTGACTGAGGGGGAGCTTCATCCCACCTCTGACACCTTTGCTGAGCACAGTCCAGTGCTGCTATCCCCAGGGACTGAGCAGAGAAATGGGCTTTGGTCTGGAGTGGCTGGATAGATGAGCTGAGTCCAACAAGGTGAGGTTTAACAAGTCCATGTGCCGGGTCCTGCGCTTTGGCCACAACAACCCCTGTAGCGCTACAGGCTGGGGACAGAGTGGCTGGACAGCAGCCAGGCAGAAAGGGACCTGCAGGGACTGATGGACAGCAGGCTGGACATGAGCCAGCCGTGTGCCCAGGTGGCCAAGAAGGCCAATGGCTCCTGGCCTGGATCAGGAATGGTGTGGCCAGCAGGACCAGGACACTAATTCTTCCCCTGTGCTCGGCACTGGTTGGGCAGCACCTCCAGCACCTTCAGTTGGGACAAATATGATTGGGGGGAATATTAAGAAGAGTGTGTTTGGGAGTGCAAAATGCAACAATGCAACCACATGAAAAGAAAGTCAATAGTTGGAAAATCCCAGGAAAAATGGATCTGTATTCATAGAGATAAACAGGATTTCTTTTGGTGGATTATTTAATTGCTGAAGGCTCCATTCAGTGCTGCTCTGGATATTGTAAAGGCCTGTGCTATTGTGTCGCTCTGGATATAACTACAAATTCACATTTGGATCTGGGACGAGACTTCTGGTTTTGCCAGGTACATTTACCCTGATGTTTTTACTAATTTGCAAGTTGGTTAATACACACCAAGATCTGGGGATTGGCAGCTGTCAAGGGCATTGTAGTCCACCTCAAGCAGTGGCATTTAGCTCGGGGCAGCTGTCCAAGCTGGCAGGCTCAGGCTCCCAGTGCTCCTCCTCTGACCTCCCTCCTGGGATCAGCTGAGACAAAGCCTGGTTCTGCTCTTCTGCAAAGTCACCCATGTGGATTTGTTCTCTCCTCAAGGGTTTATCCATGCCACTTGCACTGGCCTCAAGAAAAGTCATGGATTACACAAGTCAGCTGGAAATGCATTGAGAAGCAAGGGTGTTTATAATATTTGCACTGCTGGCCAAGAGCCAGGGATGTGTGCCCACAGCCCAGAAAGCCAAATCCATCCTGGGCTGCATCCCCAGCAGCATTGCCCAGGAGACTGAGGGATTGATTCTCCCCCTCTGCCCTGAGGAGACCCCACCTGCAGAGCTGTGCCCACCTCTGGGGTGCCAGGAGAGACAGGGACCTGCTGGATGGATTAACAGGAATGCCACAAAAATGCTCAGAGGGATGGAGCAGCTCTCTTGTGGGGACAGACTGAGAGGGATGGGGTGGCCTAGCCTGGACAAAGCTCCAGACAGAGCCTTATTTCAGCCTTTCAGTACTTAAAAGTCTTTACAGACTTATAAGAAAGATGGAGAATAAGTTTTGAAAGCAACCTGTAGTGACAGGACAGAGAGTAATGGTTTTAAACTAAAAGAGGATCGATTCAAACTGGAGTTAAAGAAGATTTTTTTTTACTATGTGAGTGGTGAAACACCAACACATAGCATGCATCTCTGTGCAAACCTTAAGATAAGAAATGCTGGCTCAGAAGTGCCATGGGATAGGACAGACATTGCTGAGAGAGAAATGGAACCAGAAACAAGTTTCAAAGGATGGCCTTGCAAATAAAACTAGATACTTTGGAGAAACAGAACTATGAAAGATGCATTACAGAAGGACCCACGAGGGGTAATTTTAGATAATTGGCTTTAAGCTGATAGGCCAAGAAACACTTACAGTGTATTGTAATTAGGAAATAGTTGGCTTCTGATTGTGATGGTGAATTATAACATCTGTATTGTCTCACCCTTCACATGAGAATGAAAATAGAATAAAAGTTTTTAAAACACCTCTCAGCTGCCCCATTTCTGGGTCAGAAAAGGGATTAAGTCAACAGGTAGTAAATACTGTGGAGAAAAGCTGGACTGAAAGGCTGTGGCCCCAACTGCAAGACTCAATGATCTGGAATTTTAGGTGATGGAAAAGCAGATCCATTCCTTGTATTGCCCCAAAATATATTACACCACACAACTGTTTCCAGTGAACGAATGAGCAATTTTTAAATTTGATGCCTATGTTTCAGATCCTGATAATTTTCTAGTAGATTTATTTGGTGCTTTGATAGTGTCTTAAGTCAGCATGTTTCATCACTGCTCCCTGAAGTCACCCCCTGCTCTGGTCTGGCTGCCAGGATGCACGACAAAAACCTGCCCACATTTTTGTAGAGGCTGGCACCAGTGTGCCAACCAGGGATACAAAAAACCCACATTTGGAACTGGGACCCAGCTTGTTGTTACCCCAAGTAAGTTTGAGCTTTCTGTTCCATATTAACACCAGGACTGGTACATCATTTGTTTATTGGGTGGATGTGATGCCTTTTGCTCTGGTCCTTGAATTAAGAGCCAGATGTGGTTAAGAGATAAAAGGGTTTTTATCTCAGTATTTAATAGGGATCCTTAGGTGCAATAATTCACCAAGGTGGAATACTCTGAAAAGCACACACATAGTACATTGTGTATGCAATTTTATAGACCTTGCAAATGAGCATATCTGGCAAAGATTCCCCAATGAGCAGCTTAAATGAATGGTGTGACATTTCCCTATTCTAATGTGTTCTCCCCAGATGAGCTAATCTTGGTTTACAGAATGTGTTCTGGAGAGAACCTTGGTTTCCCGGGATAGTGTAGGGTTTTCCAGCTGTGAGGCAATGTTGCCTCGTTGCCTCTGTTTTCTCTCTCCTTCCTCCTTGGTGGAAGCAGGATTAAGGGTCAGTAGACTGGTACAGAGAGCAGAGAGGTCTTAAATCAGATGTCTTCTATCTGCAGCCTTTAATGCCCCAAGCCCCTCTCTGCAGGGTAAAATTTTGTAAAGAAATTTGGTACAGGAGGTGGAACATGATGAAGCATTTTTTTGTTTCCCCCTTTTGTCCCTGAATGCAGCCCTGTGTTCCCACTTTGCAGTGGCTTTTTGAGCTCTCTGCTGTAGGAGCACCATCAGCAGACTGCTGATAAATGTGGACACCCTGAAGGTTTGGTGGGTCATTCACTGCCCTCGGGACACAGGCAGGAAGTGGGATTTTTGCATTTGGCGGATTTGACCAAACATTTGCAGAAAAGGCAGAATGGGTCTGGATTGTTTCAAGAATCACAAAATCACAGAATGATTTGGCTTGGGAGAGACCCAAAAGACCATGTTCCAGCCACGGGACACCTGCTGCTGGCCAGGCTGCTCAGGTGCTGTCACACACACCCTGGCTGCCCCCAGCCACAGTGACAGAGTCCAGCAGTTGTCCCCAAGAGGAATGGCTGGGTTAGGTATGGACACCAGGGTGTGGATGTCCACCAGCCTTTCCAGATGCTCCAGGGATTCTGCCTGGCCACTCTGTGCCTCACACACAACAGAAATAGCTTCTGTATCATCTGCTGTAGATGCTTTAATTTTCTAAAGGTATCCTGGCACAAGATCCCAATGATCAGGCAACTTCCCACTGGAATAATGGAGAAACCTGCATTTCCAAGTGGCTGTATGCAAGACTGCAGGAACTATGGATGTGTGATCTGACCTAAATCTTCTCTTCTCCACTTTGCAGAAATTACTCCATCTCCCTCAGTCTACAGGCTGACCTCCAAAGATGACCAGGGTCTGGAAATGTGCCTTATCACAGATTACTCCCCTGAGAAGCTCACTCTGAACTCAGCTGAGCAGCACACATCTGCTGTTGTGGAGGTGGCAACCATGGAGAACAGCGAGGAGTCCAGCTACCTGTCCACCTACTGGGCCAAGAGAGACGAGCTGCACTGTGCTGCCAGCCACGAGGGCTTTGGAGAGCTGCAGGGCGAGGACCCTGAGAGTGGTAATGGCATTTCTGGGGCTGGGGGCAGGCTTGGAGGTGCTCTGGGTGCTGTGTGAGCAGGACTGGGCTGCAGCTCCCAGCCCTGCAGGCAGTGCTCCACTACAGTCCCACAAGGCAGAGGAATGTTGCCTCGTGTCCTTTGTCTTCTTGTCAGATTAATCCCTTTTCTGACCCAGAAATGGGGAACTGAGAGATGTTTTAGAAACTTTTATCCCACTTTCAGTCTCATGAGAAGGGTGAGACAATACAGATGTTATAATTTATGGTATTATAATTAGAAGGCAACAATATAATTATAATTATATTGTAATTATAATTACAATACACTATAAGTGTTTCTTGGCCTATTATCTTTAGCCACCCCATGCTGTAAATGCCTTAAAACAAATCATCTAAAATTACCCCTCATGGGTCCTACTCCAATGCATCTTTCACAGTTCTATTTCTCCAAAGTATCTAGCCTTATTTATAAAACTATTCTTTGAAACTTGTTTCCAGTTCCATTTCTCTCTCAGCAGTGTCTGTCCTATTCCATGGCATTTCAGAGTCAGCATTTCTTCTCTCAAGGTTTCCACACAGCTGCACACACTGTGTGAGCCTTCTGCCAGGCTTTGAGAATTCCCAACAAATCCATTTCCCACATTTCCCCCTCTCTTTTGAACCAAAAAAAAATTTTGATTGTTTTGTTTATTGTCTCTCCTTCCTCCTTGGTAGAAACAGGATTAAGGGTCAGTAAATTGGTACAGTCATAGCAGAACACACTGTGGGGGGATAAAAAGCTTGAAATTCCTTTGTCCAAAGGGACACTGAAGTTTAATTAGATCATGTTTTATGCTTGACCTGAAAAAAGGAGAAAATAATGTTTATGGGAGAGTTTGTTGGCCAGAAATCTTAATTTAGTCCTTCTTGGCAGAGATATCTTCATAAACCTCTGAAGAAGTAAATTTTTGTTATTAATCAAATTTATTGTCACTCTCTGCAGATGCCAGTGCTGTCTGTGTCACAGGGCTATCCCTACAGTTCAGGACAGGTATGTAACAGCATTTTAGGAGAAAAGTTTGCCCTGACTAAAGCAAATGTCTTCCCAAGTGTTTGCTGCTGGTTTCCCCTGCTTGCAGAATTCTTTTTGAAGCAGCAAAAAGACAGAAAGTTTCCAAAAGGGCCCCCACAGGCTTTAAACATCAAGGCTGAAAGTCGAGGTGTTAATGCAGCCTTCCTGATGCAAGGTGATAATTTTCTGCCCACATGCTCTCGCTTTGACTCAGCACCGAGCTGCTGCCCACCCCCAGGTGCTGCAGTGAGCCAGCACTGCTGCATTTCAGCCTGCAGAGGAGTTGGGTATTTTGGCTGCACAAACACCTAATGGAACAGCAGCTAAGCAGGTGCTTTCTAATGAAGAATGTATAAAAGGATGGGGTTCTAATTAAGAATGTATAAAAGAATGGGGTTCTAACAAGGGATGTATAAAAGGATGGGTTTCTAATGAAGAATGCATAAAAGAATGGGTACTAAAATGGGTAATAAAACTCAGATTCAGCCTTCTGATGAGCCCTAGAGTCTGTGCTGCCTCACCCCGTCCCTGACCCAGCAGTGACAGGGGTGTCCCTCAGGCAGCTCTGCCCCAGCTCCCTGGGGAGGGGTCAGGGCAGGGCTGCACTCCAGGGATCTGCTGCTCTGCCACTTCAAACAGCAGAGCCTGTGCCTGCCCTGCTCACAGAGCAGCTGTGCTCTTGCAAATCTTTCCAAAACACTGTTTCAGGAAAATACTCAGCACTAAACACCATCATCCTTTCAGCCCTCTGAAAGGTTCTGAATATTAAAGATGCAGTGAGTTTTTGCTGACTGCTCCCTCCTCCACGACAGATCAATGTATTTTCAAGTATTAATGGCTTTGTAACTTCAGATTAATATAAAATTCAAATAAACTTATGTTCTGTGATTAAAATCAAAATTGCTTTTCCCCTTCCCATCTTCAAAAAAATGTAGAGAGGAAGGAGGGTTGCCTCCAGCATCCTGGATTCACAGTGCACAGTATTTAAAAGCAGTCAGGTAGCTGGCACACTGGCATATTGGATAATTAAGTGGTTATTGAATGGAAGAAATTAATGTCTCTGAGTCCTACTCCCCATCTGGTTTCCTGCCCTACCAGCTGACTCTATGACACAATGGAGCAAATTTGCTAAAAAGGGCTTTGCAGTCTGTCTGGGACACGAGGATGTCTCAGTGCTCTTGTGACTCTCATTTTCTGTTTTTTCCAGATGAACACTTGAACACACTGTCTTTGTCACAGCTGGGCCTCAAAATCGTTCTGATGAAAGCAATCATTTTTAATGTGTTGATGACGATGCTTATGTGGAAGAAAAAAAAGGTGAGGATGCCTGGGAGGGTCTCAAAACATCTGGATTGGTTCTTCAGCTATGTGGAACAGCTGTTTGTGCAGTCTATCCAGACCTCTTTTGTCTGCCAGCAGCAAAACCCCTCTGTTCCACTGGCTGTACCATTTTCACCCACCCCCAAGTGCTCTTCCTGGTCCATAAGAAATTTTTTTCCTTTCATGACATTTCTCCCTTCTATTTCTGCATCCATCCCTTTCCTTGCCTGCATTCATCCATCAGATTTCTCCCCTCACCTGTCTCCAGCTGGGAAAGTTTGATGGTTATTGACTTTAATATAAATCCTAATACATTGGCTTTTGCCCAGTGTTTTTTCTTCTTTCTTTTGCCTGGACTCTTCAGCTCTACAATTTTGCAGCTGTAACCCAAATAATGATTTATCACACCTTTGTTTTTGTTACAGGACTGAGAGTAACAAGGTGATGCAGTCCTGAAGTACCAAATCCATCTGCTTTGAGAGAGCATCTGAGCAAGAGGGAGCTCAGGGATTATTCTTTGTGCAAGGGACATCCCTTGCTGCTCTTATGTACCACACCAGCCATTATATTCTAAATTGCTTTATTTGCATTGCTATAAAACTACTCAAAATGAAACATTTCCAGCATTCTGCCCTCCAGATGTCTGGGCCTTTCACCATACAGTGCCTCTTTTGCATGAAGCAGACTTTGCTATAATCATACTTTGCCAACCACGTGTGTTATTTGCATTAAAGTGACAACTTCTGCCTGGAGCAGTGCTGTGTGTTAAAAACTGCCAGCTAAATATGGGAATTTTTCCTATTTTGATAGCTTTAGGGTATTCATATCTCTTAGGGTGCACCCCCAGAAACCTTTTTAGGTGCAAATGAAACACTTTGAAAAGCAAAGGGAGTCTGACTCAAGATGCACTGTCCTGCCACCCTTTGCTAGATTAGAACAAGATATCCCATTTTTTCCCTAAAGGTTGCGCTGCACATCTCCCAGAAGTCCTAAATTCAGCGAAATTGTCAAGTCAATATCACAGAAAAAAAAAATTTAAATGTTTTAAAGTCTATCTGACCATAACACCTTCTTAATTTAAACCAGTTTAAGATTTGTCTTTGTGTTTAGTAAAAATACAATCTTCTTTCAATGTCTAGTAAAAATACAATGTTCATAGAAAAATGTTCCTTTTGTTTACTTCTAACAACTTGAGATCTCCCAAGTCCTTTTTGTAACAATTGCATAAAAATGTACAGAAACATTTACCTGTCCATGTGTGCCCACCTTGGAACAGTGCTTGCCCATGGCATCTGCATGCTGCTAATTCATCAACTGTACTGCCACCCACAAGATGTCTTGGCATTTATTTAGGCTGTTATAAAACAATTCTTACAAAAAATGGGAAACTTGTTTGTCTCTTGTATTTGTTGTTTGAGGCATTGCTTCACCCTTTAGCTGAGCTCTGGGGTGCAGGAGGGAAGGGGTTGGATCCACCATGGAGGGAGGGAGCAAAGCCCTCGTGCAGGACATCTGTGCTGTGTGAGGAGGGTGGGGAGAGGGAAGGGAGAGCCCCTCTGCCCCAAGGACAGACTGAGCTGGGTGGAAAGAACAAAAACATGGCTTGGCCACACTCAGGGACTGGCCACAGGCTCCTGGAGGCAGATTGCTGCTGCTGTGGGGTACACAGGACCCTGAGGTGTGCTGTGCCCAAGTCCCCCACTGCTGAGCGTGACAGCAGCACAGGGCACCTGCTGTCCCTCATCCAGCTGGGCACAGCCTGCACGAGGAGCTGCTTTTGGCAAGGGTCACGATTCAAACACTTTTAGCCAAAAGCCCTGGTGCTTCCTGCAGGAGGCCCACGCCAGGATCTGACCCCACTCTGCTGGGCAGCAGCAGGACAGAGCCTCCCTGGACAGAGCCTCCCTGGGCTCCTGCCTTGGTCCTGCAGGTCCCTGGCACTGGGCAGGTGACCTGTCACAGGGGACAGAGCTACTGACCCCTCCTGACAAAGAGAACTTTAAACCTTCCCTGTCTATTCCCTGATTATTTTACAGTACAGGTGTTCAGGGACTTGTTCTTGTCTCTCCCTTGACACAAGCATCATTCTCATCTCTCCAGCTGGAGGAAGCCCAGGTTGATTAAGTGCTGGATTCAGGCAGCTCTTGCAGCTATATTCTACTCATGACAAAATCTGCTGTGTCACTGGGAAACAGCTTGAAGAAGCTGCCTAAAGCATATTTGAACTATAAAGCAAGTCATAAGTTATTGCATTTTACAGATTTCCAACTGATTAACCTCATTCCGGAAACTTTCAGGGATGTGAAAGAAAACCTTTCATACTCATTTACCTTTAGAATCACTTTTTTGAATTAATAACCATCATAAATTTTTGTTGCACTTCAAACTCACTCCCAGATGAAAGGGCAAGAGTTAAGGACTGTGCTGCTTCTGTTTCCACACCCGAGTCTTTCCTTTTCCAAGTTAAATTGACCTCAGGGACAGGATTTGCCAGGTGGGAGAATAGTTAAATAGTTTTGACTAAAATGGCTCCTGGCACTGAATTTGCAAGGTCTGCATCAAAGACTTTCAGATTTTAGGCTGCCAATCTCCCACCACCACAACGTGCCCCCCCTTCCCTGCATTTTCTTGTTTATTTCGAGATACAAAAAACCACAGAGCAAAGCAAAGCCAGGAAATAACACAGCAGAACAGGAGGTGGGAAGGGGCTGGTGGCCCAGCTGGGGCAGGAAGAGGCCACAGCACGAGTTCCATGACGCCACAATCGAGATCTGGGTCACCACTGATGCTCTCTACAGCTGCCCACAAAAACCACATCCTCTGGAAAGTGCAGCACGGAGGGGGCAGGGGTGGCACGTGGCAGGAGGGGGAGGTTGTGGAAAAGAACAGCAGCCGTTGGACCACAAACCAAAGGGGAATGGGGTTAAGGTGTCCTCCCCTCCCTGCCCTCACCACAGGCTGCACTTGGGGAGTTGTTTTGGGTACAGCAGGAAGGATTGAGCTATGAATAGAGTGGGCAGGGAAAGGAGGGCAGAAATGCATTATAAAGCATGCAGAGGTGATGCCTCAGGTTTCAGCTTTTATATTTTTCAGGTCCTGTGTTACTTTAGTGTGTGGTCTGAGCTTCATATGAGGGGATGGTGAGATCTCTGCACAGAGCAGAGACAAAACAATTCCTTCTCCAGCTGGGGACCAAGGACAAATGATCCAGATCTCAGCCCCAAGAGCACAAACAGCGTGGGCTGAAGAGAGAAAAACAAGCAGGATGGGACTGCCTGGGCTAAAGCTGGAATTGGAAAATGAACTCCAATATGCAAATGGGCCAGAAGTTATAAAAGTGAGAGACCCCGTGACCAGTGGGGCATTTTGTGACCATTTTGGTTCACCTGGGGTGCAGCCCTGGCTGGGCTCTGGTGCTGCCCAAGGTGGATCCATTGATACTCCTAATAAATCCCTACTTTATTCTTTAGCTCCTCCAGCCTCTGTTAGAACAGCCTCCTCAAGGCATCAGGGACAGCTCCTAGAATTAAGTTAGATTTCTGAATTTGCTCATAGTCCTCATCAAAATTTTTCCAGATTAAAAAATCCTTCCACTTCTCCTGACCCAGATGAGAGGGAAGATTGAAGGAGCAGGCCAGGGTCCTCTCACACTGTCAGAAAAGGAGGTTTTGCATGGTCCACCTTTAGCATCCTCTCTGCTATGTCACCTCCTGTCCTCCTAGGGGTAGGAGATGGATTTGTGTGTTTTCTTGGGGTTTTGTTGGAGAAAATATCCTGGCCAATATTTGTCACCTCTCATCAAACATAGCCCTGTGCACAAACCATTCTCTTATTTTCCTCCTCCTCCTTGTGTGATCAGGGACCTGAGTGTGGATTTTACAAGGACCAGAGCTTGAACATGTCAGTGGATTTGTTGAAGCTTATTCCAGTGCAGGAAAAGCTCTGACAGGACTTGGAAGGGACTTTAAAGATCACCCAGTCCCACCCCGTGCCATGGGCAGGGACACTTTCCACTGTCCCAGGTTGCTCCAAGCCCTGTCCAGCCTGGCCTTGGGCACTGCCAGAGATCCAGGGGCAATCACAGCTTCTCTGGGCACCCTGTGCCAGGGCCTGCCCACCCTCACAGGGAATATTTTCTTCCGGATGTTATAGATACATAGTATAATATTGGCTTTTTGCAAATATTAAATGGTTTTATATGTGTGGTGTTAAAGTAACTTTGTTATATAGTTTTTATTTCTGTTGTTAATTATCTTAGACACAGTAGTGAAATAGGTGATAAAAGTGTGCTTGTGTTAAAATGCCTCCTTGGATGGGATGACACCCAGTGAACACAGGATGAGGACCCTGCTACAGATCTACCAACCATCAGCACTCACTGAAGAGTGTGCACCAAGGCCCAAAACTGGAGGTGATGACCAAAAAGGATGAAAAGCACAACCAAGGAATATGCATGCTCTAAAAAGGTGAAACCGAGGAGGAGCCATGCTAAACAATTCTTGGAACATGTAAAGTAGTTTGGGGGAAAGTTTAGTATGCATAAGGGTAGTACGCACGTAACAGACTGAATATGCAACAGGCTGATGTAATTAAAAGGTATTTAAGGAGTATCTCCGGAGATAAGTGTGCTCCTGGCTGAGTGCAAAGAGGCACCAAATCATAATAACCTTTGCTCTGAGGTCCTTGTCTCCTATTGTCCATTATTAAACTTTTTACATTTTCACAGGAGAGTGAACGTGTTTTTCACACCAATATCTCATCCAACCCCCTGGCAGTTTGAACCATTCCACCTTTCCCTGTCACTACTTCGTGAAAAGTCCCACTGCAATTCTACTTTCCCTCAAGAATTCAACGGTCCAGTTAACAGCAACTGGAGGAATCCTAAGCAGGTAAGAAGCAGGGAAAAGGGGGGAAAAGAAAAACCTCCAAGGCAAAGCCTCGCATCTCCTCTGGCTCAGCTCCTGTGCAGTTCCGAGCAGCGGTCGGGGAGGGCCGGGCCCGGCAGCGGCTCCGTGCCCGAGCTGAGCATCATCCCCATGGATGTGGTGGTGGTGGTGCCACTGCTCCTGCTGCTGCTCCTGCTCCGCTGCCTGGGCACAGCTCGGGGCCCTTCTCCAGGCAAAGCAGAGCAGCAGGGGTCAGCCAGCACCCCTGTAGCCCTGCACCCCTGCAGCCGGTGAGTTCCTGGTGTGCTGGTGTTCCTCTGATGCTTTCTGATATTATATTCTGATAGTCTGTGTATCGTAGCCATCTCACTGTCACACGTGCTGTGACAGGTCCCTGCCTGCTCTCCCAGCACTGCTGCCACTGCCAACAACTCCAGGAGTGCTGGTGCCCGAGCTGGCATGAGTTCTTTGTCCCTGACACAGAGCCAGACCCATTGTCCAGGACAGTGAAAACCCTCACACCTCACAGCCCGTGTCAGGCAGGAAATTTGGGAGCCCCAGGTTTCAGACTTTTACAGGTTTAATGGCTGCAGCACAGCTGGAAATGTTAAAAAGGTGATAAACAGGAGCCAGAATAGAATTCTGGGAAGGTCTGAAGCCAACAGAGAACCAAAGTTCCATCAGTTCCATCTCCTCAGTGTAGCACACAAACATTTCCATGTCACAGAGTCTCAAGGCTCTCGAGGTTTTACCTCCCCAGCATTTCAGCTGCAGAGAAAACCAGAGAAGCATGAAGCAGGATCAGCATGAGGACAGAACCTCATGAAGGTTCTAGAGGGATCTGAACAGACTCGATCAGTGGGCAAAGCTCAAGGGCATGAGGTTCAGGCGCTGGTCCTGCACTGGGGGCACAGCAGGCCCCTGCAGCTCCGGGCTGGGGGAGGAGTGCTCAGCAGGAAAGGTCCTGGCAGTGCTGTTGCCGGCTGCTCAGTGTGAGCCAACAGTGTGCCCAAGTGGCCGAGAAGGCCAACAGCACCTGGCTTGTATCAACAGCAGAGCAGTGATCACCCCTGTGCTCGGTGTTGGTGTTGCAGCTCCAGTGCTGCATTCAGTTCTGGACTCCTCACTTCAAAAAGGACTTTGAGGGGCTGGAGTGAGTCCAGTGAAGAGCAACAAGGCTCACAAAAGGACGAGAAAATATTTCTCTTCTGGGGAATAGCTGAGGAAGCTGGGGTTGTTCAGTATGGAGAAGAGGTGGCTCAGAGGGGGTCACATCACACCTGAAAGGCTGCAGTGAGGTGGGGCTGGTGCCTTGTGCTGTGCCTGCAGAGAGAGGATGGGGAACAGCCTTGAGCTGAGACAGGAGAGATTCAGATCAGATCAGGGTGGTCAGGCCTTGGAAGGAGCCATCACCCCTGGGATGCTCAGGGAGGTGCCAGGATCTGGTGCTGGGTGATGAGGTTTAATTACAGTGGCAGTGCTGGGTGAATGGTTGGACTGGACAATCTTCCAGCCTTGATTCTGTGATTCTGAGGGGGGAGCTTCTCCCTGGCTCCAGAGCAGCTCCAGTGGCACTCCGAGGCTCTGCCAGCCGGGCAGTCACCCCAACATCCCTGTGTTTGTCACACATCAGAGCGCAGGCACACTGCCACCATGCATCACCCACCGGCCTCAGGGAGCCTCCAAGTCCAGCTGGGACATCCAGGAGTGGCCCCTGTGTCTCTAAGAGCCTCTGGGGAACTGGGTACACCCGGGGAAGTGTTGGAGGACACTTCCTTCCCTCTGTGATAACTAAGCACAGCCTCACCTGAATTTTCCACAGCTTTGAAGCCCAGGGGCACATTGACAACAGACTCTGGAAGATCAAAAGGCAGGAAAGAGAGAGATGAAAAGGGTGGATGACAACTGACTTTCCATGATCACTTGTTTCCTGTTTCCCTCCAAAACTGGGGCACAGAAAAAAAGCCTGCTGGGTAGAAAGGAAGGGAGAGAGGTAAAACCATGGAGTCATGCCTGAGAGGGAACCTGGATGCAGGAGAAGCTCTGTATTTGTCACCAATATGGAAAAGGCTGAAGTATCATAAAGAGTTTTATTGATGGAAAGGATCACAGTTACAGAATGAGGCTGCAGAACCCCCCACAGGACACTCTGGGGGAGAAAATCTTGAGCCCTGTGTCCCCTTCTTCCACCAAGGAAGGTGAGAGTGTGCTGGGCACTTCCCTGTGCCAGGCTTTGCCATCAGGAGCAGTTCAAGACCTGGAAAGAGAACAGGCAACACCAGCAATGTTACTGCAGAGCAGAGGGGACAGAGCTCCCCCAAGCCCCAGTGATCCTGTGGCACCCTGCAAGAGTAACAACAGGGCATGTCCCCACTCCCCAGCACTCAACTGGCCCTGTCCTCTGCTGCCCCATCTGCAAAGAACTCCAGACTTGAACCCCAGCCATGCCTCAGCCTCACAGAGCCCAGGGCTAGGAGCTCCCAAAGCTTCTCCTGCAAAGAATGGGGAATCTCTCTCATTAGAGAGGAATGTGGGTACGTTTCTGTAGCATTTCTAATTGACCTCTTGAATTATAAAAGCCAAAAAATATAGGCTTGAAATCAGAAAGCCATAAATCCTCACTCTGTGCCAACCCAGAGGACAAGAGCTCAGCTATGCTAGGCCAGGAAGAAGCTGGGAGCTCAGGGGACTCTGGAATCATTCTCATTCTAGTTCTCCCAAAAGCAGAGCAGTCCTGTGGTTGCCCCTTTGTGACCCCACAGATCAGTACCTGTCAGCCTGTCCCAGAGCTCAGCCAACAAAATTGATGACGACGAGATGGAGAATGGTGTTGGCAAAGAGGAAATCAGCGAATGCCCGCTCCGGGGAGATGCCCTGGAACTCGCCCTTGTTCTGGGGGTTGATCTGGATCCGGAGGCAAACTGCACAGCAGAGCAAGAAGGAGCCAGCAGTGAGCACAGGAGGAAGTGCTGGTGGGAAGCATAGCCTTCCTGGGGCAGCCCAGCCCAGGATGGGTCACTGCTACCCCAGGGAGAAGTTACTCCATCCTTTCTCCAGAGGAGCAGGATGCTGCCAGGGAATTTGGATGAGGCTGTCATGGAGTCAGTGCTCCCACAGCACCACACACACCACAGTGCCCAGAGTCCCGAGGGGAACAGGCTCAGAGCAGGACTGGACTCACACAGAAGTGTGGATATTCCTGTCCTCCGTTGGGTGTGTCAGAAACACAGAACGATTTGGGCTGGAATGGACCTTAGAGACCTTCTCATTCCAATCCCAGGGACACCTTCCACTATCCTAGAGAGCTCCAAGCACCATCTAAACTCACCTTGGACACTTCCAGGAACTAGGGCAGTCTGGGCAACCTGTGCCAGGGCGTCCCCACCCTCACAGGGAACAATTCCTTCCCAATATCCCACTGTCCCATCCATCCCTGCCCTCTGGCAGTGGGAAACCATTCCCCCTTGTGCTGTCACTCCGGGCCTTTATCCAAAATCGCCCTCCAGCTTTGGAGCCCCTTTAGGGCCTGGATGGGGCTCTCACTGCCACCTTCCCCTGCCCTGAACGCGCCCAGCTCCTGTGCTGAGGAGGGCAGCACAGAACAGGGCGCTTTGGGGCACTCCGGGCGGGACTCCCGCTCCCAGCCAGCCCCAAGGCCGGCCGGGCGGACACAGAGCCGAGCGGAGCTCCTGCCCCGCGGGGAGCTCGGAGCGTGCCGGGGCTCCGAGCGCTGCTGATTTCTGAGGCTCCCGCCCCGCCTGCGGCCCCCGGACGGAGCGCGGGGCAAGCCCGGCCCGCGGCACAGCCGTGAGGGCACAGCCGTGAGGGCACAGCCGTGAGGGCACAGCCGTGAGGGCACAGCCGTGAGGGCACAGCCGTGAGGGCACAGCCGTGAGGGCACAGCCGTGAGGGCACAGCCGTGAGGGCACAGCCGTGAGGGCATGGCACTGACCGCCCAGGATGAAGCTGCCGACGGCCGAGATGAAGCCGCTGAGGAAGGAGTTGAAGGGGAAGGTGCCGACGCCGAGGCAGTATCCGAACTGCAGCGCGCCCGTCAGCAGCACGTAGAGCAGGAAGGCATCCAGCGCCTTGAGGCGCCCGGCGGTGCCGCCGCCGTACTCGGACAGGAAGCGCCGCGCCACGGCCCGCACCGAGCCCGCCATGCTGCCCCGCCGCACCGCGCATGCGCCGCGTCGCCGCGACGTGGCGGGGAGCGACAGGGGAAAGCGCGCTCTCGGCATGCGCGGAATGCTCCGCGGAGTCCGGAGCTTGGCAAGAGCCAATAAGAGCGCAGAGCTGGCTGTTGCTGGGCAGATTAGAGAACGGTTCCTTCCGAGGACCAATCAGAGCCCGGCGTCGCTGCTGTGGGCGGGGCCATGCCTGAGGCGGCTCGGCTGAGGGAGAGTTCTGGGGTTTGTGGAGAAGGAGTGTTCGGGGGGTTCTGGCCGAAGGAATGTCCAGTTTCCTGGCTGAAGGAGTGTCCAGGGTGTTCTGACCAAAAGAGTGTCCCGGGGGTTTTGTGGCCAAAGGAATATCCAGGGGGTTCCTGGCCCAAGAAGTGTCCAGGGGGCTCCTGGCCAAAGGAACGTCCCTGGGTTTATGGCTGAAGGAATGTCCCGGGGGTTCCTGACTGAAGGAATGCCCCAGGGTTTATGCTGAAGGAATGTCCAGGGGTTCCTGGCCAAAGGAATATCCCAGGGTTCGTGGCCGAAGGAGTGTGTGGGATCTACCACGAAGGTGGTGGGGAATGGGCCTGCGTCACCCTGCTTGGGGCTGGGGAAGGGCAAACCACTGCTTTCCCTTTTTTATTTCTTTTTCCCTCAAAAGCAATCATGGTGTCAACCTCATGGAGCCTGAATTGAGCAAAACAGCTGAGACCAAACCAGCTCTGCTGCTTTTCGGTTTCTGAAGCAGGGAGTGACTTTTCAATGAGCCAGAGGAGAACTTTTCTGTGTGTTCATGCTGTTTAAATCATTCCAGCCTTCCCATCTCTGCAAACGAGGGATGCTCTCACTGTGGGCAGTGCATCTCCCACTCAGGCTGTGCAACGAGGGAAGGGCATTTTCCCATCAGGGAATCACAGACTGGTTTGGCTTGGAAGGGTTGTTACCCTCACCTTCTGCAGCCCAGTTTCTTGCTAGTAGAGCCTTTGGAGTGGGTTAGAGCGAGATTACTCTGAAGGATGGGTGTTTGTAAATATACACATGCAGATTTATTGTAGAACAGTTTGGTTGCACAGAAAAATGGGTATGTAGCCATTTTGGTAGTAATTTATAATAATATGACTTTTATAGTCATAGTATAGTAATATATAATATTATAATATAGGAATATGTCATTTGTAGTAATATGGTATAAAACCATAAAGATGCCACTTAAGAAAATGTATAAGAAAGGAAAGGCTAAGGGAAGAAGGAACTCCCCACCTGTGAAACAGCAAACATGAGGCACATAATTACAGGCTGTGATTAGATCAGGTATTAACAACAAGCACCACCTCACAGCATCAATAAAACCACCCTGGTCTGAGGTAAGCACAGTGAAGGCAATAGCTGAAAGGCTCCTTTAGACTAAAGCTGTGACCTGCAGTGCCTCACACAGTGATGTACCACCCAGCTTTCCTGAGCTCAAACTTAGATCTCGTGGGCACTCAGCCAAGGCAAAGCAGTCCAGGGGCACAGTTTGTCACCCTTTGTCCTACAGGCTGGCAAAGCAGGGTTGTCCCTCATCCCTGCCACAGCACAAGGGGTATGGAACCCTGGAAGGGTGTAACTCTTCAGGCTAGACTCAGCTGAAGGTACTGACACATCAACTTGGTACCAGCCACAAGAGAGGGCAGAGTTTCCAAGAAATCTGTATTCAGCAACCTAAGATGCATCTTCTCCCACAACCACCAAGACCATGAAAGAGACTTATGCTCTTCTGCTTTGCCTGTCATCATGGGGAAAAACAGGAAGGGTGATTTCCACTACCATGGAGGAGTTACAACAGCATTAGGATGAGTTTCCTGCTGCACATCTCTCAGGAGAGAAGACATTACACCCCCAGCTGCTTTGCCAGCTGTTCACACACCATGCAAAAGGGAAGATGGGCAATTCCCCAGTGACAGTCCTTTGAGGTGCTCATGCCCTTCCCCAAATGCAGGCAATGTTAAGATTCAGGTAGCAGTAAGAGGCATGATTTCTAAACTGGGGATGCACGCAGGGAGATACAGGGGGAAAGGACTGCTCACACCTTCTGTACGTGGATGGGGAAGCGCCGAGGGGCAGTGCCCAGCTGGGCAGGCCTTAAGCCACAATGTCCCTCAGGGCTGCAGGCAGCTCAGGGAAGATGAAGGAGTAGCCGCTCTCCAGGGTGCGTTTGGGCAGCACCCTCTGTCCCTCCAGCAGCATGACCGCCCGCTCTGCCCCAAAGACAGCCCGCACGGCCCAGGCGGGCACCGGCAGCAGCGCCGGGCGCCCCAGGGCTGCCGCCAGCTCCTGGGCAAAGGTGCCATTGGAGGTGCCAGGGGAGGATGGGGCAACGCCGTTGAGGATGCCCTGCACAGACTCCTTCTCCAGGGCATGACACACAATCCCAGACAGGTCCTGAATGTGGATCCACGGGAAGGGCTGGAGTCCAGAGCCCATGGGGCCTCCAAGTCCCAGACGGAAAGGCAGGAGCATCTGAGAGATGGCACCGCCATCTCGACCCAGCACTACACCTGTGAGGAGAACAGAGTGAGACCAGGTGCCCCTGCCCAAAGGGCAAAAGCCCCTTCACACCCAGACCTACAAGCAGGAGAATCCTTAGAGGGCTGGAACAGGACCCAGCAAGGAGAGAAGAACTGATGGCCTTTACCCACCTCTGCCCACTCTTGCCCCAGCAGTAAAGCAGTCACCATTACTAAGCATGATGCCCCACCTCACCTGATCTCACCACAACACCACGAGTTGGGCTCCCAGGGATAAGAGCTGCAGCCTCCCACGAGCTCACCAGGCGTGAGAAGAAGTCAAAATCCCCTCCTGGACTGTCTTCAGTGTACTCAGCTGTGGGGCTGGGGCGGTAAAAACCTGCAGGGTGACAGCAGAAAGGGGGTCAGGGTTGAATGATGACACCAAGCCCCCACCTTCCTCATTAGACCATCTTCTCGTCCTCCAGGAGCCCAGAACCCCTGTGAGGAAAGGCTGAGAGAAGTGGGATTGTTCAGCCTGGAAAAGAGACCTAACTGCAACCTTCCAGTACCTGAAGGGAGCCTACAAGAAAGCTGGAGAAAGACTAAAAGGGCCTGAAGTGCCACAACAAGGGGAAATTGCTTCAAACTGAAAGTCGATTTAGGAAGAAATTCTCCCCTGTGAGGGTGGCAGGCCCTGGCACAGGCTGCCCAGAGAAGCTGTGGATGCCCCTGGATCGCTGGAAGTGTCCAAGGCCAGGCTGGACAGGGCTTGGAGAAACCTGGGATAGTGGAAGGTGTCCTTGTAATGGCAGGGGTGGCACTAGATGGGCTTTAAGGCCCCTTCCAACCCAGACCATTCTGGGATTCTGTGAGCCCAGGGACATCCTCACATGAACAGCACAGGGTCTCTGATGGCAATGCTGACAAGTTTTTGAACTACCAATGTGCTCTACAGGCTCAGTAGGATGCACTAACACTCAGACAAGGAACACACTGAGCTGACTGGAAGGTTCCTGCTTTAATACTGAGCATCTCAGAGGATAAACCATGGCAGCTCTAAAGATAAACCTCAGCTTTAAAGACTGCAGCAAGCAGGAGATAATGCACAGGACTTCAGCTGAGGCCTTACTGACACAAACTGATTCTACAGGATTCCTAAAGGCTTTCACAGGAAAACACAGGAAAGCTTCTGCCCTAACGACACCAAGACAAAGCACAGGGACCCAAATTCCTCTTCAGCAGCACTAAAAGCTTAGCAAGGCTTGCCTAAACACAGTGGCACTGATGGCAGTAAAGCTGACATTTCAAGGCAAGACAGGTGCTCCTGAAGAACTGTGGTTTATCTGCAGGTAGAGCCTCTCCAGGTCAGCAGGAGTGCTGTCTTGGCCAGGCCCAACCAATACCTACGCCAGTGACGAGGACCCAGGCACGGGGGGGCTGCTCAGCAGCAGCAATGGCTTCGGCCAAGGCCTTCGTGGTCTCCACCCGGCTGCTGATGACCTCCCTGCAGAAGGCATCACCCCACCTGGGAAAGGGAGCCAGGAATTAAACAACTCACAAGGACACCCCAGGAAACACTGCCACCAAGGGGGACCCCAGCCAACACCAGCTCACATGCACAGGAGAGGTCACAGGAACTCCCCTCACCCCAGAGCAAAGGGAGAACGTGACCCACAGAAATGTTCTGGGTACTTGAGGATGGAAATGTCAGCAGTTGGTTAACTCAAGAGCTTCCTGATCATGTTGTTTCCTCCCTTTCCACATTCTCTGACAACAGTGGCCTGTCTTACCTCCACCTTGTCCCAACAGCACTGTGGAACATCAAGTTACCTGCGGAAAGGGTTGAGGACATTTTCACCAGCCAAGTTGACCACAGCATCGCACAGGGGCAGCCCGGAGTGGGACAGTTCCTCCTAGGCAGGGGTGACAGAGACATCACACATCAGGCCTCCCCTCTGCTCAAGCCTTCCCTGCAAATAAGCACAGCAGGCTCCCAAGAACTTCAGCCAGTTTCTTCCTGACATTTGCAGAGACAAGCACAAATGGATATGGTTTTGCTTCTCGGAGCTACAGCACGACCCATTCCAATGACTGTGACCCACAGAGGACCCAGCAAAAAAACATCCAGAGGAGCCAGGCCTCCCTTGGCAGGGTCCCTCTATGCCATGGAAAGCCAGAGCCCTGTCCTATTCCCCCTGCTGCGACTGCTGTCATCTCATACCCAGGTGATCCGATCCTTGCCCCCTTGTCGTGACACATGGGTTACTTGGTGCCCTCGGCTCCGCAGCAGCTGGGTCAGGGCTCTGCCCACGAAGCCTGTCCCGCCACCTGGTGAGGGAGACAGAGAAGCCGTCACGGCTGTATCCCGGCTGTATCCCTGGGCCATCACCGCCGGCAGCAGAGGCGGTCCTGCCTGGGGCTGCAGCAGCACGGCCCGCGCACATGGCCAGCCCCACACTCGGGGGGCGAGGCGGCGGGCAGCACCCGCAATGCAGGCCCGCCTGCCCCTTCTCCAAACTCCGTTCCGCTCGCCACTCCCGCTCCCTCACGGGCCCCGCTCTCTTACATCCCCCGCTCCCTCAGGCCGCACTCACCCACCACCACCCTCATTGCCGCGCCGCGCATGCGCCGAGCAGCGCGCACCGCGCGTGCGCCCCCGCCGCGCACAGCGCCCCCCAGCGGCGGGGAGGACCCTTAAAGGGCCAGCGCTTTGTCTGGCCTCTGCTTTTACTCACAAAGGTAGCCCATAAAGGTTGCAGTGTTAGGGAATAACTGGCAGTGTTAGGGAATAACTGGCAGTGCTAAGGAATAACTGGCTGCTGCAGGTTTCTTGTTGTTTCCCCATTGCTCAGGTGACAGCACTCCCACAAAAGGTGAGGATTGGGGTGGAGGTTCCTCCTGGCCCAAGCCCAGGGGTGACACACACACAAGGATCTGTGGGCTGGTACTGGTTCAGCAGGGCTGTGAGCAGCAGAGAACAGCAGCTGCTGAGGTGTGAGCAGTGACAGAACCACGGGTGAGTGTTGTGGCTGGCTGCTAGAACCCTGGGTGCTGAGAAATTCACTTTCTGTGCTGCCAGGCACTGACCCTCAGGAGAACACTGCATTGACCTGAGGCTGTGCAGAAAGCTTCCAAAATTAAATTATAGAACTGGGATTGTGGGTGTGGAGTTTGGATAGAAGTGTGTAATATCACATGGTGGAAAACTTCAGTTTAAGGTTTTAGAAAATAGTAATAGATATAGAGCAAGATGGAGGTTTTAGGGCAGTGGATGGTCCTTCTCCTTCTTCCCCTTCTTCTTCCCCTTCTTCTTCCCCTTCTTCTTCCCCTTCTTCTTCCCCTTCTTCTTCCCCTTCTTCTTCCCCTTCTTCTTCCCCTTCTTCTTCCCCTTCTTCTTCCCCTTCTTCTTCCCCTTCTTCTTCCCCTTCTTCTTCCCCTTTCTTCACCTTCTCCACGGGTTTAGGTGGTTTTGTGTAATTGGACAGTAAAGTCCACATTGCAGGGCACGGGTGGTTGGTTTTTGGGTTAAAAGTAAAAATAATTTAGGTGTTATTTCTTAACTGGATGGGTTTTTTTCCCTAAAGGACCATGTAGAGAGAGATACGGGGCATTTTGTAGCTTGTTAGTGAAATGCTGTAGGACTCGTGGCTTGTAAGGCTGTAATACAATAAGAAATGAGTTGGGCTGACAAAGGATCCCAGCAAGAGGAGATGCTGAAGAGCAGCTGTAAGCAGGGGATGGTCAATACTGACAAACAGAATGCCCCAGAGAGTCTTTTCAGAAGGCTGGCACAAAGGAAAATGTGGCTGAACCACAGTTGTGAGCAGCCCCAGAATGGATGGAGAAGATGACCCAGAGAAAAGGAGTGTGACCTTCAACTTAGAAAGAAAGAGAACTGCAGCAGTGAGGGACAGAGGAGGAGGCCCAAGGCAGCAAGGTCAAAAAGGAGAGCTAAGGGGGAAAAAAAGAGAGAGAGAAAGAAAGAATGAATGAAAGAAAGAAAGGGCACTGGCTGGGAAAAAAATAAAACCTGATTCAGGCAAAATCTGAAATGAGAATTATCGGTTTGAGCAATTAAAAATGGTTTACTATACTATAGTAAAATGAGAGCTCAGTGTGTTGCATAGTGTGTAAAGATGTAGTATGTATTATAAATATCTAGATGTAAAGCTTTCTATCTAGAAAACAAATTTTTCTCTGTATTATGTCCAAACTTGCAGTGCAAAACAAAAGACTTACTCAGTATTTAATAACAACAGTATTTTCTGCCTTTTTGGTTTTGTGGGTTTGGGGTTTTTTTCCACTTTGCTGTCAATCCAGAGTTCACAATCTTTTTTGCAGCACTAAGGAGATGAGAATCACAAAATTACATGGACTGGCTGTTCTAGTGACAGCAGGAATCACTGGTGCAATCTGGTGGGTGTTTAACCTTTGATAATTATTCTCAACTAGCATTTCTTTCTATTGCCCAGAGTGAGACAGGTTTCTTCTAACTAATGCAGATAACAATGTAAGCATTTACACAAAGCTAAATTCAATTTTACATTCAAAAGGTGAAAATAAGCAAGGTGTGGACACTTTTAACCTCTTCTAAAAGAAATCCTAAAAGTATGATTAATTGTCTCTGTGTATTCCTGTGAGCTCAAGTGTGTGTTTTCATGTTTACATCCCACACCTCTGTGCTCCAGACCAACACAAGGATCCTGGCACAGAGCTGGAACTCTGTGGAGTGGATTGAGCTGTGTTTATTTAGCTGCACTTTTTTTTTATTTAGTTGCTTTGAGTCTCCCTTGGTGCTCATGTCTGCCACAGCCAGACGTTCATGGTGTGTATTCAATGCTCTGGAGCCTGAAATCAGAGCAGGTGGGGTTAATTCAGAGTTGGCTGGAACAATACTGAAGATCTGCTCCAATTGGAGGAATTAGGACAAGATTTCAGCCCCACACTTCCTCTGCAGCAGAGCATCCATCACAAATGCTCCCATTTTTGTTTAAAATGGCAGTCAGGCTCACATCAGAGGAGATCCCACAGACTGGCCAGAGCAGAGTGATGCTGTGAACAGTTGGTTTCAAGAGGCAGCTGCACAGGCAGTTCTAGCATCAGCTGAGACCAAGCTCTGCTGGAAAGCACACACATTTCATTTGGTGCAAATTAAATAATTCACAGATCCTCAGAGCTAATTGGTCTTCAGATAACTTTAGGCTGAACCCCTGTCTTGAAGCAGCTGAGATTTGCAAATCCTCATCACCATACTGACCCCACAAATGTCCTTAGTTTTGTTTTGTAGTTTCAGTCACGCATGAGGTGGAGGAGAGGTTGTTTTTTGTTTTCATCATTGACTCATTGCTTTCTTATCCTGCCCAAGGTACTACTACCCTTTCTCCCCAGCCAGAGCCCAGGAACACAAAGCCTCCCCTGGAGAGGATTCAGTCCTGTAAGTTCATAAACCTGCCAGAAAAATACAAACTTTGTGCAAGGTCTTTGGCCTTACTGAACCAGGCTCTCACTGGATAGAAGTAAAACTGAGTTTGCTAAAGATGCATCACAGAAACAGACATGTTGAAAATAATTTTAAAGCTGACTGATTTGCATTCAGTGCTACTTACACCAGCTGAGTAGTCTGTTAAATGTAGTTCACACTACATGAACTCATATAAATAATAAAATAGTGATGGAGTCTGGCTGGATGCTCACTGACATTGAACCACACAAACATCTCCTGTGGGGCTCATCTCTCAGAAAAAGAAAATCTGAAACTTCTGTGCCATGATGCATTTATGTACCTTTTATTTCTCCCTCATTTGCAGGAAAACAGACCTGTATGAAACATCTCTGATGTTCCCATGGTAAGTGCATCTCCTCTGGCTCCGTTACCATGATATCCCACTGTTCTCAGAAACAGCTGACTGGCACAGACAGCTCAGGAGAGCTGAGAATGGACAGGAAAGGATGCCTGACTAGAAAAGCAGCTCTTCCAGAAACCATCAGAAATGCATAAATGAAGAATCTTTCATTTGTTACTTTCAGAAAGGAAACCGAGAAATGATGGTGAATATTGAAAATATTTTGGTTTAATTTTATCTTAATTAATTTTTTTTTGCATCCTCTGTCACCATTCAGAAGCTAAAAAACAAGAGGCCTTGGCTGATACTATTTCTAGTGGTAGCAGTCAGCATCATCCATGATGTGTAAATGCCTGTGGAATTAACATTTTAAGTCACTAAATTAATTATTTAGTGGTGAATATTAATTACTTAGGGATGAATTAGTTTCTGGAATTGCCTATTACAGAGCCATTTGCAGTAGGAAAAAAAGCAAAACAGAATAAAAAAGTAATAAAAGAGGTATGGACATACTGGAGAGAGTTTACCAAAGGATCATGAAAGGGCTGGAGCATGTTTCCTGTGAGGGAAGGCTGAGAGAGCTGGGACTGTTCAGCCCAGAGCACAGCAATCCCTCCCATCTGCTCTGGAAATTAGCCTGGCTGACTGTGGGAATAGAAAAACAGAAACCTCCACAGACAGTGAAGGATTTGATCTGCAGCCTTTGGAAGAAGCTTGGATTGATGTAAAAATACAATACACAGCTATTAAGCAGAAAAAGCATAAACTTATGTTTCTATAGGTGTAGGTGAGAATGTGCCTTCAGTGAGTGACAAACTGTACTGAGCAGATGGTGAAGGGTGACAGTGTCAGGGTGTGGCTGTATGGAATAAACTGAGAGTTCAGAAGTTAAAACAGAAGCCAATGTGTGCTCGTGAGTTCAAAGCCCGTTGGACAAAAGTACCCCCAGTGCAGCAGAGGTGAGGAAAGGTGATAGCTTAGAAAAGCCAAATAAACCCTGTGGCAGCTGTCCTTTGGGTTAGAAAGTTCTATATTGCCTTGTAACAGAGAAACTTGTGACTGCTCTGGAGCTGTGGCAGAATGCTTGCTCCTCTAAAACCTCACAGCCCCCGAGACTGATGTTTGTCTGAGCAAGAAATTGTTCTCAGCTTGAAAACAGTCCCATCCCTTCATTTCTAGCAGCAATAGCTGACCTTATTAGCAGAGCTCTAAACTCCATTCCTTGTGGGAAGGGGATGTTTTTCTGAGTGTCAGAGATAAACCAGTAAACAACACCCTAGGAAGCATCAAGGAAATACCTGTCCATCATCCCAAAGGAATCAGGGAGCAAATTAGGGATCTCCTCCTCCTACTCTTTCCAAAGGATACCAACAGCCCAGCTGAAGAGCTTCCATCAATACACAGGTAAGGAGCAGAAATCTGTGATGGATTGAATGTGAAGATGTGAACTATGATGGCAGAAAGCAAGCAACCATGAAGTCCTTCAGCCAGTTTCCTTAAGAGTGATATTTCTCAGAGAGAAAAAAAAAAAAAGGAATCTGCCTACCTAATGTGATACAAGCAGTGGATGAACTCAAGTTTCTTAAGGAATAGCCTGAATGGTCACATGAACAAAACTTTTCCTGCATTTACATCTGTTAAATGGTGATTTTTACACAACATAAATTCTTTGTTGGGTATCTTTGAGAATGCTTAATAATTATTAATAATTATTAATTATCATCACATGTGGGGCACTGCAGCTGAGGGCTGAGAGCTTTCCAGGAGACACGGGCTGGGAACAATGGGAGGAAGTGCTGTGCTCTGTGTTAAGGCATTGATGGATTGTGAAAATCTGCCTCTGAGTGACAGCCACCAACAGCCTGGGAGCTGGGGGGGATGAAAATCAAGGACAGACACCTATTGCAGGTGGTGGCTCGATGTTGCTGCAAGGCAGAAAAATTATAAAGGAAGGCCTCATAAAATCAGACCTGCTCTGTAAATCAGTGGCTGCCCTTGTCAAGATAACACTTTGCAAGTTCCCATGTAAAAGCAATCCTGGTGTGAGCAGTCTGTTAACATAACAATCTATTCCTGGGTAAAAAACAACCAGTACCTGCATAAACTTTAAATCTATCCCATGAGAATCAGCGAAGAAAATATATAAACAATTGAAGAATAGAGTTTTGATAGACAAGTAAAATACCTTTTATTAAATAATAAATTAACAAGTAAGCTACTTTTAAGTAGCTTAGTAGTAACTACTACTTGTTACTTGTAAGTAGCTTAGTAGTAACAAGTAAGCTACTACATAAAGTAACAAGAAAGCTACTGACCAATTGGAGTTACACACAAGGTCTGTAAAACTGTATAAAAATGAGTAGTGTGAATAAAAAATGGTCTTTTTCCACCATGAAGAAAATGGAGTCTGGTGGGATTTATTCTGCTATCTCAGATTTTGCTGACAGTACTTTCTTGACCCCTAGTGATTTCAAAGGGAGACTGGAATGATTAACTCAGTGGTAGACATCTCTGTTTGTCTTCCTGAGGTTCTGGGCCATCTAAACCTGCCCTCATTCTCAACCCCTTGCAGGAGAAGGGATGTGCTGGTGTTGACACCATGGCTGGCTCCAATTGTCTGGGAAGGCACGTTCAACAGAGACATCCTGAATGCTCAATACCTGCAGAAGAAGGCAGTCACTGGAGTGGTCACTTTTGCTGTTGAAAAGTATTTGTTTGTCTTTTATTTCTCATCAAATAGTTACACCTCTCTGCAATACTGCTCATGAGCATGAGTGAGAAACATTCCAAAGACTGAATGTGAGCAGCTCTAGACTGGGAGAAATGTGACATGTGAGTGTCACCTTCCAAAGTAAGGCAGCTGGCTGGGACATTGTTTTGAATAGGACAAAAAAATACCCTTGGAAATATAACTAGCATTTTGACCCATTGAAATAAAAATTCTAGCTCCTGCTACATTTCTAACAACAAGCTTTCCCTCTATCCTGCACTAAAAAATAGAAAAATTTGGTGAAATTGAGATTTATTTGGTTTCTGTGAGAGTTTAAAGGTAAAATATTAGCTCTAGTAAAATATTAATCATGCTGGTACAGCTTGTATGTTCTTGGGGAGGTTCTTTTTTGAGTTTCTGAGTGAAGAGCTAAACTCTGTCTCTATACCCTCTATCTCCACTGGCATCTTAGAGTTACACAGCAGCTTCAGGTACTCCAAGACAATCAAAACTATTTGATAATTTTCACCGTCTCAATGAAAGCAGTCTGAGAGAGTTGGAATTGTTGAGCCTGGAGAAGACAAGGCTCCAGGAAGGGCTTAGAGCCCTCCTGTACCTAAAGGGGCCTTACAGGAAAGGGAAGAGGGATTTTTTACAAAGCTGGGTAGAGACAGAATGGGGGAGAATGACTTTACACTGAAAGAGGGTAGATTTAGACCAGATATTAGGAAGAAATTCCTCACTGTGAGGGTGAGAGGCCCTGGCACAGGGAGCCCAGAGAAGCTGTGGCTGTCCCTGGATCCTTGGAAATGTTCAAGGCCAGGTTGGACAGGGCTTGGAGCAGCCTGGGACAGTGGAAGGTGTCCCTGCCCATGGCAGGGGGTGGAATGAAATGGTCTTTAAGGTTCCTCCCAGCACAAACCATTCCATGATTCTCTGTTGATTCTATTATCCTCTCTATGAAATTAAAATATTCCACTGCAGAAAGAGTGCCAGGAAGCAGGTAAAAGGGAGGGATGAGAGGATTTACATGATGGAGTGATATTAGAGAGCAGCACTGGGTGGAAGGCACGTGTTCTGTGAAAAGCTAAAATGTGAATTTATTGAAAGTTAAAATGCAAATATGCAGCAGCATGGGGAAGGCTTGAAGGGCAGCAGCTGTGTTAAATAAAGAGCACTAGCACTGTGAGAAGGAGCAACAGATAGAAAAGTACAATGAAAGGGAATTTGAAAAGATGTTTTTCTTCAGCAGGAGAAGCCTCTCCATTCTCTTCCTTTCTATGTCTTTTAGATACATCCAGTTCATAGAAGGGTTCATGAGCTCTGCCAACACGTACTTCCTTGCTGGGCACCCCGTGAATTTCTACTTGTTCACAGACAATCCTGAGAAGATCTCTCACATTCAGATGGCCCCTGAGAACCACCTGTTCGTCATCCCTGTCCAGAACGACCCCAGGTGGCAGGACATCTCCAGGAGCCGTATGGACATCATCAGCTGCTACATCCAGAGCCAGTTCCAGCACGAGGTGGACTATCTGTACTCCCTGGACATCAATGTCCAGCTCCTGGCACACATTGGCGTGGAGATCATCGATGCCCTGGTGGCCACCATCAGCTCCTGGCAGGTCACCCCACAGCACGAGAACAAAGGCTCTGAGGCACACCCTGAGGCACAATCTGCCATCCCTGAGGGACAAGGGGACTTCTACTACACAGCGAGCTTCTATGGGGGCAGCGTGCCCGAGGTCTACAAACTGACCCGAGCCTGCTCTGCAGGGCTGAGGGAGGACACAGAAAATGGCATTGAGGCTCCCTGGCACCACGAGAGCCACCTCAACAGGTACCTGCTGCAGCACAGGCCCACACGCCTGCTGTCCCCAGAGTACTACTGGGACCCCGAGCTCAGCCCCAGCACCATCCAGGTGAAGAGGATGTGCCCTGTGCACCAGCACAGCCAGAGACAAAGAATGTGATCTTTCAAAAATTGGGAGCAGCATTTAGCAAAGGCCACCTGGTTAATTAACACCCAAGGTTCCACCAATCAAGTAGGTCCTGCCCAGTCTGAGTCCCTGAATATACAGACAGAGAGAAAGCCCCAGTGGCACATGTCAGAGGTTTGTTAGGGAAATCAGTGTGGATCAATTCTGCCTCGAGTACAGACAAACCCATTCGTGGGATTGTCTTTGCTCAGGGACCAGGTTGTACATGGTGGATAATGCAGAGATGGAACAACACGATGTGTACCTCAGGGAGATCTGATTGTGGGGTGAGACTCATGTGCAAATATCACTGTTTGCTGGATGTTGCTGCCAGCGTCTGTACATGAAAACACACAGACATGAGACAGAAGGAAATGTGTAAGTGTCAAAGGTTTGAGCAAGTGAAAGAGAAGAAAATGTGTCTTTCTGAAACAAAGAATGTGTGGCCTTTCCTCTTCACAGCCCCACTAAACTGAGGGTAAGGAGCAAAGGAAGTTTCCCTCTGTTTCTAGGACTGCACACAGTTTCTTGCATAAAGGGGTCTCCTTAGCTAGAGACTACTAAACCCAGAAATTTCTTTTATTAGCAACTTCTTTTTCAACTTTTTGCAGAGACTCCACAAAGCAAAATTATGGATCCAGATTTCCAGCTTTGTCATTTTGTTAAACTGAATGGACTCAGGCAAGGCATAAGGAAAAGTTATGGTCCATGCTCTCCATGGGAATAATTTACTTTTTGCTTGTTTCTCACCCTATTAAAAGACATGCCACCTTCAGAAACCCTTGTCTTTAAACAACTGGCACTAACAGAGTTTTGGCCCTATAGGACAAAAGCTCATGAAGCCTTAGAATTTCTGGAAGGAGAATGAAGATGTAAACTGCTCCTCATGGCAAAATAAATCTTAAAATTGGTGCATTAAATTGGTGCTGTTTTATCCATAAGGTTGTACACTCTACTTAGAGCCTTTACAAATCTGTATAAATCAATTACAAACTTCTTTTTACTTGCAGGAATGTGAAATAGAGGTGGATTTGTAATCAGGAAACACAGACAGGAATCATGGCTTGTTGCCTTTAGAAGTCGGCTTCACTCCCTGGCAGACTCTGCCATGCAAGTCTTTGCAGCAAATTCTGTGTGATGTATCCAAAAGAATTCCCAAGAATGAGTATTCCCGCTGAGGGAACAGGGGGCTGTGCATTTTAACTGGCACCTGGAGGAGGAGAAGGCACAAAGCTGAACCTGCCCAGGGCAGTGGGACACTGGCAGCCAGAGCAGCTGGTGAATGCAGGAGGACTGGCTGTGGGTGGGACGGGCCAAGTGCCAAGCTGATAACGTGGAGCAGGCCAGGAAGTCAGAGATGAATCAGGATGGATCAGTCTGGGATGACCTAGCCTCTAGCATGGTAAATCACTGGCTCAGCATGGAAGTTATGGCCTCTAAATAGAGATCATGCTGTGGGTCAGGTTTGACAGGACCAGGGCACAGCAAATCCAGCCTTCTAAAAAAGTTGTTATGGACATGTGTAAATAGTGGGTGGAAACGGATGTACCAGAATAGAGTAGCAGTCTTTAGATTGGGGTAGTGGGCAAAATATGAGGCCAGGGCAGGTTGTGATGCAGAAGTGAATATAAGTAAGGAGACAGACGTCAGCTTTACCACACTATTCTCCACTGCCAGTGAATTTTGCAGCTGTAGACAAAGGCATCTCCAGAAACGCCTCCAGCAGTGCTTGTGACACAGTTCTGCAACTCTGCTGACCCACCCCCACACAGCCTCCCCCACCTCCTCCTTGCACAGCAGCACCTCCAGGAGTTGGCATTCCTAGCTTTGATGTGCCAGTTTTCTCCATCCTGTGATGGCTCTGAGCACCCTCTCTGACCAAACACTGCCTTTGGAGTGACTTTCCCTTTGTGCCAGGTTTGTCTGCCCACGGTGCCGTTTTGCAGGTGCCAGGCACGGGACCCCTTTTGCCTTTCACAACCTTCAAGGTCCCTTCCAGCCCAAACCATTTTGTGGTTCTCTGAGGCTGTGGCCTTTCCCTGCCCTCTGAGGACACTGTGCCCAGAACCTGGAACCACCCGCTCTGTGACATCAGCCCCAGGTGCCATGGGCAGTGCAGCTGCTGCAGCGCTCAGGTCAGAGACTGCACTGGAAGAGACAAGCTTTTGTTTCTTTCAGCTGACAGATGCTGCTGACAGTGATGAATCTGCTGTACCTCTTCATCCTGCTGGCTGTGTACAGACATGCACATGGTACCTGGGACAACTGCAGGTATGGCCCCAGGCCCTAGGAGGGTGCTTGTCCCCCATTGCCACACCCCAAACCCCATGTGGGAGCCTCCTTGCCAGCACCCAGGTGCTGGAGTAGAAGGGCAGTAATGACTTTGTGCTTCCAGAGGGACCTGTGGGCTCCGGCCCATGGCTTCTGACTACAACTCCATAGCTGCTGACTACAGAATCGTGACTGGCACAGGTGCCCTGCCAGGGGCCTGGCCCTGGATTGTCAGCATCCAGGACCCCAGGAAAACAGGCACTGGCCATACATGTGGAGGGTCCCTCATCAGCCCACAGTGGGTCCTCACAGCAGCCCACTGCTTCCTCCAGGCCAGGTAAGGAGGAGCAGGGAATGAGGGTATCCTCACCACACAAACAGTTGCCCAGCCTGCAGCACCTCGGTACTGCAGAGCCCAACTGAGAGACTGCTCAGAAGGCTGGGCTTGTGCTACTGCTGCCCAGCAGCCTCCAGCATGGCATTCCTGGAGCCTAAGGCATGCTAGGGCAGTCACACCCCTCATTGCCCTGCTTTCCTCTCTGCCTTGAGAAGCAGAAGGCAGGGAAGTGCTGAGCTGCCTCAGTGATGCCTTTTCAGGACTACCTAAAAACAGGACAGACAAGGAATAAAAAGTGATTATATTTATTGAAGGGCCTTCAGGTACATTTCAGGTAAAACACCCCCCCCCCCCAGGTGCTACACCCCAAAATGGACCCCACGGGTCACAGGTTTTCACACCTATAAATTTGATCCATTTGTATATTGAGGGTTAATCTTCTAATTACATCTTCAGGTAATGAAGTCATTTACCCCCAGTTTGCTCCCCCCAACTCACTTTTGTTTCCATCTCTCGGGGCCTAAGGCAGTGAGGTGTCCTTGATTCCCAGGCCTGGAGAGGAATTGTTGTTTCTGACCAGAATGGGAAAGCAGCAGCTCACACTGTGTGCAGAATTTAGAGTTATACACTAAAAAACTGCAGGATTACAAATAGATGAAAAATGCCAAAGCTAAAATCCTAAGGTATCAACAGCACACGGCTCTGCTCTCCCTCAGCCCCCTCTCTGCCTTGCAGGAATGTCACCATGTGGCGTGTGCTGATCGGGGCCACCAAGCTGACCCATCTGGGCCCCGAGACCCAGGTGCGCCACATCAAGCGGCTCCTGGCCCACCAGGAGTACATGGCTGATTCCCAGCAGAACGACATTGCCCTGCTGGAGCTGGACGAGCCCGTGGAGTGCAGTGACTATGTCCAGCTTGCCTGCGTGCCCAACGCCTCGCTCACAGTGTCAGAGCTGAAAACTTGCTACATTGCTGGCTGGGGTTCTGCCAGTGCAAAAGGTGAGTTCCCAAAAAGGGCCCTGAGGGTGAGCTGGGCACACCGGAGACAGCAGAGACCGAAGTCAGGCTGTAGGATGTATGCCTCTGGAGAGCTGGGCCTGGCCTGCTCCCCAAAGGCAGACAGAAAGGACACAGCACTTCAACAGCTGCTCCAGAGGTAAAGCCAAGCTCTAGGGAATGAGTTCACCCCCAGACAGGGGAGTGGAACTGGCAAAGAGCTGCTGAGTGCCCATTCCTTCCTGTGCTCACAGCTCAGGGTCCGAGTGATGTCCTGCAGGAAGCCAAGGTCCGTCTCCTGGATATCCGGCTGGTTAACAGCAGCCGCCGCTACGCCGGGGCCATCCACACCCACAACCTGTGTGCTGGCTACCCACGGGGTGGCATGGACACCTGCCAGGTACGAGTGCTGGGAGCCAGCAGCAAAGGTACCCCGTCACCATGGGCTTTGCCTGGCAAACCACTTTTCCTCCGCTGCTGGAGTTTCCTTGCCAAGTGCCCGTGTTCCCCAGGCCTGCCCCTCTCCCCAGAAAGCCCATCCAGTGTTCTCAGCAGCCCACAGATCCAGATTCTGGATGATCCATGCTCTGCCCATCCAGGATCACTGTGCAGATACAAAAGGGGGCCTTCACAGACACCCACCCTGTTCCCAGCTAAGGTTTTTGAGACTCCAGCACCTGAGAAAAGCCTTTTTGTACCATGAATACAGCTGTGGCAGGGGCTGCAAGAGAGAAACAGGCCTCTAGTGCTGACAGCAGCCATCCAACAGCACCCTAATCCTCTTTCCTCTGTTGCAGGGTGACAGTGGCGGGCCTCTGGTGTGCAAAGATAACCGTGCCAGCTACTTCTGGCTTGTTGGAGTGACCAGCTGGGGAAAAGGCTGTGCCAGAACAAAACGGCCGGGAGTTTACACCTCCACTCAGTACTTCTACAACTGGATCCTGATCCAGATGGGTGTGTGCCCACCTGGAACAGCCACTCCAGCAGCAGAGCCAACCTGCATCTCAACCCCTCTTGAGCAGCCAGAGCCCACACCAACAGAGTCAGGCTGCCCTTCTACCACTCCATGTCCAGAGTCAGCTGAAACAGCCACTCCAGCACCAGAGCCAACCTTCAGCTCAGCCCCCTTGGAGCAGCCAGAGCCCACACCAACAGAGTCAGGCTGTTCTACTCTCACTCCATGTCCAGAGTCAGCTGAAACAGCCACTCCAGCACCAGAGCCAACCTTCAGCTCAACCCCTTTTGAGCAGCCACAGCCAACACCAACAGAGTCAGGCTGTTCTACTCTCACTCCATGTCCAGAGTCAGCTGAAACAGCCACTCCAGCACCAGAGCCAACCTTCAGCTCAGCCCCCTTGGAGCAGCCAGAGCCCACACCAACAGAGTCAGGCTGTTCTACTCTCACTCCATGTCCAGAGTCAGCTGAAACAGCCACTCCAGGACCAGAGCCAACCTTCAGCTCAGCCCCCTTGGAGCAGCCAGAGCCAACACCAACAGAGTCAGGCTGTTCTACTCTCACTCCATGTCCAGAGTCAGCTGAAACAGCCACTTCAATGCCAGAGCCAACCTTCAGCTCAACCCCTTTTGAGCAGTCAGAGCCCACACCAACAGAGTCAGGCTGCTGTACTCCCACTCCTGATCACTCAACTGCAACAGCCACACCAGAGCCAGCATTGACCTCAAACCCCTCTGAGGAGCCAATGTCAATGCAACCTCTCTTGCCTGCTCCACATCCGTACCAGATAGTGGTGAAATTCTTAACTCGGGTGCACCAGATACTGCTGGGCCTCATGAGAAAAAAGACATGGGCAGCAGGATGAACAGGATCCAGTGCAGGCTGCAGTGGACCATGACCATTTCGTACTGGGGCAGTGCCTGCTCATCCAAAGGCAGCCTCAGGTCAAAGGCGTCCTCTGTCCTGCCAATCTTCCTCCTCTGCATGCACACAAATGCTGAAATTTATTTAGTTGTGTAAATAAAGTTGCCTATTACCACTGTTAGCATGTGTTTGCAGTCCAATCCAGTCTCCTGTGCAAGGCAAGGAGTCCCAAGCCAGGCACCAGCAAAACAAAGCTCTGATGGGAGAAGGGACACAGGTCACAGGGGGCTACAGCTCTTGAGAACAGCAGCTGGGAACACTGTTTTATGCTGCCCAGCAGTGGAATCCCTGAGTGTGGGACTTGAAACTCAACTCTCATGACTCAGGGAACACCGTTCTAGAAAGACTCAAGGCTGAAGATTGGCCAGACACAGTCTGGGGAGGAGTTCCACAGCCAGAAGTAAGGATTTCTGAGCAGTGGGCACACCAGAAGAGCTTTGTGCCACCCCCCCATGTTGTGATACATGAACTGTCCACAGCTCCCCTGCAGACACTGCTGGCACTGAGAGTGACTCCACATCTGTCAAACACAAAAGGATATTTTGGCAAGGTGTCTCATGTTCCCCTACTGAGCATCCTTACCACTCTCTCTGAGGAAGCCACATCTCTGTGCTAAGGCTGGAAAGCAAACACCAGGTTATCTTCTAGGTAAAGTTAACACATATCAGAATCTCCTCAGTGTGCTGAAGTGTTTTCAGAGTCTTCTCCTCATTCTGCTTCTGAGGCTGTACCTGCAAGGCTGAGATCTCTGTCACCCTGAGAAGGTCCGTGTGCCATTCCAAAAGCACTGCTCACCACCATCTGGTCAAGAGCCAAGCAGCTCCCCAAAGCAGAGCAGAGAAAGTCAGGCAAGAAAGGGGCAGGCAAGTTACAGTGGGGGATGGAAATGCAAGGCAAGGCAAGAGAAGGGTCTGCAAAGCAAGGGAGGTTAAGGCAAAGATAGAAAAGGGAACTGTATGCAAGGTAGGCAAGACAAATTTTTATCTGTAAAAAAGAGAAGAAAAGTTGTTTGGTTTCACATTCACATCAAAGGATATCAACAACACCATGCAACAGAGCTGTGAGCTTTCTTTTCAATGTACTGTCACATTCTTTTAATCATGCACAGCTTCTTATATCAAGATATATTCACACACAGGTACCCTCCAGTTTATTTTCTATTCTCATGGAGGTGTCAGCTTGTTTAGTCTGAAGGGTCTTAGAGGACTAGCTGGCTTTTTTATTATTTACAATGCAGTTTGCTTTTGAACCCTTTTTATGCTGCTTTGGGTTGTAACCACCCTTTTTTGGAGGGGCCCTGTATAACCCACCTGCTTCCCCACCACAGCATCACTGTCCCAGTGACACTGGGGTGCTCCCATCCCTCTCCCAGGCTTCCCTAGCCCCCCATTTTTCTCACCCCTAAAAGAAGGCACAAAAATGAGTGAAACTGCCCTGAGTAGCACCTTGTTGATCTAATAATCCAATCTAATAATGCCATTTACATATGTACATGCCCCAGCCCCACAAAGGGAGGGAAGGCCTCAAGCAGGTGAAGCCCCCCAAGTTCCTGCCTCACAGCAGAGGGGGAGTGTGCCCAAGGATGGGGCCTCATCTTCTGGAGCTGCTCATCTGCCAACACACACATGCACATTTGAGTAAAGAATGCTTGAGATCCAAGGTGGATGTAATTTTATTTTATACTAATTTTGGCAGTTCTGGAGAGTAGGGAGAGTCATCATCCTTTAAGACTTCATGCTGTCATCTAAGTACTCCATACAAATACAGTTGATAAATGAAAAATACAGATTTTACCACGTATATATTGTTGAAATTCATGTTGAGAACAGGTAAACAACAATAAGCAGCACATCTTATCCCTGCATAAAATAGCATTTTCCAGTTTCACACAGCAGACAGATCAAAAGCAAGAAATAGCGAGTTCTGCAAGCCAAGCTATTCCTAGCTTGGATACATCACTTTACCATCAAGAAATGCATTGCCAAACAATATGGCCACTGTCCTTCTAAATCTGACTGAATTTTGTCCACATAACAAGACCAGAAATTGATCCTTCTATTGGAGAGTGCTCTGGTGATGAGCACCCTGTATGCTGAGCTGCTGAACACTGTTTACAAAAGAGCAGGATGTGTTTATAATTAGTACCAACCAGGAAAGAAAAAGCCTCTCTCACAGACAGAGGTGGATTGAGCTGAATAGCAATAAATATCAAATCTACAAAATTACTGACAATCATATATAAATGGAGATGGCAAATGTAACAAAATGAAAATTAGCAACATCAAAGACTACCATTAATTAGTAAAACTCTGAGATGTGTAATGACTGAGCAGTATTTAGCTCTTTGCTTTTATTTATTTACTTACAATGTCTCCAAACTAAAATGTCATTTAGTTGCAGTATAAAACACGCCAAGAAGATGAGCTACTGATCTCAAGTTTCCTTCACAGTGAGTGGTGATATGGCCATTAAAATTCAGCATGTGATCCATCAAATCAAATGCTGAGGTCTAATTTTGGACAGGACAAAGATCCTCATGTTTACAAGAGCTCATGTGGGTCAAATGACCCAAATGATAATTGCACACTGCTTCCTCTGCCTGAATGTCCACGGATGAGACGCTGGGAGCACAGAGGGAGCGTGCCACAGCCACTGGGAAAGAAGGATGGACCAGGAAAGCCTCTTTCCAAAGAGACAGCTGGACTAGGACTGAGCAGTGTCACATATTCCTCTTGTGTTCTGCTGTTCTGCCCATCAGGAGCAGTCCAGGACCTGAGCTGCACAAAACCAGGTTTCAGCTGCTGTTACACCCTTCTTGCTTCCATCTGTGTGACTAAGGATCTGATCCTTGCTTTGTGTGGAAGCATCTGCATACATGGAAGACAGGGTAGATTTGCAATGAACATGCTGATAAGCATCATCAGGGCAAGAATCTCTTTGGCATGACATGGTTACCTTACTGCCCCTCAAAGTCCTGTTATTCTACCCAAATATGATCTGTACAGAAAAATTATAGAAAAAAGATCATTCTTCCTGAAAGCAGCAAAGCCAAATAGTGACTTTACTGTGAATCAACTCTTCAAGGGCAGCAGTTTCAAATGCAGTTTAACAGCAACAACTTCTGTTTCTCCAGCTCTTAAAAGAAGCAATCAGAGCTCATTTTTCAAAGTTTGGCAGGAAAATTATCTTCCAATTTCTCCTCTAGAGTGCCCATACCTGGAAAATCCTTCTGTAACTCCAGCTCACTGGTAGACTGAGTCAGAGCCTTGGCATTTATTTTCAAGGCTTTCAGCTGCATCCTGCTATCACTGTCTTCACCATCCGAGATGGGACTTATTTCTTGAATTTTCAAGAGATCTCCAGTACTGAAAGTCTTCTCTGTGTTACTGGAACTCATTCTTAGGGCTCTCGGTGGAAGGCCTTCCTTCCTTGAGCTGATCTTCTGAAGTTTAGCAGGGAGCTTGTTCTTCTCTCCTGTAACATCAGCACAGTCAAGTGGACAAACCTGTTCTCTTCTGGTTTTCTTATCAAAAGGACTATTCAAAAGAGATGACTGGGACAGGTTTTCTTCTTGCTCTTTAACACTGTAAGGAGGAGTGGGGACTTCAAAGGTGGCGTGAAACTGAGAATAATCGACACGGAAAAAGCCATCTTCCAGAGACATGACTGGGAGGAACCTGTGACCCCACAGGACTTCATCTTCTGTGTATGAGGTCCTGGCTTGGCACGTCATTCCTGTGCAAATGGACAAGAGCATTCCAACGTGAGAACGCAGACTGGTACACGGGACCAAAAGTACAGGACAAGGCTGACAGATAAAAATCAATTGCAGCCAGCAAGCCAATGATTTTATAGGTTATAAAATGGAGCAGTTGTTCCTAGACAATCTTGACAGGCAATGGAGTGCCTCTAATTGACTGACTAGATTGTTATGCAATTATTGCAGACTTGCAACCAAGCCATAGCAAAATGTAAAATTAAATCAGTATTAGCTTGTGTGGTGGTTTCAGCTGGGACAGAATTCATTTTCTTCCTTGTGTCTAGTATTGGAAGCAATTAGGTCATCCCAAAGTTTCCCTTTTCCAGGCTGAACAATTTGAATTCAGACTCAAGAGAGTAAGTAATACTGTTTCTTGGGAGAAAGAACTATTGCTTGCCAGAGGCTTACAGTGTGGGAAATGAATTTATAGAAAATTCTCAAAGTAAGTTTCAAAGGTGGCCTCATAAAAAAAGACTAGATACTTTGGAGAAATAGAACTGTGAAAGATGCATTGTAGTAAGACCCACAAGGGGTAATTTTAGATGGTTGGCTTTAAGGAATTTACAGCATGGGGTGGCAAAAGCTGATAGCCAAGAAACACTTATCGTAATGTGCCAATATTACTGTAGGGTCACCTACGTTGGACAGTGTGTCCCCACCCTGAACCAACAGAAAAATGCCAACACCACAGTGAAACATGGAGGGCAGGAAGAAGGAGAAAAAGGACAAGACACACCCAATTTCCTCCATCTTGTCCCCTTTGGACCCCTAATCTAGAATCCTAAAATTTTACTTTTGCACCCGTGCCACACTTAATTATTACTCATATCAAACACTCAGAGCTTGTATTCCATCCTGTAAGATTGAAAACTCTTTTCCATGGACAGAGATCACAGACAGTGTCTCTGGGGGCTCTGTCCAGGGGGGCTCCTGACCCCTGCCAGGGTCCCAGACCTGCCAGGGCAGCCAGAGGGAAGCTCTGGATTCCCACAAAGCTCTGCAGCATATGGCAGGATATGCTGGAGCATCCAGCACTAGCAGCTGCCTTGCTAAAAATATCAGCACTGAAAACCAAGACTAAAAATCAGAGTATCCAGGTTATTCTAAGTCTTACCAGTGGTCTCAACAATCCCTTCGAGGATGACAACAATTTCAAATTGCTCACTCCTCAGTGATCTTTGTGAGAGAGAGAAAAAGGGGCTCTCCGAATTAATTTCATGACAGATGGTTAAAGGGGAAACTAAAAACAGCTGGTCAGCTCCAGTTCCAAATCCAACATCCAGTTCACACTGGTCCAGTGGCAGAAATTCTCCCTCCGGTGTCTGTCTGGACTAAAGATAAAAAGATGAGTTAGTAATCACTGTGTGAGACAAAAAATAAAATCAATGCAATAAAGTTTATTATCTGACTGACCCCCATGTACAAAACCAAAACCCCCCTGTACAGCACAAAAAAATTCTTCCCTCTACTTTGTGACTACCTCTACTGTAATATCTAAACTTTTGTGACTTCTTGTTCTTCCTGCAAGGTTGGTAAATCATTCCATGGTTCAAATCCAAAATCACAGCTGTTTCCAGCTGCCTGCCAGGGTCTCAAATGCTTCTAACCTGGACCCAGAACATCCAAAAATGTCTGAGGGACATTTTGAGTTCTGACAGTTGCCTGACTGACTCAAGAACTGTTTGATCTACACACCATTTCTTTTTGTGGAAGAGTCTTCGATCAAACCCATTCAATAGTAAACAAATCCAGTGAGGATGATTACAGGTAACAGATCTGGGAGAAAGCAGAAGGTTGTGTTTGAAGTATTCAGTATCTTACATTCAGGATTGATTTATGCAGGGCATGGAGGATGTCTAAAAGAAACTTGTTTGTTGACTAAAAATAGGTTAATGTGAATGAAGAGAGCTTAATAGCCCCAATAGGTTCAGCCTCTTAGCCAGTGACCTTTGTTTTACATCTACAGGTTTGCTCAAAGGATCACAAAACAAGAAGACAGAGGGCTATAAAATGTCAGGAATAAGCCCGGAAGGAACACTCATGACTCTTCGTTTCGACCATCCACATGACACAAAGTAAATTTTGCAGATTAATATATGTTGAACAAGGGCACAATTAATTATAAATGCCCTAGCTTGCAATTTAAATGTGGTCAAAGATGGATAATCTAAAGGTCTCAAAGAATTCCTCTAAAGGTTAATTGCTTCACAGCTAAGGAAAAAAAATTTAGAAGAAAAAAAGACTCCTGTGTATTTAACTTTCTGCCACTGAATCTTTGTGTTGCTTTTTATTACAAGGCAGACTTCCACTGTATCACCACTTAGACTGTTTTAATGTCTGAACAAATACATCATGCTCTTCAAATCTTCACTCCTATCCTTTATTCATTCTCTTTGCTTTTCTAAACTCTGCTTATGCATAAATATGCATATCTCCCTTTAACTGGAAATAATGCAGTTTTATTATCATTATTAACCCTCTGTCAGTTCACTCATTAGAGAACTCACATAATTATGTTTTGATATCCAAGTGGACTAATTAAGTACTGGAGCATAAAAAGTGGGACTTAAAAGATGCAGCACCAACAAGCTTAATATTGTAGCACATTGTAGAGAAACATAAATTAGAAAATGCTGAACTGGTACATGTTCATTGCTCCTCCCCCACACTCAGACTATCAGCTTGCAAGAAGTGTTATTATATTTTATATTACTGGAATAATATGATCTTGTTACTTTGATACCATTGTTGAAGATTGGTGTGGAGTTTTTCAGTTGTGACACTACACCTGGAGCTCCACTGTAGATAATTCCTGGGATCACTGCTACTTTTTATTTTAGTCTACTTGCCCCGTGCTGTAAATATGACCTGTGTGAGCTGGGCCTGTTCAGAGCAGAGAAGAGAAGGTGTGGAGGGGGATCTAACAAACATTCCAGAACCTTGGACAGAAGGAGACAGAGCCAGGCTTTTCACAGAGGTGCCTGGCAGGAAGGAGAGACAACAGGTATAAGCTGAACCAAGGGAAGTTTGGATTGGATTGAAGAAAAACATTTTCATCATGAGGACAGTTAAGCAGTGGAAAAGCTTGTCCAGCAAGACTGTGCAGCTTTTTTTTTTTTTTTTAGAGGTTTCCAAAACTATACTGGAAAAAGCCCAGAGTAACCTGGTCTGATCTCCTACTCACCATACTTTCAGCAGAAGGTTGGACCATAAATCTCCTGAAGTTCCTTCCAATCTGAACAATTCTGTAATATTAAAAAACTTAATTTTTTTCCACTTGGTGTGGCCAGTTCAGTGACAAGGATTTACAGGAGGACATGGGAACCAATATCACGCCTTTCAATGAGGACTTTTTCACATTCCATTTTAAATCTGCTGTTCATAGTTGGTGTCTGTCAGAGGTCACAAAGCAGCTTGAAGACAACACATGGGCATAAGGATCATACAAAAAAAAAAAAGAAATCAAGAATTGCTCACTGATTCAGTGTATGGCCTACAAAACAGCTGTCCTAAGATACAATGGTCATGCAGGTCCATCAAATGTCCTTCAGTTTTCTGTCCCAGTCACCTGCATACCAGCACTGCGTAGCAACAGAATTGTCAGCAGAAAGGACCTCAGGCTGTATATTCAGTGTCTTATTTCAAAAGAAAATGAGTTGCCCGCTCTGTAAAAAGACAATGTGACCCCACTTTTATTCCACTTTCACCTGCATATCATTTTGAATGATATAATTAAATACTTTAGAGGAGATTTCTGGAGGATAAAGCAACAAAAACCATGGTTCAGCTGGCTTTCCAATTCCTACAAAAATTGCTCCAGTGTAACTCCTCACAGCTTGTTCCCATATATACACATACACACAACTTCTTTTTAAATCTTAGCAGATTCTCCATTTTAAGTGGTATTATGTAGCAAGAAAAATTATCAGCTCAGTCTGGCATTCAGCACAGAAAAAAAACAGCCTTTCATATTCACCACTGCCCCATCACCTACTGCTTCATGCTTGTTCATGCAGATTATTAAAAAAGGCCAGAGAGAATTACCAGACAGGGCACAGAACACTTGCAACAGTAAAATATGATATCTGAAAATTAATGCCATCATTCTGACAGCTGAGGAGCTTCAGACAAAGTTTCACCAGGCATACTTCCCTGACAAGTCACAGCTGCTGTGAGATGCTACATTGCTTAGTATTTTTCAGTGCTTTTCTTCCATTCTACTCCAGTCCAATTTATCTTCTGGACTTTCGTGACTGCCAAACTTTTCTGGGGTTTTTTTGTTTGTTTGTTTGTTTGTTTTGGGGTTTGTTTGGTTTTTTGTTGTTGTTTTGGTTTTTTGTGGTTTATTTGGTTTGGTTTTGGTTTGTTTTTTGGGACTTTTTGTGTTATGATCTCCTTTGAATTCCAGTTGTCTTGCATTCTGGATTCCACTAGCCATTGTCAGTGATTAATAAACAGATATTGGTGACAATCAAAGGGTGTTTCCACTAAAGCATCTATACAATCCCTCTGAAACGCTGTGAGGTCACTAGCTGGAACACTGGGATAAGGGACTGCAAGTTAAAACTCACCGAGTTTCCCCAAGAGGAAGAGGAGGTCAAGGTTGATCTTTATCCTAGTTTAACACCACCACAAATCGATTCTTTATTCCCAGCCATAATCTCTAAGCAGCATGCCTTAGCACCCGTCCTTGGAGCTGTCCTGCATCCTGACACATCCATCCAACCTGACTACACGGGGTTTCTGCCAGCCTCACAACCCACCGAAGTGCCCTGGGAGGTCTCTGCTGAGAGTTTTCCCCTACGCCTGCTCGGCTCTTTCATGGCTCCTGCTACGAGATCCACACCAAAACCTCCCCCAGTCCTTCCCAGCGCCGCAGCCACATCCTCGCCCGCATGCCGAGGGACAGCACGGCTGCCCCGGGCACGGCAGGGCAGGGCAGGGCAGGGCAGGGCAGGGCAGGGCAGGGCAGAGCTGCCAGCGGGCACCAGCACCGGCGGCTGCACAGGAGCAGCCCCACGCTCCTGCCCCGCACCCTGCCCGTGTCGCCATCGCCACCAGGTGCCCTGTGCCACCCACAGCGTCGCGCAAGCCTCACCTTGATCAGCTTGCAGCGGATCTGGGCGGACACCATGTGGCTGTTGCGGAGGTTGCCCACACGAAACATGAGGCAGAGCTTGGCATCGCGCTGCGAGATGACGGCGGCACGGCTGAACATGAGGGTCTCCGCTCGCTTCTTGGGCTGCGACATCTTGATGAACATGCAGCCGATGAGGAACGCGTCCACAACGGAGCCCAGCAGCGACTGGAAGAGGAAGAGCACGATGCCCTCGGGGCAGCGCTCCGTGATGTAGCGGTGCCCGTAGCCGATGGTGGCCTCGGTCTCTACGAAGAAGAGGAAGGCGGAGGGGAAGTTGTACACGTTGGCCACACACGGGCTGTAGGTGTCACCGTGCGCCTGGTGCAGGTCACCGCGCAGGTAGGCGATGCCCCACCACATCGAGGCCATCACCAGCCAGGCCACCGTGTAGGTCAGCAGGAAGATGAGCAGGTTCCAGCGCCACTTGAGGTCCACCAGCGTGGTGAAGAAGTCGGAGAGGTAGCGGCTGCTCTCGCCGCCCAGGTTGCCGTGCTGCACGTTGCAGCGCCCGTTCTTGTCCACGAAGCGCTGCCGCTCTCTGCGGGCGCTGCAGCGAGCGAGGCCCACGGCCTGGTACTCGTCCCCAAACTTCCTGCGCACGGCTGCCATGCCGCCCGTGCCGGGGGCTCGGCGGGCACGCCGGGGAGGCGGCGGGCCGGGAGGCTGAGGCACCGCGCTGCCTGCGCAGCAGCCGCCAGCCCCGGGGCGAGCACCGGGCACCGGGATGCCCGCGGAGCCGGAGCGGCGCTGGGAGCGGAGCTGCCAGCGCTGCCCGATGGCCAGAGGGGCAGGGCAAGGGCCGGAGCAACCACGGCCTGGCAGGGGAGACGGCGGCAGGACCGCGCAGCCGGCGGGGAAATGCGGGCTGGGCTGGGGCGGGGAGAGAGGGGATGGGCTGGGGCCGGGAGAGCCGGGATAGGGCGGGGAGAGCCGGGATAGGGCGGGGAGAGAGGGGCTGGGGCTGGGGCTCTAATACCTCTGTAGAGCTTAGCAGATCTGCCATGCTGGGATTTTAGTGACCCTCTCTTTCCGTCTGTCCATTTGTTACCCCCTTCACTGAGTGCAGATTTTTGTCATAGTTGAGATGGAGACAATACAAAGCAACACTCTCCATTTCCAGAAGGCTTCAAACAGTTTTTATTATAGCCTGCATGCTTTTTATACATTCTTACAAAACTCATCAGTTTGCACTTTATTCATTGGTCACCAGAGACAAACAAAGTGCTGATTGGAATAGGCAGGTGCAGGTTTCTCTTATTTATCCTTCCTTCTTTCTTCGTTTCTGGGTAAACATGGATCCTCTTATCCAACTTCTCTCTGGCTCAGAGCAGTTGAGCAGTTGCTGTAAAACCTCTCCCACAGATTTTTGTCTCCACCTTTAAGGTCTGGATGGCTTCTTGAGCGTGCCCTGCCATCTGCCCTGTGCTGTCAGCCTGCTCCCTCGATTCCTGGGCACCAAATATCCACCAGCACGATTTGCCCTAAGTTATTTTTGTGCACGCTTCAATGCTGCACCTTCTTGGGATGAATCCTCCTGGAAAAAATTTCAGGAACTCTCTGCAATGTCCTCTGAGTCTTGCAATGCCACAGCACACCTAGCAACACCTAGCTAGTGACCAGATGGTGAACGACACTTGGTCCTGAGAGGAAAGATGTGTGCTAAAGTCTATACAAATAATTTGATGGATGAAGGGATGGGTGTTGACGTCTTTGAAATGAGTGTTAATGTCTCTACTGACTGCGCAGCAGGTTTGTTAGCAGCCCGGAAAGCTTGGCTCCTGCGATAGGCAAGAGGCTGAACTTTGGGGTAAAATGCCAGGTTCAAGGGGGGATATGGGCTAGGCAGTTTGGGAAGGCTGCACCCTCCAGGTACCTCAGCAATGGGGAAAGGAGCAGGGCACCGAGCTGCCAGGCGTTGGGATAAAAGGGAGGCTGCTCCCTCTGAAACCCCGAGAGAGAAAACCCCGCTGGCCTTTCTCCCTTTACTCCAATCAAGTTAAAGGACTCCTCTGTCTCATTTTTAGACATAAACCTCTGGGGTTTTGGACTGTCCTGACAGTCCCCAAGAGTGACTTCAATAAGGGAACTCTGCAGGCCGGGCCGAGGCAGCGCCCAGGTCCGCCCGGAGCTCCCGCGGGACGGCCGGAGCCGCGGCTGTGGGGCGAACCCCGGAGCGGAGCGGGCAGCAGAACCCTGACGGCGCTGAGAGTCCTGACGGTGCTGCTAACCCTGAGGTGCTGATAATTCTGAGGGTGCTGATAATTCTGAGGGTGCTGCTAACACTGACGGTGCTGCTAACCCTGAGGTGCTGATAATTCTGAGGGTGCTGACAGCCCGGTCGCACCGGGGCGATCCCGCCGCTCCCCAGCAGCCCCAGCCGCCCCTCAGGCCGCGGCAGCTCGGGGGCGGGTGGCGGGAGGGAGGGAAGGGAGGTGCGCCTAGCAGGGCTCTGAGGGCGCATGAGCGAGGTGCGCAGAGGCTGCGGAGGCTCCGCGGCCGGCCGGGGCAGCCTCCAGCGCCGCAGGAGCCCAGCCCGGGCCGCTCCCGCAGGTAACGGCGGTCGGAGGAGCACCGGGCGCGGCGGGGCGCGGTGGTGCTGAGGCGGCGGGGGCGGCGCCATTTTGCGGGCCGGGCTCCGGTGCTGCGTTGGAGGCGCGGCCCGGCGGGAGGGAGCCCGCGGGTGTGCTGGCCGTGCCTGGGGGCTCGGTCCGGGCTAGGGATGCCCGGTGGATGTGGGAGCGTGCTCGCTGCTGAGCGCGGCCTCGCGGCTCGCCAAGCAGCTCAGGCAGGGCCGTCGCTCTCCGCTCCGTGCGGAGCGCAGCCCCCTCCGGACGCGGTGCAGCTGTGAGGCGGTCTGGGCCCTCAGGTGCCACCTCCGGCAGAACCAGCGGCTCGGTGGAGCTCACATGAAGTTCTCCTTGGGGCGGGACAGCCCTTGCCGGGGTTGCCCGTGGGGTGTCAGGCGGGCCCCCACGCCGGCCGAGGGTTGCCCGGCTGAGCCCGGAGCCGCCCCTGACGTGGGGCTCTGAGGGAGAGTCCGGCCCGTGGTGCCCAGCAGGGATGTGCGGCTCTGTCTGTGCTTCGGGCAGCACCAGAGTAGAGTTTTTCCGTGCTAGAGTACGTACGGTACCCTGTGAAAGAGCATCACTCAGGTTTGACGGGAGGAGAAATTTGTGTGGCTGTCAGCGATCACCTATGGCCCGGTCAGGATACTGATGGATCTTCTGACCTATTCGCTAGGGCCGTGTAAAATGTTAAACTGCAGATGCTTTCTGAAAGTAGCTATTGCTTTGAATAGTACAATCTGGATTACAGAAGCTTTATGTAGTGTTAGGCTGTGAACCACAATAGGTTTATTCTACAAGTTAATAGGGATATGCCAGGTCATGTTATGCTTCTGTTTTATCTTCTGTTTTGACCCTATGGCAAGCATCAGTTGGGTTTGTTTAGGTCTTTATTAGCTCTTTATTTAGCTCTTAGCATCTTTCACATTTTGTGTGAAAAATGAATTAACTTTTAGGTAGATATTTTTAAAGAGGAAAACTGTATTTGTGCCTATTGATGCTACACTGATTTATGGTTTTGAGACCCATCTTGCAAAATACCACATGCTGGGGCTGATTGTCATAGCTCTGAAGCCAGCCCTGGGTTTGGAATGCTTTTCATTCTTTGGAGTGTTCATTCCAGGCAGTTCTGTGTAATGGGATTTTTACAGAGCATGGAAGATGCCTCTAGGGGAAGTCTCCATTTTGATTGCTGTGCCTAGACTAATTCTGATGCTCCTGAGTTTGCTGTCAGGTTTTTAAGATGCTGAAATGTGTGTTTTCCAGGTTCCTGTGTGGGCTTTTTTTCAGTAAGAATCTAGAAAATAACTTGGCTTTTTGTGGGGTTTGGTGCTAAATAGGTTTGACTGTAGGAAGCACACACTGTTGCAAAGATGAAGCATGCAATTGAAGTTCTTTCTTAATAATTTGAGAAGATTTAAATATATGTCAAATGAAATGCCATAGTCAAGGAACCAAAGCAGTTGAATGAATTGCCTATAAATTCCTTTGGCATGAAGTGTGTGAGTGAAATGTTTATTTCTTCTAAGCAATAAGTAATAAGAGTGTTTAAATAAAGGTATAGTATATATAATGCACTGGAGCACAATCCATGGATTAGAGTGAAATTTCAACACTCAGTTCCTTTACTTAGGGAAGTCCCGCTATGTTTTGATGCCCAGATGGATTAATTGTAGTGGTAGAAAATACAGGGTGTAAAACACAGGTGACTGTTGAGCTTAGTATGTCACTATGTTGTGGAGAAGCTCAAGAATCTAGAAAATTCTAAATAAGTAAATGCTAATTTGCCATGCAGTACTATGGTATTTTCAGGCAGCTAATCAAGAAAATTTGAATTGGAAGATCATCAAACTTGTTTCATGTAAAAAAACTCTGAGAGACTTATCTACAAATAGAAACACAAGGAGCATCCTTTTTTGTACTCAGCAAAGAGTTGGAGTCTGTTGTGCTGTTACGGAAGTTTATTTTTATAAACTACTCCAATGAATTTTATAAGCATGAACAAGATTGTAAGTGCCCTGAAACATGTTTCATCTTGGACTGGCAATTACATGCATGGATGCAGTTTTGATTTTTTTTAAATAAAAGAAAAAATATTGCTCTGGAGTAATTTGCTCTCAGTAACAAGAGACATCTGCAAGAGAAATATCTAAAGCGATTTCTGAGCAGTGGAAGTAGCTTTATTTTTTATAACATTCTTAGTACCTGTGACCAAGGTTGGTAGAGTGCCAGTCCTGCCAGCCTTAAGGAGCTGCATGTAAGTGTAGCATGGTTTCCTCAGAATCCCGGGGATGTGGACATTTCTTTGAGATGAGCTTTTAGGAAGCCCCAGAACATCTGGTGATTTGACATCTTCCTGCATGCTCTGTTTCTGCATGTGATGTTTTCCAGTGCTTTCAAACATTCCTTCCCTTCTGTTTTTTCAGGCAGTTATTTAGGCCTATCTTGAGAGCTACTCTCTTCAGCCTCAGCTTTATCCAAGATACAGTATGGTTATTATATAACCTAGTATTTTTTCATTTTACTTGCATTTCATTACATAACCTAGTATTTTACATTGTTACTTGCACAGCAGAATAACTGCAGAACTCTGCTCAATCCAGGTTAAACTGAAAACTAGAAAAAATGCTATATTTACATGCCTGACATTTTTCTTGCATATTTGAGCTTAGGTATTATGTTTGCTCATTTCAGGAGTGCTTCTGAACCACAGTCCAGAAAGAAGAAAAATCTTCTTGGTTGAAGTTGAACATTTGTCTCTAGGAGTAAGAGCAAAGCCATGCCAGTGCTTTCAGAAGACTCAGGTAACTCAGCTGCATGCTTTCAACAGAGCAGTGACTGAAATCTTGTCATACCTGTTTCACACATAAAAATAATTTAAATAGGAGTAAAATGTAATAGAATTAAGATAATTCAACTGAAGTTTTTGAGCAATTACCTACAAGAAGGAAGGTGGAATGTAAAAGGTGCAAATTAATAAAGTTTGTCAGGATCAGTTTCCTACTAACGCTAGAGCACCTGAATATATTCTGATAGACCTGAATATATTCTGATAGGCTCCTGTAGGCAGAATTGGACCTCTCAGTGTAACAGTGCCTTCTACATGTGCTTATTAAAGATCAGCCCATATATCTCTGCTGCTTGCTGTGTCATAATATTAATGTTTGTTTGACACTTATGAGGGGAGTGTTGCAAAATGAACTATGGATAAACACGAGATAAGCACAAGTCTCTGCAAATTTGATGATCACCAATGTGGTACCCAAATAAATGTAGTAGTGACTGTTAAGTCTGCAGTAGAAGGTCCTGTGAGAAGTGCTTTTGGTTTAGAATGTTTTTGTTCTGTCCTGAATCTAAATTTAGGGTTGCATGAAACTTTGGCCCTTTTGACATCTCAGTTAAGACCTGATTCAAATCATAAAGAGGAAATGGGATTCCTTAGGGATGTCTTCAGTGAAAGGAGTCTCAGCTATCTGATGAAGGTAAAAGTTTGGATTTATTTATGTACATTCTCCTTACAGTTTACTTTTTCTCTGTTCCCTTGATTTATCAACCACTTACTTTGCCAAACGTTTTTTTTTTTTTTTAAGAATTCTGTACCAACCAAAGCATATGTGTGTTTAAGAACAAACAGTAATAGTGTTTGACATTTAGCATATTTTATTCAGAAATAAATTTTTCTGCTCTTCTTGCTAAAATGAAGATACAGTACCCCATAGCAAAAAAATAGTGTGAAATGCCTTCATTTTTTCCCTTATGCTCCTAAGGTCTTTACAGATTTTCTGTCTGAAACTACCATAAGCAAAATGAAAACTAAGAGTCCAAAACAAAAATAACCTGAAGAGAGATTATTTTTCTGACACATCTCAGATAAATTATGCTCCTTAAATATAAAAATATTCCCGTGTAGGTATATTTAGAAAGTTTTGTATCTCTCTGTAGAAATATCCCTGAATAATCTTTTTTTTCAGATTCATGAAAAGCTCCGTCATTATGAAAGACAGAGCCCAACTCCTGTTTTACATAGTGCAGCAGGATTAGTTGAAGATGTGAGTAAAAATTCTTGTCTCATAATTTTCCTATATTTACGCTTGCTTTTCTAACAAATCAAAGCTTTGTAATTGTACTATATGTGAACATATTTCTCGTCTTCCCCAGCTGTCTTTGTAATCTGTTGGCCATGATTAATCAAGGAAATGAGAGCTCAAAAGTACCAAGTCATTAAATGTCTAGTGCAGATGGATACATTCAGGTAGAAGGAAAGGATATTATGAATGGCCTTCCGAAGGGGGAGGCTGCAAAAAGCATTCAGCCCTGTATTGAATAGGCTATCCCAGCTGAGCATTCAGTCTTCTATTCAGCCTTAAAACCACTACAACCCAGGCAGCACTGCTGTTGGTTTGGGTTGGGGGGACCTTGAAGGTGATCTCATCTAACCACCACAGGCAGGCTCACCTTTCCCTAGATCAGATTGCTCACAGCCCTGTTTATCCTGATTTTGAACATTTCCGGTGCTGGGGCATCCCAAACTTCTCTTGGCTGCTTCTCTCCATGCAGACTGGGATACATTACCATTATGTATCTGATGTTTCATCTGCCAGGATCCTCAGGTCACTCTCCTAAGGGCTTCTCTCAATCAGTTCATGCCTCAGTCTGTTCACAGAGCAGAGCTGTGAGCTAGATTTGTGTGTCACACCATGCCTTGTGCCTGTGAAGTGAAATTTATTCTGCATTTGCCGGCTCTTTACATGGACCTGTTTTCTACCATAGCATAGGAAGGGGCAGGGAAGGTTTGGGAGCTGGAATATTTCCCTTTCAAAGTCAGGAGACCCCAGTGCCCCCCTTAACATGCTCTGCACACCCCCTCTCCCTGTTCCCACACACAGTGTACCACCTCCACAAAAGTTTCAGCATTGCTACCTGTCAAGTCATACAAAATTTCCATCTTCAGAAAAGCAGAGAAGTTTTTTATGGAACTATATGACTTCCCTGCTTAGAACCCTTAACAGAGTAAGGAAATCTCTTTTGCCTCAACCCATTTTCCCTTCCTCCTCCCTCCTCTGCTTTCTCTCTCCTCCCACCCACTCAGCCCAGTGCAAAAGTGCCTCCATTATTTCTCTCATCTTTCATTTAAAATGCCTGAGAGTCCAGGGCATATTTTTGGTGTGCAGGTTTTGCAGGGGGACAAGGGAAGTTCTGTTGCATGTTCCACACAGGTAATACTAGATGATTGCAGAAAGGTTTAAAGTCTTTTATCAAGTAATACAAGAGTGTTGTTTCATTTATGTATCATTTATGTATTCCACATAGAATTTAAAATTTCAGAACTCGCTCCTGAAATTCTGTTGATGGCATAACTCTTAAAATGTATGTTTAGGGATTCTGATTCCTAATGCTGTCTTCCGTACTATCTAATAAAAAACAGCTTTGGTTCAGGTTTCATGCACTATGGACTGGGATCAGTTTTGATCTGTGCACACTACTTTGATGGATGATAGATGTTAGCAAACACTCAACAGAAATGTAAATACATGATCTGGTTCAGTAGACTCCTTTAATTTTGAGGTTCTAAATTTTTATTTTAAAGGTAATAGAAGAGTTGCAGACAGCACCAGTGAATAATGAAGAAAAAGAGCTGCTTCAGCTGTTGTCAACTCCACATCTCAGGGTAAAAACCACTATGAGGATCTTAAAAAATGCCTTTGCAGAATTGTAATAGAACATTTTGTAATAGAAAAGTTAATTAGAAGTTAATTTTCCCTAGGAGAAGGGAAAAACCTCCTCCAAACTTCTACTCCACTGGGATTTCTTGCACAGACTTTAGGATGTGAAGGAAATTGAAAAGAGACAGCTTTCCAGCAGAATGTACCATTCTGTTTTCCATTCTTCCCTTCCTTCAGTGTTTTCTGAGGGACTAGGAAAGAAAAGGAGAAGAAAAGGATACCTTCTTGCTTTTCATTGTCCACTTTGTTTTTTGTTTTGCCTGGATTTATTTTAAATATTGACATATACCAGTATACAGTTTACATAATAGATAAGGTAATTGCTAAATCTTTTTTGGAGGATTTGTGGTGAGGGGAGAAAGGAGGAGGTTTAATTTTGCTGTAATACTGGAAACATGAGAATGGGAATTGTAGTCTTACTCCATTACATTACTGTTTTTTATTTCCTTTATGCAGGCAATGCTTGTAGTACATGACACTGTAGCACAGAAGAACTTTGACCCAGCTCTTCCACCTCTACCTGATAATTTTGATGATGATTTTGATGAGGAATCAGTGAAAATTGTTCGGCTAGTGAAAAATAAAGAACCCTTGGTACATATTAGATCACCCATCTCTAGTCATAAAACTTTATAGTGCAAGAGTGTTATTTGGAATATGGAGGAGATACTTGAAGATGTCATCAAATAGCCTTCAGAAACTTGGAGTGTTCTGAAGCTTATAAAGTGACATAAAAATAATTTGGTAAATGGTAAATGCACCTTCACAATTTTGCATTTAGATGCTTCATGGGCATAGTTTATAATGCCAGTTAACACAGGAAGCACGGTGAAGAAACTGTGTATTTTGGAGCAATTATGCTGATTATATGTATTAATTCTTTTGACAGTGTAGCTAACATTCAATGACTTAATGTATTCACTTGCATGAAAGTCAGTGAGAGTATGTTTAATACCTGTGTATAAGCATTATATTGTCAAGGTCCTGATTTTATACAAATGGAAATGGAAGAATTGATTCCCCAAGGAAAAACGGTTATATTGGGAAAGAAATCTGATTTTTGTGTATCACAGTAGTAGAAGGGAGCAGTGACTGAATTTCTGATTAAAGCTTTGTATTGCCAGCAGAGGTAGGAGGGGGAAAAAAATCCAATTACTTGGCTTTTGTTGTTTTTACATGTAAAAGTGCTGACTGTATTGTATAAAGATTCAGAAGAAGAGGAGAAAGAATTTGTTACAATAATCTGTTTTACACATTTGAGTGACTTTGATGACCACAGTAATGCAAGGAGTGTAAGCACTTATCAAAGTCAGCAGAAAGGAAGGTGGATTCATCTTCCCATAATCACTTGGCATGGGCAAAACCTGAGTAATGGTGGAAATCATCAAGGAGAAAGAGGAAATCCATAGAATAAATTAATTCCAGTTTAAAAGACATAATAGCATACATTTTATTTCAGTGATTGCTAAATTCAGGGCAAATTTCTTACATTTTTTTGGGTGGGTATGTTTTATTTCAGGGAGCTACCATCAGAAGAGATGAACACACAGGAGCTGTGATTGTAGCAAGGATCATGAGAGGTGGTGCAGCTGATCGCAGTGGTATGATTGTAGTAGTACATTTGCATTTGGAAACCTCTCAAGTTTCCTAAGCATGCTCTTAGCACTTCTGTATTTCATCAGTAATCTGTTAATCTAATTACATATGCTTTTTATTAAAATGGCCATTAGGAAAAAAATTAAAACAGAGATGGAAGAAGTCTGTTTGAGCACAGAGAATGTTTCTAGTAGCTTCGTTTATTCAGTGTATCATGTGTTGTTTTCTGTTTGCTTTACTGAAAAATTCTTCTATGTCAGTTAACAGTAGCTATATATATGACAAATACAAGATTTCTTATTGAACTGGATAAAAAAATCTAAATCTTGTAGAGTCTCTTCATGGCTTGTTAAAAAAAGCTAGTCTAGCATTCTTTCTGTGAGTGTGAAGTATTGATCTGTCAGTTGACAAACATGTCATTCCTGCCTTTATAGTCAGTAGCATGTCTCCTGCCTTCATAAGATTTGGGCACGCTCATGAAACTATTCCAGTTTTTCATACTTCATACTGATCCAAATAGTGATTTTCCAGAGTACCTTGCCACAAGTTGCCTGTCTGTATGCTGCTCTCCTTTGAGACTGTGCTGCATGGAAAAAAAAGTGGCCATTAAGAATAAAGGGAGGAGACTCTGAGGCGCATTTCCAACAAAGCCACTTGGCTTTGGGACTAAATCCATTAGTCTGGATGAGGGAGGAGAGGAAGTACATGCTAATGACTTAGTCTGGACATCAGAGGAGTGATTAGTGCTTTCCAGTCTCTAGACCTATTTTAATTTACTTACCATCTTTTCAGGTCTTGTCCATGTTGGAGATGAACTAAGAGAAGTCAATGGTATTACTGTGCTTCACAAACGACCAGAAGAAATAAGTCAGATTTTGGTCTGCACTGATTTTCATTTCAAGATCTTTTCTGTTTGGTGATCTAGTAATTACAGTAGATGATGAAATTTAACCATGAGTTTAAAATATAGAGCTAAAAGATGCAATCCCTGCTTGTCTTTGCATTAAGAGTTTTTCTTCTCCCAGTGGATTAGTCTTCTCCTTTTGACTTCAGAAACTTCTGCGAACTGGATTGGTACCAAGTAAGATACAAATACAAAGTTAACATGTTGCTCTATCAAGAACTTCCTTTAATGCTTTGTATATGGCAAGCAAACTGCAAATTATAAATACATCCCTAGAAGATGCTTCATAATGTGTTAGGAAGCTGAAGAGAGTCTTGTCCGTGTGTTCGGAGTAGAGCTGTCAGTCTGTTCTTTGCCAGATTCCTGGTGACATGAGCAATTTCTTGCTTCAAGCTTCTCTAACATGAAAACCCACAAATCTTGGTAGAAAGTGTTGTAGCTCTTATGCTTCTTTATCTCTGATTTCCCTGTTGTGGTGTGGTTCTCCTTGTCTTGGTGTGGAGTTAGGGACACAGTAAGGAGGTTGGTGTCAGCTCCATCACCTAATTTCAATTTAGATCAAATAATCCCAAATAATACCAATGACTGTTTTTAACTTTGGGGGTGGGAGGTGTCAAAACCACTTAAATAGTGTGTAAAGTTTCATTTATGGGGATCCTGAGATGCTCTTTATCTGTCCTGTGTCATTTCTAATTACATATGTCCCATGTGAATTAATGCCTGAAGTGTAACACTTTCTTTTTCATGGTTTATTTTTTGAAGAAAAGCTACGAATGTTTGTCTGTGTTTGCTTTTTAATCTGTGCAGAATTGCAGGCTTCTCTACAACACAGTTCATCTCATGCAAAATAAGGCATCTAAAACAGATAAGATAAACCCATTCTAGATTTCTGAAGAACCTAGAAGTGCTATTTAGTTTACTATAACTAGTAATTGTAATTTCCTAGCAAAGATTTCTAGAGTGAAAGTAGGTGTTTATTTTGTAAATGCTTACATGTCACTCTAATAAGTTAGCCAGTATATGGAGAAAACACAGCAGTATTTTTGAAAGCAGCACTCTAAAATTATTAGTCTGCAAAAATTTAAGTCTGTGTTGTATTAAAAGCCACAGAAGTATGTAACATCCTTTGAACTGTGGCCCAGAAATTAATGCAATTGCTAAAAGCAAACAAAGGAATTTTAATGCAGGTCTTAATATGTTTTAGCCAAGTAGTTACTGTGGATGTCTCCTTGAGCAAGACACTGTTGTGGAGTCATGGAACGTCCTGATATTCTCTGTAATGCAGTTAAATAGTGTATTAGCTTGGTCTGTTAGAGTTCTGAGGAGTCAGCTGCTAGCTCCTGAGCTGGAGCTTGAATAGTCTGCATTGTATCTTTGTCCTGTTTTCAAAGTAAAAAACCATTTCTTTTTTCTCAGGCTCAGTCTCAAGGGTCAATAACATTGAAGATAATTCCAGCCATCAAAGAGGAAGATCGTCTAAAAGACAGCAAGGTATGCAGCTGAAAGGCTGAAGCACATCTTCACAGCCCTGTGAATGCAGCGCTCCTGCTGCTCCAGTGGGAACTGCCACTGACACTTAATTGAGGAGAAAAGATAGCAGAGTGCTTTCTTGTGCAGTACCCTTCTGTTCAATGGAATTACTTGCATGACTCCTCTCCAACTTGGACATGTTCTTTTATAGCATTTCTATATCCTGAAATCCTGCCTCTTCTTTTTGGTACGTGTAATTAAATTTAGTGTTGTGCTGTCTCCTCTCACCATGGCAGCTGCAATCTGTCCATTATCTCTGGGCATTTTGCCACTCACTTCAGGGGAAATGGACCTCTCTGCAAGGAGAGCTGCATTCACCATGTGACCCCATCAGCCCATTTCATCTGCCCTACCTGATCAGCAATAAGGAATTGCTTGACTGGTCCCCATAAGATTCCTCTGTCAGTCTCTTTGCTTCCCTGCTTTTGGTTGCTGAACTTTTCCTTGAGGCCCACAAATCATTTTCGGAAATGGCTCTGCTCTTATGTTAAAGTGTGTTAAGATACAAATCCAAAGTTGAATAGTAATTTTGATGCATTAAAGGAACATTTTAACGACAGTCTTTACAACTGGGCAACTTTGCCAAAAATCCATTTTATTGTTTTCTCCCTCCCCTTATTTTTTTTCCAACCATTCCTTTATTGCATTTTGTACTTAATGTAGATTGTGATCATGTTTCTTGGCACTTTGGTCTTTTGAGTCTCATGTTCCACAATTCTGATATATAATAACTGGGTATGAGCTGGAATTTATTTTTCTGCATAAGCTGCTAGCTGTCTGTATTCTTGAGTGCTTGCAGGAGGGATAAAGTATATATATCATTAGCAGTGTTAGCACTGGGGAAAGCCTTTTAAAAGCAGATATTTGAAATTCCAGAGAGGACAAGAAGAAATGACATGGTGACTTTCTTTTGAAGGTGTTTATGAGGGCACTTTTCTGCTATAACCCCAAAGAAGACAGAGCCATTCCTTGCCAGGAGGCCGGGCTGCCGTTCAAACGCCGCCACGTGCTGGAAGTTGTGAGCCAGGATGATCCCACGTGGTGGCAAGCCAAGCGTGTTGGGGATACCAACCTCAGAGCAGGCTTGATCCCCTCAAAACAGTTCCAAGAAAGGTTTGTCAGCAATTACAGGATTTATTTTTCTTCCACATGTATACAGTGTCACTATATTGATTTTATGCCTTTTTTTTTTCACAGAAAATGAAGGGCATGGTCATACCAGGGTAGATACAGCTGCTAAGGGGAAAATGCTACAAAGCTCCATCATTTCCAATTATATAATAAAATTCCTGGCTTGATTTGAGTATTTTACCATTGTCTTAATGCTTTGTAGCATGAGGACAGGTGCACTTGCTAAACAAACGTGTATGAAATGAAATGTGGAATATCAGTCTTTTAACCATCTTGGCTTATGGTTATGGGACTGTATTTCACAGCCTTGTACTTCCACAGGTTTATTGTATTTATTTTGAATTTCTGCACATAATATCTGATCTTTCTTCTGGCTCGTAAGAGTATTTAGCTTGGACTGGGATACCTTCTAGAGATTGAAATTTCTCTGTTTTCACAGCAAGATATGTGTGCCTTCTATAGCAAAATATCCCTCAGTTCTTGGCTTTGCAGCACAGAAGTCCTATATTTGAGAAGGAATCTGATTTAAGGCACTGGTCTCACTTTGATTCTTGCTGCAATTCACCATAAATTGGATTGTAGGTGTTACAGAGTGGGGTATCAAACAGTTGAACAGGTCTGATGCTGTTGCTGGCCTGCATGATTTCCACAAGGTTTCTAATTGAGGTCTTGGCTCCACTACATGGAAACTACTTTGAAACATGAGGCCGATTCTGCCTCTAAAGCTGTTTCCTTCTTCCTGGGCATGCATATGTGTCATAAAATGCTGCTGCACTGCTGCACTGCAGTCTTTTAGTAGTTTTTTTATGTTATAAACAATTAAAAAGAATATAGAAATTGCTTCAGTGTCTGTTTCCCCTGAGTGACTGTATAAATGCCTGAGCACCATCTTTTGTCTGTCAGCATCATTTGTTATGAATATTGGAAAAAAACACTTGGGAAGAAACTGTGGTTTCAATTGCCAGCAGTGAGGGGTTTATTGAGGGCTGGATTTTTGTGCAGGATTGTTGGGGTGTTTTTGGTGTTGGGTTTTTGGCAGGAGGTGTTGAGCAAATAGGAATTGTGATCTGGTTTGTGATTTTAGCACTTAGGAAAGATTTTACTTGATACTTTGTTCTTACCTTTTCACACAAGCTGGGTAACTTGGTTTGTTTGCTAGTAAATAATAGAAAACTTCAAACTGATCTGGAAAAAGGTGGGTACTTTCTACTTATGCACAGCTCAATGACTGCTTTGGACAAAGATTATCTAGTTTTCTTAATGTTGTAAAAAAAGATCATGTGGGCAGAAGGGAAATAGGGAAAAAAACCCCAAACTGATAAACTGTTGATCTCTATGCTCTGATATATGAAAGCATAAAATGTTTTAGAATTTTCTTTTCATTCCCTTGCCAGTAACAATCTGAGACTGTCATAGTTTTAAACAAAGCCTTTTAAATAGTTTAATCAGAGACATTTTAAATTTTTTTAGAAAAAGCAGTATTTAATTCTTTCTTTTCCATGCTATGTGTATAACATGCTATAAATTCTCATAATTCTGAGTTTACATTTCTAAAGTGTAATTTTTTTCTATTCAGACGACTGAATTACAGGAGAGCAACAGGCACTCTGCAGAATACCAGAACTCTGAAGAAACCGTTATGTAAGTCTGTTCTGTTCTTTCAGTGATATTTTAATTGATCCTAAGTTCTCAGCATTTTTCTGTTATTTCAGTAATGATGTATTTGAGTGTATTTTGCCACTGATTGATATTTTAAATACCATCTGCCATTGGTTGATATGCATGGACACAAGCTGCCATGGGGGAGGATTTGGGTTTGAGCTTTATCCAAGTAGCTAGTGCCTGTTGTTTTCAAAAATCTTAGCTGTCCCTCTCTTCCTGCTCTCAAGAACATGAGGCTTTACATATTTAGATGACTTAAAATTTGCTAGTGTTGACACTTTTTCTGTAGTTTGAAACTTGAAAGCTGCAAAAATCACCTAATGCATACTTCTCAAAATGCTTTTATGAGTGCATGAAACTACAAAGTGTAGCTTTAAGGAGGATAAAAATCACTGGAGCTGGCAATATAATCTGTATTTCAGGCTTAATCTTAAGTAGACTTCAGAGTGATTTTTGTTTACAGCTCTGCAGTCTCTGACACTGAATTATTCACAAAACCTCTACTTGTGAGGAAATTCCTGAGAAGTTATGGAATGCAGAAGCTGGTACAATTATCCCAAAATGTGTTTCTGTTGCTCTTGGGTATTTTAGCACTGTTGATGTTGGGGGAAACCTGTGACTGTGTGCAGCCAGGATTGTGCTAGGGCTGCCACCCTCGTGTAGACAAGGGTTCTGGAAATGGTCCCTGTTGAGTAATAGAAGTGAATTTCTGCCTTTGGTGCATGATGAGATACAGATATTCTCGTGCTACAAGGAGGGAAGATGCTCAGTTAAGTTATAAAATAGCATTACTGATTAAAATGAAGCTTTTCCAAATTAGTTTCCATTGCGCTCAAATTAGGAGGCATGTAATGAGGAGTGCTGCTTAAGCTTTATCTTGGATTTTTTCAAGACAATTAAGCTGATAACTGGTTATAATAATTACATTTCAGCCCAAAATTCTTTAATCAGTTGATAAGGGTATTGTATTGCAGTACTTTTTTAAGATAGAAAAGCCTGTTAAGCAAATTAAACCAGAAGAACCTTCCTTTTAATTTTCTCTAATTTTGCTCAATTATTTGTCCATCTTTTAATATCATCCCAACTCTGCCTTTCATGCTAACTTATAGATGATCAGTCTTCTGACAAAGGTAGGTGCTCTCCTAGCTCATTTTCTGTCTGAATATAAACAACCAATGTATTTTCTGAAATACTTGCTACAATTCCAAAGGGAGCAGTAGACATATTGTTCCTAGGATATTTTCTTTGTGAATTACTATTTAAACTAATTCAGATTTATGATTTAAGTAGTGGTAACTTCCAAGTTTGCTTCCGATTCAGGAGAAAAGATTTGTCTTCTGAGATATATTTACATGTTCTGTAGGTTTCTGAGTGATGTTCAAAGACTTGCAAGTTAAATGCAGTCTTTGGTATATTTAAAAAATAAAGAAGTATTGGGGTTTAGCATTTTAGGGCACCCATGTCAATGCCAAGTGATTTGTCTTCATTGTTTTCTGTGTTATTTTCATTATGAGCAACTCTGTTGGGCTTATGCAGTTTATATGTCATGTACCAGCTGCCTTTCCAAAAACCAAGTATTTCCTGTTGAATTCTATATGCTGTGATTTTTTTTCACATTACAGTTGCTTGTTGATATTCATATTCCAAGTATTAAGTATTCCATCAGCTTTGATGAAAGTACTAATCATATTCTGTAATTAGAGTATAGCAGTCATGGCCAGCTGTCAAAGCACAGTCTGAAAGAGCCTGCCTTGAACAGCAGAAAATAAAAAAACAAAGCAGCTCTGATCTTAGCTATGATTTGATCTTATTGCTATTTACATTTCTTCTTAATTTAGGCAGAATGTTCTGGGAGTACACGTTGGCATTGCTTGATTACAACTATTCATTAAAAACAAAGCAGTCTCTTTGGTTAAAGGTTTAATTGCTATAGATTTTTGCTTATGGTTGGGTTTTTCCCATACATCACCATCCCAAAATGTTCTGTAAATATTACAAGGGCTCAGGTGCCTAAATGTTAACTAGACATCCCTCTTCCAGGAAGTATGAGAACTCAGTATTTGTCTTAGGATTGCAGAGTATTTTTTTGCAGCTAAGTATAATGGTTTTATTATGCACACTTTAGGGGCCTTGGGGTGGTTATAATTTGAGGAAGTACTGGTTAAGGGTTTTTAACATGGTGGTTTACATAGATGCATATGACCAAAGCATCAAATCTTTATTTTTTTAAGTAAAGAATTAATAAGCAATGATAATTTAACTTGATCAAAATTAAGGACGTTAGAGGTCATCTTTGTCATTTCTGATGCCCTTATGCCCTTTTTTCTAGCCCAAATGATAGTGAAATCTCAGAAGAGGAAATTTTCTTACATAATCATACTCCCGTATAGTTACTAATTTAAAAAAGAGCTCTGTGTTTGTGGAGTCTTCTTTTTTACTTAAGCCTGAGTCTCATACTTCTACCAGCAGCACTAATCAAATGTCATGAACGCTGAAAAGCATAAACTCTGGGAACTGTAAATACCAAGATATAAAATTCTCTAGTTCAATATCAAAGTTGAGGATTTTTTCAAATATAAACCACTAGTCAAGGCAAGTATTTTTTTTAGTATTAGCAATGATTATATTTTAAAAATATGTGCAAACAATGCAGGGTATAAAATTTCTTTCCATGCCAATGAGCCTGACTTGTATCACACACATTGTCTAAGATATTTCCTTCCTCCCTCTCACTCTCCTTTCCCCTGTGCCCTACGCCCTCTTCCTTGCTTTTTAATTTACAGAAGACTGTGACTGTGAAGGATATTTCAATGGACACTATATAGGTGAGTAACCAAAACCCTTTACTTCTTCCCTAGCACACCCATCCCAAAGACACTCAGAACCAAAATGAAAACAAAACACCCCCACCAAATAAACCCCCCCAAAAAACCCCACATCCACATTAAAGAATTAAAACTGAACTATTGAAATTCCCATACATTCATAAACTAGATTATCTCTGTGAAGAGGCATAATCTGACTTTGGCATAACAAATACTTGGCAGCTAAAGTTATATGAAGGGGATTTTATTACAGGTTGGGTGTTAGGTTTTCTGTCCCATCTGCATATTTTCCCCCTTCCCTGGAGCTCCTTGCATTTTTTAGAACAGCTTCCAGTAGCATTCTAGTCCTTGATCTCACTTTTAATATCTTCAACACCTTTTCCTAATGGTAGCAGCTTTTGTTACAGATTTCTCCTATAATCTGAGCATATATGCACTGATTTGATTACAAACAAAATTTATGGGAATAACTCAAATTTAAGGTAATAACTTGAAGCTGAACAAGCTTGAAAATCTGGGTAGGTGGAAGCATGTATCCTTTGTTTTCTTCACAGCTGGTTTACGCAGGAGCTTTAGGTTAAGTCGTAAAGAGAAGGAAAACAATGGCAATGAGGGCAAGCAAGCAGAGCAGGCAGATGGAGCAGAGTTCCTCACCTATGAAGAAGTCACAAAATATCAGCAACAGCCTGGTGAACAGCAGAGGCTGGTGGTTTTGATTGGTAAGGTACACAGTTGGTTCAAAATATTTCCCATTTCTCCCTCTTCCCTTATCCTGCACTTCCAGCAGCTTTCTTTAGATGTTTGGTTTAGGGATTTTTGTGGTTCTGGTGGGTTTTTAAAATGTTTTTCTGTTTTTTGTCAGAACTCACTCTTTACATTAAAAAACAAGGAAAAAAACTAAGCAAGGAATCAAACTCACCAAATCCTTCTAAAAATAATGATGCAGGATTATTTCTCATTTTTCTGCCTCACTTTCCCTTGGTTTATACTTTACATAGGCTGTCAGAACTATTGATGAAGAGGCAGATGTTAGAATTATCTAACAAGATTTGGCATGCAATTTCATTTCAGCTTATCAGCCTTGTGCTAAGCCAGTTTCTCAGGATGCCCTAAAATTCAAGGGTATCTCACAGAACTGACTGCTAAGATCACAGATTTCTTGATTTAATGTCTGCCAAGTGACTGTCCAGCAGTTGTTTAAAGAATTAAATTTGTTCCTGCTGATCTTCAAAGCAGAATATGGCAGAGCAGGTCATGAGTTCTCTCATAAAGAGGTTTCTTCAAGCACACTCCTGAATCATATTCTTTGTGTGAAACGGATAGATTTATTTTCTGCAGTATTTCATTTCACACAGAAACCTATCAGACAGTTTTATTTTATTTTATTAGGTTGTTTGGGGGCCAAGTTAAGTGAGCTCAAGCAAAAAGTTGTGTCAGAGAACCCCCAGGAGTATGGTGTTGCAGTTCCACGTGAGTAAAATTTACTGATTTGTGTTTGGTGGATCTTCATTCCATAAACGCTGTCTAATGAATGTTGTGCCATCTGCACTAATGATAATTTGTGCTCTGACTATTGATTATATGCATATTTCTGAAATACTTCACTTTTTTTTCCTCATTATAATATGCTATGTTTGCCCTTAGGAGGTGAATAAATCATTATATAACTTGGCATATCTGCATTTTGGAATTCTGTCAGCTCAGTGGGGTTTTTTAATTGTGTTTTCTTGAGTGGGCATATTGCATTTTCTCAGTGTCTGTTAAAAGAAAAACTGAATACAGAAAGAAAAAATGGAAAGAGACTAGCAAAAAGAGCTGGTCTGATAAACTAGTACCTTAAAAGTCAGCCAAAACATTGTGTGTTTAATAAAGGGTGAATTTTCATGGGAACAGCATTACAGCTGCAGTTAAGAAAAAAAACAGACAGCAATAAATCAAGTCTAAATTTGGGCAAGATTTTAAGTTGTTGATTAGTATATCTAGGCTGTTCAAACAAGCAAGTCAGAGTAGAGAAATCAGTGATTTTTACATGGCTTTGTGGCTTGAGTTACACTGAATTTCTTTAACTGGATCCTTTTCTAAAAAAAAAAAAAAAGAATTATCAGACACACACACACACACAAAAAATCAATTCTTATTTTGATTCCCCAACAAGCTACTTCTTGAATCCAAAAAGTTAACATTGAGGGAACTGTTTATATGTTATTTAAGACCTTTAAAAATAAAGCTTTTCAGGCAGACTTCAGTAAATTAGCAAAAGAACCCAAGTGAGTAATTCCTACTTGAATTTAAACATACACATAAAAAAATAGAAGACATCACTTTTATGATCTGGCACAGATTTGTAGAATGATCATCAAAGCCTCTCCTACAGTAATGATGATTACAAAGAAATTGCATCAAAAGTAAGGGACTCACATGCACACAATACCTTGGGAAACAGCCATCAATATTCTTACTGTAAATTCAAAGGCAGCATAATAAGACTTCATATATTTCCTGGTTTTATTTTTGAGCTTTCCAAGAAAATGAGAGTCCAGAATTCCAGACAATTAAATTACACTGTTTTCTGTAGGATATACTCTGCTAAATCTACCAGGTGTAGGAAGGATGCTTCCTAATTTTTTTTTGTTAGTTACAGCACTCCTGGGAGCAAACAACTTCATTTTTGGTCATACCATATATGACCTTGAGTTTAAAACAAAATTTTATGGTCTGATTTCTGCTTTGTTCATTTGAATTTGCCACTATGTAACTTTCTTGTTTGAAGTTGTGAAAATGGGACTGGAACTGAGTAGAGAAAACATTTGCAAAGGCTGATATGTCTCACATGTCTTGCTTCCTTTCTTTTCTAGATACAACAAGGTCAAGGAAAAGTCATGAGAGAGAGGGAGTAGAATACAATTTTGTTTCTAAGCAATCATTTGAGACAGATGTGCAGCAAAACAAGTGAGTTAATTGTAAGATACTGATATAATTGACTATTTAAAAATATTGCTTGTTCAGTTTTACATTACATGAATACCAAAATCAGGTGACAAGTTTCACAAGCTGCATTAGAAGGATTCAGCTTTCTAAGTAAAGAGCTCTTTACTGAGTCTGGAGTGTCAGAGCAAACTCAAACATTTATCTGGAAGCAATTTAGGTATATTATCAGTAGGAGGATCCTGAGTTAGAATTTAAACCTGCATAAATCTTCTGATTGGTCAGAATTTAATCTAGTGAGAGTAACAGATAGTTAGGCCTGCTCACTCTCTGTTTAATGTGATGGGTAAAAAGTTTTATTCACAAGTCTCCTTGAAAGTGTGTGCTAGAGTGGACCTGTGCTTACACCTGACATTGTGAGCCTGAGCACGTTTCCTCCAAGTTCAGATCTATAGGCTCCCAAAAGATGGGAGAGCTGCAGTCCATTTCCTTGGCACATTTGCTCTGTTTTCTGTGAAAAATATCCATTCTTCTTCCCCGTTTTGTCAGTAGTGCTGATTAACTGTTAGTGATTTATGAAGAATTGCTACTAAGCAAGGAAGGAAAAAAAAAGAGTGGAAAAAATAAAATCTCTCCCTACCCACTCCTGGTTTTCTGCTTTTCTCCTCCCTCTTTGACTGCTTTGACTTCATAAAACAGCTATCAAATGTTCTAAGTTAAATATTCTTAATATTTTGTGTAGATGGTATTTAAAAGTGTATTGACTTTTTAGATTTGTGGAACATGGAGAATACAAAGAAAATTTGTATGGCACAAGTCTGGAGGCAATCCGGTCCGTGATGGCCAAAAAGAAGGTTTGTTTGGTGGATGTGGTCCCTGAAGTAAGTTCTGCAGCTTATTTTAAAGAATGCAAATATGATTTACTGCTGTCTGAGCAGAATGGGACTCTTGGGAATGCAGTGCAGTCGTTACAGTTCCTACATGTCCAGCTGGGACAAGCCTTGCAAATGAGACTATAAATCAACTTTTATTCTCTGAATAAAGGTTTATTCAGAAAAATAAACTATGAAAGATGCATTGTAGTAGGACCCACAGGGGGTAATTTTAGATGATTGGCTTTAAGGCATTTACAGCATGGGGTGGAAAAAGCTGATAGAACAAGAAACACTTATAGTGTATTGTAATTTGGAAATAGTTGGCTTCTGATTGTGATGGTGTGAATTATAACGTCTCTGTTGTCTCACCCTTCACATGAGACTGAAAATGGAATAAAAGTTTTTAAAACACCTCTCAGTTGCCCCATCTGTGGGTCAGAAAAGGAGCCTGGAATCCAATACAGCCTGGATATCTCTTTAGTAATCCTCACTGTGGGACTTTTCCCTTGCTGTAGGACTAATGTGCATCCCTGTCCCAGCCTGCTCAGGTCCCAGAGACAATCCTTAGAACAAAGTTGTTGTTTCCATTCTAGTTCTGATTTTAAAAACGCTGGCCATAGCACACCCACACTCCCCCAAGCCTCTCATTTGTAGGATTTCAAAGATACAGGACCCATTTTTGGGTGCAGATACACAACAGTAACATCATGAATCACCCCAGGACAGGAGCAGTGTAAGCACTGCTCTTAATACCCCCATGCTGTGAGTTCATACTTGAAAGTTTGATCCAGATTTTCTAACTGGGCTAGGAAAAGGCTTGTGGTACTACCTCAGATGAATTCCAGTTTAAAATTGGCAGTGTTTGACTGCTTAGGAAAGCAAAGCATTACTTGCCCATGAAATCAGGGTGTTTTATACTTTCCTCAGTATTTTTTTCCATGTCTTTGGAATCACAGTGCTATTCAGGCCATGCTCCATGCACTCTTGTATGCTAGCCAGGAAATTCAGTGTGCAAGCCAGGACACTGGCATGAGCCTTTGTTTGAAGAGCAAGATTGCTGTGGTCAGATGTGTAGGAGACAGGACTTCACACCAGTGTGTCAGCCTGTACCAGTGAAACCACTGAAACCACTCTGAGTCTGTCATGGACATGTAGCACAAAGAAGTCTGATAACAAAAAAATCATCTGTTCACAGGCAGTAAAGCACTTGAGGACTCCTGAGTTTAAGCCTTATGTTATCTTTGTGAAGCCTCTCATTTCAGAAAAGAAAAAACATGCCTTAAAATCTCACATGTCAGAAGAAATCTCATCCCCCCTTGTAAGTATTCCAACTTCTAATCTCTTCTTTTTAGACACATAAGAAGTATTTGGGCTAGCACTTCTGTTACATGAAAGAGCTCCTCTTCCATAAGAGTTAAAGTGGGGCACTAAGTCGGTCCTCTAGCCTTTCAGATGGAACTTCAGAATGGAATTTTTGATTCTTTATCTACTCAGGTTTTAAAGTAACATGAAACCAAGTGCCAGTCTTCCATATGGATCTGGGTTCATCAAAGCTGCAGCAGGGGAAGCTGCTGCTGAACTCAGACAAACAAACAATCATTTTACATTTCTGATGAGCAGCCCATCAAAAGGTGATGGTAGCCAGCTCTGTGTTATAGCCCCAAAGTGACACCCACACAGCCAGTGTTCTATGTGTACTCACAAAACACAGTATGTGGATGTTGTGAAGATCAAACATAGATCAGCTGCCGCTTGGTGAATTGTAAACCTGAACAGAGTGCATAATGTCATTATTTTGGGTAACCTGAACTTAAATTTATGTTACAGAACTTAGTTCACTTTGTAAGTTTTTGTGTAAGCCCTCAAAAATACTGAACTTGGGACAGTGTATGAGCATTTATTTTCAGTTTTTGAGGAGTGTAGTTCCCTTATCTTGGGTTAGGCAGCAACTATAACTACATAAAATGAAGTATCACCATTTTATGTCACTCCTGTAACATATTTTCCTCCTTCCCTGAGGCCCCTTGCATTTTTTGGAACAGCTGCCTGTGGCATTCTACTCCTTGATCTGTTTTAATATCTTCAGTACCTTTTCCTAATGGTAGCAGCTTTTGTTACATGTTCTCAGAGTAATGACTCATTGTGCTAATATACTTTAAAATGCTAGTAACCAGAAAGACATGCTGTAAACTTCACACCAACATCTTGTGTTGATCAGCAGGATGAAGAACAGCAGGAAATTATTAATTCAGCAGCATTCATTGAAGAGCAGTATGGCCATTTAATTGACACTGTACTGGTGAAAGAAGATCTCCAGAGTGCATGTAATGAGCTGAAAACTGTGTTAGATAAACTAAACAAGGATTCATTTTGGGTGCCAGTCAGCTGGGTTAGGTCATAGCTTCTTACCATGTTTAAGAGAAAGACTGTATAAAAATGTTTTGTAAATACATGAATTAGAAAAGGCAAGTACATTGAATTTGCTTCAAAACTGCTGGCCTTACCTAGAAGGCAATAAATAAAGACTGTATGACGAAACAGTAAACTCACAAGCTGACACTGCCTTTCTGAGTCAAATTTTTGAATAGCAGCTGTCATTTGGAAGTTGACACTCAGACCAAGTAAGCCAGTCCAGTCTTTTACTGATCTTTAGACTGGAAATTGTGCATTTTGTTACAGTGGAGTTTCACAAAGGGTCCCACACTTCCAAAGCATTTTGTGCTGAGACACTGACAAGATGGAAGCTTTGTCCTTTGGCCACAAGTCTAGCCACAAATTTTATGGCTAGATTTAAAACCTCAGAATAAAGTACCCTTGGGAAAAAGCTCCTTCAGCTGGATGGTAAGTGTTCTTTGGGGAGAGGTTACACCCTGCCAGTTACTCAGAAGTCCAACTGGCCAGCAAAACATGCTTCCCTTCACACAGAAGCATTCATTGCAAATCCTTTAGTTAGGCATTAAAAACCAGGCCAGCTACAGAAGGGTTTTTTTAATGTCCATCACATTTCCCAGTACTCCAAGTTGTCTTGCACAGGTCCCAGGTGTTAGTCTGCTCAGCCACAGCTTATGCCCACTTTCCCAGTCACAAATGCTGAACACCCTGAGAGAGTGTACCTGTATGACTGGCCAGCTCATAGAACATAGATTTTTATAGTGTACATGACAACAACTGCATATGGTTCTAAAACAGGACAGTTAAGAAGCTTTGTTCCTGCAAAACATCTTTGCTTGTGCTGCCTGGTGGGACAGCCTTGACACCAATGGAACAGCTCCAAAAAGGGCACTGAAAGGAGGAGCTACAGGTCAAAATCATCATCCTTCCAGCATTTATGACTACTTCTGTTCCAAATCTGGTTTCCAAAGCATCTGATTGGCCTGAAGAAGAAAACTGGTAGAGGACCTTTTATATATTTGAGGAGACTTGAATATCCAGTATTTTTGAGTGGGTCTTAGGAAGATGCAGAGATGATTCTGCTGTGCTTTATACTTGGGGATTGGAGGGGAGAGCATTGTACAGGTGCATGTTAGCTGCAACTAGTTCCTGTTTTCACTTGCCTGCTGAGGTCTAATATTTCCTGTGTATTGTGCCCTTTAAACAAGACCTTTTGGTGTACCAGTCTTGTTCCTTATATCTTAACAGATGATGTTATTCTTGTTCCATGACATTTAGCAGAACTAAAAGTTGCATATTAAAAGTACATTTCTTACATACCAGTGTCACTGAATCTACGTTATATCAAGCCCAAAAAGTTGTGTAAAAGAATCGCCCCCATCCATCCTCTCCAAATGGCAGCTTTCATGTATGGTCCTGCCCATGAGCATTGAGGTTCTGTTCCCACTGCTACAAAAACCTTTCCTAGGCAGGTCCCTGCACTTGTCAGTGCTGCAGCCTGGTGGCCTCAAAAAATGCTGAGAACTCCTGCACTTGTAGTGGGCTGTCAGCCCTGCAACCATGTGCCAGCACAGCCACCAAAAAGGATTTGGCTTCTTAGAGGGGCAATTCATGACAGATGTACCTTGTTCCTATGAAAAACTGAGGGAAATATTAAAAAAACTATTTCAGTAACAGCATTTCAAACTAAGTCATTTTATGAAAATAATAAATGGCCAGATTGATCTCACCCTAGGTCTATATTTCAGGTTACAAACAGATTTTTATATAAACATATTTAGAAGATTCAGATTTAAGTTAAAAAGCTAAGGGTCAGAATTTATTTAAAGCAAGGTTGCTAACATAACATCTTAAAATATTTTGAATGACTAGCAGTAAATAAAGCTGTATGTTACATGATCTAACATAGTCTAATAGTAGAAACATGCATTAACAGAAGCAAGGCACAAGTTACATACAAGATACACCTGAAATTTTCAGTTACTTTAATGTAAGCTAGCAAAATACAATATTGCCATTAAAAGTGTAAAAGATAAAAAGGTGACTTCATAGTGGGATGGGTGACAGACTCACCCTAGTGCAAAGCCTCCCATAGGCAGCAATCTTCTGTGAAATTGAGTTTTACCAATTTCTGACAAAATTTTTATCAGTTCTGATAAAACTTCCAGTTTTATCTGTGGTTACTGGAAGAGGACAAGGGTTTGCAGAGAACCTCAGTGACTGCAAAACCACAGCCACGGTGTGAGACAGCCCAAAATGATGAGTCCATCTCATCCCTGATCCTCAGTGCCAAGAGAACAGCACAGGGTCACCTTCAGTGTCCCGAGTTAAAATACACATCCTCTTCATCACAGCCCTAAAATTAACCAGTAACTCAGCTTACTGGCTGGGGACATGTAGCAATTTTGACTTTTTAAAACCATCCAAAATCAGGAAACTGTCCCCTGATCAAACTCCTGCTGAGTAACTATACGAAGGTAACGTGGTTGCCTAAAAGCCTCCCATGCCATCCCAGGGGAGAGAAGCTTCTCAATAATATTCCAGAATTGAATACCACCTTATTTATGCTGAGGCAGGAATTCCAGCAAAAGTCCATGTTGAATGTCATATACTCTAAGCCACACTATGATTTAAAGTGAAAAATCTGAGTTGGCAAAAAAAAAAAACAAACCTGCAGACAGCAGTTGTGCAAAAGAGGAGGAGAAACTGTATTTTGTTAATGAATAAAAATGTATTTTGCTAATGAGTTTGTGTTTTGGATCTGCAAAGCTGATGGCACATCAATCATGGCACAGATTGGTGCTTGGAATCCCATCACCACTTTTTTTTTTCCCCCAAGTCCCCTCCAGTCAGGCAGAACAGCCCCCTGTACATTTAAGTAAGTGCACAGGAGGCACCACAAAAGCCTTTATCCTTCTGTGCTGATGATTCCATGAGCTGGACTCCCTTCTTTGCTGTTTCCTTATCCCAGAGATCCGGAGTCTGCAGGATCTTTATGACCAGTTCCTCAAAGGCATGTTGCACTCCATCCTCTGTCTTGGCACTGGTCTCTGAAGGAAGGGGGGGGGGAAATATTTTATCTTATTTGCAGGGAGTATATTCCACTTAGGAAAAATTTATTTTGGGACCAGAGAGAAGATGGGAGTTTTTTAATGAGTGAACCTCCTCTCCATTCTCTCTTAAAGGTACACTTAAGTTGAACAGGATAAACAGAAATACATCCCAGACTGAAGTATCCCATTTTTCCACCAAAAAGAAATCCACAGTTCCCCATTTTCTCCATAATGGAGAAAAATAAATTGTTCTCAGGTTGTGACAGCAAATCTAGAAGATAATTATTCCATAATAAAGCTGAGAAACAAATACAGCGGAAATTACATGTTGTCCCCTATGTATTTCAATTTCTCCTAGAAATCTTTTCAAGAAGCTTTTTCTTTAGAAACTCAGTTTGTTCCCCACCTTTATATCTTCACAGTGTACATTTTACTGTTGCTCTAAGAATATTGTCTTTTATGTAGCTGCAACAGAAACCTGGAAATGAAAGATCAGCCACAGTCCTTGCAGATATCAGTAAGGAGGAAAATTTCAGTCTTCTGTGCTCTAAATTAAAAACTCCTACTAGTTTCAAGTGAATATAAAATTCATGCCTGTACAGTATATGCAGAAGTTCAGGACAAATGCTCGAGGTTTCCTAGTTAATCTGAATCAACCTTTAAGTAGTTCAATAACAAGATTAGTGGTTTTTGTGGGGTTTTTTTGGTGTGATTTTAACCAAAATAAAGCATCACATAGAGTTGCTAAACAGCCCCTACAGGCGATCACGCAGCTCCTTACCCAGAGCATCACCTCTCTGCTTGACTCCATTTCTGTGCTCCTGGCTCATGCAGGCACCTCTCTGCCAGGGATGGGTTTGTCTTTGCCTGAGGTGGGATTAACCCAAACAACCTTTCCTAAAATGCCTTTCATGTGTACCACGGGGACTTTATCTCCATCCACTGCTGCAGGGGGTCAGACTGGGCAGGACCAGCTCGATTGCTGAAGCGTGCAGGGGCCGCCTCTCACATGCTACAGCTTCAGAAGCTTTACACTCCCCAGAGCCTTGGAGAAACTGCAGCAAAGGGCACTCAAAGCCTCCACTGGAACGGAAGGAAGTCCCACACCTTGGCTAAGGAAGCCTTTAGAAGTGTTTTTGTTTGTCTGCAGCTACTGCTGTACCATCACAACACTCATTCTGCACACACTGTGGCTTAAGGACAAAATCTCAATATGCAGAAGACTTTAGCAAAGAGAGAGGAGGAGCAGGAAGAAAGTGAAGGTGAAGAAACCACAAAAAACAGCTCTTGAAGCATATACATCTCTCAAAACCCAACATACCCCATCTGTCCGGAAAAAGACCTACCCATATGGCCAGCTGTACTGCACGGCCCTCCAGCACCATCTTCTTCGTTTTAAAATCAACACCTAAGAGTCAGAAGGGGAGGCTCGTCAGAAGGCACCTCCGAATGCCCGCCCTGGCATCCCCGCGTCCGCACGATCCCGGCTCCGGGCCCCAAACAGAACAAGCGCAGAAAGAAGAAGCCCAGCAGGAAGGAGCTCAGCGCGGGCGGACTCCGGGCTCACCGACGGTGGGTGTCAGGCGCGGATCGAAGGCGCCGTCCATGAACCTCCGCAGGAGGCTGCGGGGAGAGAAAGGGCGAACTCAGCCCGGGGCTGCGCTCGCGTCCCCGCGCGGGCCGCGGCAGCACCTGGACTTGCCCACGCCGCTGTCCCCGACCAGCAGCAGCTTCAGGGTGAGCTCCGAGCTCGGGGTGAGGCCTGCGGGCTCCATCCCGCAGCGTTCTGGGCCGGCAGCCGCCCGCTCCTCCCGGCCCGGCGGCGCCGCGGCCCCGCCTCTGAGGCGGCGGCCGGGCCGGGCGGGGCGGGAGCGGCCGCGCTGCAGCCGCAGCGCCAAGGGCGCCTGGCGGGCGGAGGCGCGGCCATGGGCGACTTCCAGATCTCGGTGGAGGAGCTGAACGAGCTCCTGTCTAACGAGAGCGGCTGCTACAGCCTGCCCAGCGCGCACAGCAACGAGGTGGTGCCGCGCATCCACGTGGGGAACGCGTGAGTGCGCCCGAGCGGGGCCGGGCCGGGTGCGGTGCCCGGAGGGGCCGGGCCGGGCCGGGCCGGGTGCGGTGCTCGGAGGGGCCGGGCCGGGCTGGGCTGAGTGCGGTGCCCGGAGGGGCCGGGCCGGGTGCGGTGCTCGGAGGGGCCGGGCCGGGCCGGGCTGGGCTGGGCTGAGTGCGGTGCCCGGAGGGGCCGGGCCGGGCCGGGTGCGGTGCCCGGAGGGGCCGGGCTGGGCTGGGCTGAGTGCGGTGCCCGGAGGGGCCGGGCCGGGTGCGGTGCCCGGAGGGGCCGGGCCGGGCTGGGCTGGGCTGAGTGCGGTGCCCGAGGGGCCGGGCCGGGCCGGGCCGGGCCGGGCTGGGCTGGGCTGAGTGCGGTGCCCGGAGGGGCCGGGCCGGGCCGAGCTGGGCTGGGCTGAGTGCGGTGCCCGGAGGGGCCGGGCCGGGCCGGGCCGGGCCGGGTGCGGTGCCCGGAGGGGTCGGGCCGGGCTGGGCTGAGTGCGGTGCCCGGAGGGGCCGGGCCGGGCCGGTGCGGTACCGGCGGGCAGAGGGCCGGGCCGGGCCGGGCCGGTGCGGTACCGGCGGGCAGAGGGCAGGGCCGGGCCGGGCCGGGCCCTGAGGCGCCCCGCAGTCACCGAGCAGCTCCCGGTGCTTCGGGCCGGGGGCAGTCAGGCTGCAGGACGGGATCGGCCGGATCTCAGCGGGCCCTGCGGGGTTTATTTTTATTTTTTACACCACATCATGATTTCAGTTATCTGTTCTAGTCCTGTCCTATCCTGCTGATTCTCCTTCCCTTTTTTGGTTCATCTCCCTGTGAAATTCGGATTTTTTTTTTTTTAATTCATGTATAGTATACCGGGTCCCTGTTCTTACTTTAGGTTTGTACCCCCTACAGGTCAAGATCGTAGGTTGTCACTAACTTACTCCTAAGGCAAACCAAATTATATTTGTAACTGCAGGTGCAGGACATGTACGTGTAGAAATGGGACTGAAATCACTCAATAGACAGCCACCACCTCCTTCATACTTGTAGCACTTTCCTGGAGAAAAGGAAGTCATAACTTGCAAGCTGATTTGTGCATTAAATAATTTAAAAATAACTTCGAAGATAGTTAGCTACTACAGAGTAGTTTTTGCATTGTTCAGTAATTTATTTTATTTATAGAGTATGGATTTTAATATGTTCACCTGCAAGCATGTCTCAAAACAGATAATACATGTATAAGTTGCACAGTGGGAAATCTCTGTCTAGTACAAATCTTGACCGTTGAGAAAGACTTTTTATGTAATAAGTGACAAACAGAAATATCTGAAGCACCAGTGCAGTTTGTAGCACAGGAACAGTTCAGCTGGTAGTTGGATAAAGAGAAAACATGCAGTTGTATTGTCAGTGTTTCTAAAAGAATGCTGAAAAATTGTGGAGAGCAGCTAAAACTAAGAAATAACTTTGTGGCTGAAAAAAACTATTTCACAATTGGAACAGATAATCTATTTAATTTGTCAAGACTGAAGAGGCAATAATATCTTTGAAGCATCCACAGAGAGTTAAGGTAATGCTGAGGTCTAGTTGAATAGTTGGATTTCCATTAAGGTTTGGTCACTGCATGGTGAATTTTGATATTCTCTAACTGCTATCTCTCCTTTAGAGTAGCTCATCTTTAGATAAAAATGACAGCAAAGAGACATTGAGGCTGATGAGGTTAAATTGGGTCACAGTGTAGAATAACAGTTTATCTGTCAAGAGAATTCAAGTTGCAGACAGAGCCAAAGCAATGGATCTTCCAGGCAATACACAAAAGTCAAAATTAATGAAAATACAGAGATAAAATGATAAAATATTTTTTAAATTATGGGTTTCCATATTGCCATAGGCAATTCTGATCTCTCAAGATCAGACAAAATTTGTGAAGATAAGAGTAAAAATGTTATACCCCTAAAACAAGAATTGTGTAGGTGATAGACTAGCACAATTATATCTTTTTCAAACAGTAACAAAATAACAATTTGGGATGCACTGCAAGTGCACATCATTTTGTGTTTCTGTGTAAGTGGAGATGTGTTTCAGTGTAGCATCTTAATCTGACCAGAAGGATTGGACAGAATTCATTTTTATCAGGGCTGCAGGTGACACAAAAATGGGGACAAGAGGGAGCACTCAGCACACTGGAGGGTGGGAGGCTTTTTATCCAGAGCACCCATTCTTGTGAAAAGCAGTGTTTTACCTGAAAATGGACAGGCTTGGATTTCTGAACTGTTGATTAAGGGAATTTGTTTATGGGTTTTTTCCCAGATGCCTGGAAACCTGTAATGATTCTGGCCTTGTTTCCAGAACTGTATTTGGTAAAAATGTTCTGGTTTTGAATGCCCAAGCTTACTTTTTCTGTCTGCTTTGATGTATGGGGATAACACATAAAGCAATTCTTTGTTCTTAATGTGCTAGAAGTGCAGGTGTGTTGTAAGGAGTATGGAGGGCATTCTCCCAAAATTAATATTAAATTCAGTGACTAAGGGAAGTGTTGGTAGGAAAACAATTTTGCATGGACGGGACAGTGCCAATTAAAATGTGTTAATAGGCTGGCATGTTTTGCCATTAAAAACTTGGTTTATTTGTTTATTAGTTCATAGCCTCGTGTAGCCTAAATTGCTGATGAATGGTTCTCCAAAACCTATGTTTTGTCTGTGGCTGGTAAAATAATTCATCTCTGTTCAAAAGAAACACTTCTTACTGGTGTTACTCACAGGATAAGGAACTCTAAATCTCCCATATTGAGAATGGACGAGATTCTGTGGTTTTTTTTCAGGAACCAGATGAAGCTGATGTTAGCATGTCTCTGCTATTTGAAGGAGCTAGCATTTCAACATCCAACATGATGCAGCTGGAAGGAAATGTTAAGGATGAGAGAGATCCAAGGACTGTTTGGAAAGGGAGAAACAAATGGCATACAAATTCTCTCTTTTTCACCTCTAGCTGTGTAAGAAAATCATCTGTAAAATCTGCAAAAATCATTCACTGGGAATGAGTTTGCCTCCAGGGAAGCCAGTCTGTTGCCACATTCACTCATGATTTCAGGATGGGAGTCCTGTTGATGCTGAACAGTCATATACATGCTGGTCTATATAATGTTAATTAAACCATATTCTCACCCTACCAGGCGTAGGAACTCACTGCTGAATTAACACTTTTTGGTTTGGCCTTGCTCTGTAGGATTTTTGTGTTGAAAGCAGAATTCTCCAGGCACTGAAACTTCTCCCCTGGCACAGATGATGTCCTGCCAGATGGAAAATCTGTCAGCATTTGTTTGGGTAATGAAGTCTTACAAATATTTGGTTCATTGCCATAGTTGCTTGGCACAGACAGCAGAAAATGTAGAAGCTTCAGTCATGCATAAATCTTCATCTGCTTTCACTAGAATTTAAGGGGTGTGCAGTCATCAGGAAGAAAGGAATGCTCAAGATGTTCATGGCCTTGAATTACATCAAAATTGTGAGTGAATGCATTCAGAGATTCATATAGATGTAAACTGACTGATTTGGGTGTTTAAGTTTTTAGATTACCTAAGTGTCCAGCAAAATGCCCTGGGTGTATTGCCATCTCACAGAAACTTGTCCAAAATGATACTGCACAAATGCTTATCTGGAGTTCAGCTTAATATTAAGACCTCTTGTATTTGCAATTTATGAGTTGAGCTGTAGGGAGTTTAAAAAAAATATTTCTGTTTCCATATCCAGTTAAGTACATACTGAAAGCTGGTTTTAAAAATAATCTGTCTTTTCACACAGTGTGCAGGAACTGACTTATCCTTCAGCTCAAGCTTTCTGTCACATCCTGCTAATGTTGACCAGTGGGGCTCAGATTTTACTGGGAGACCAGTGGTGTGATAAAATATGTGGGGTTTTTTTCTTCCCAGGAGAGTGAGGCAAATATTGCAACTGACATATGGAAATAATCAGACTCTGAATGAAAAGTAGTGGGATTATGGCAAAAAGGAGTTAAAGCTCTCTGATATCACTTAATGGTTAGCTCCTCTTACTGTAGATTGCGTGCCAGGGCACAAGCAGACACTGGTGCATGGTCAGCTGTGTTACTGAGCAGATGGGTTCTTTGCCTTTGTGCATCGTGGAGCTTTTATCAAAGCTTATGCCATTATTACTGGATCTAATTAATTGCCACCATCAAGCCTGAAAGGCATGAATATTATCATCCAGCTCAATTATTTACTAATAGGGTAGGTGACTTTTAGCCACCTAAAGATGGAAGCTGGTGGTTTTGCTACAATTGGGAAAACTGAGAAGTTGGAAAGGACTTAGCTGACCTAAAAGTTCTGAATGCTTTCTGAAGTACTTCAGCATCTTAAACATCACTCATCTGGAGTCTTTCACATTCAGATACTGATTTCAGCTGAAAATTGTAACACTTGTGATGGGAACACTGAGTCTCAAGGACTGAATGATATCTCTGTGTTGCTGGCCTCTGCATAGCCTTGACAGATCTTTCCAAGACTTCAGAGGTGTTGAATAGCACAGGGCATAGGACTACACCTCCTAGTAGCCCTTAGATGAGTCTTTTGAAGATTTCAGTAACATTTACTCAGTTACTTTGTTCCTGTGGCCTGATAAGAAGTCAGTGCTGTTTCACAGTGTTTAAAATTGCCCCCTAAAATGTTAGTTTATCTGGGCTGCCTGCTAAAGTAGCAAGTACTGCTTATCAAGTTGTGCAACACTGGTACCTGACAGTGGAGGCTTTTTATAACTGGTTTTTAATTTATTTTATGTGGATAATAATTAATCTTAGAAGTTCATGTGTTATCATCTCTAGTATTATCCTACTTTGGTCAGAATTTTATGTTCAGAAAGTTAGAATTTTATGCCATCGTAGGATCTAACAGATGCAGATTCACTTTCATGTGTGCATTCCTCAGTTGTCAGCCAAGGAAGCAGCATTCTCTCATGCACAAGTAGTGACCATGGCTCTGAATGTTTGTGTGAATTTATAACCTGTAGCAAATTCACTTTTGGGCACGGCATATTGGCATCTATTAACAGAAAAATCAAAGGGTTTGGTTATCAATACTTAAATACGGAGATGATTCACCAAATTCTAATAATTTTCTTGACGCTTTTTGTCGTGCAGGTTCATAGCCAAGAACATTACGAGGCTGCAGCACCTGGGGATAACCCATGTTCTGAATGCAGCAGAGGGGAAATCATTCATGCATGTGAACACTAATGCAGAGTTCTATGAAGGCACAGGCATCAGATACCATGGCATTAAAGCTAATGATACACAGGAATTCAACCTCAGCCGCTATTTTGAGGAGGCAGCTGATTTTATTGACAAAGCCCTTTCCCAGAAGGATGGTAAGGCAAACTTGAAATACCTTTCTACCATGTTTTCTGTGCACTGCTTATGTTTCTTAGAGATTTGCTGTTTAAAATGCTTCTTTGCTCTTATTATCCACAGAACAACCAAGTGAAAAGTTCAGATAAAGGCCCTGAATCAAAGGCACAAGAATGCACAATAAGACAGTTTTATCTTGTGTAGGTCTCCAATACGTGGCAAAGGGAAGTCTGTCACTTTAGGGGTGACTTTGAAATGGGAAACAGCTGCTGCATCTTATTATAGTTTCTTTCTGGGAAGAGATGTTTTAATTTTTCCTTTAGAAATGTTAAATCACATTAAAAATATTCTTCAAAAAATAAGTTAAGGGGGAAGGATTCAGAGGATTCCACATCTCCCCTGTTTTTTCTTACTATGAAGACCTTCTGCAGACACTTAACAAAACAGGGAAACATGAGTAAAACAATAAAAACAATGATTACAATAAAAAAAAATTTATTCAATAAAAGATGAAACCCATATTGTCTGGAAATTTCATTGATCCAATCTGGGTTCTCCACCTTTAAGTCCTTTACTTGTTCCCTCATTTAATGAGTCAAATGAGTCCTTTACTCATTCCCTCAGCTTCTGGCTGCTTGCGCGGATAGATTCCGAGTGTGAGGAAAGGTTGAGGCAGCACATCCCTTGGAAGTCTTGGCAGCCATATCCGTGAGCAAGCAGCACAAATCTGTCATTGCTGTGGCTGTCTCCCTGCAGGCCAGGTGCTGGTGCACTGCCGGGAGGGCTACAGCCGCTCGCCCACGCTGGTCATCGCCTACCTGATGCTGCGGCGGGGCATGGACGTGCGCAGCGCGCTCTGCGCCGTGCGCCAGCAGCGCGAGATCGGCCCCAACGACGGCTTCCTGCGGCAGCTCTGCCAGCTCAACCAGCGCCTGCTCGGCGAGGGCAAGGCCAGGCCCTAGAGCACAGCACCGCTGCGCTTCTTTCTGGAGTTTCCAGAGCTTCAGAGAATGGCTGAGGCGCTTCAGAGACGCGAGTTTCAACCACCGCGCTAAAGCGAGATGGAATTCCTGCTTGTCTGGTGGAAGAACCTTCTGGAACTCTGGGATTTTTCGAGATGGGACAAAATTGTGTCGCTGTTTGGAGCTGTTGCCATAAAGAGATGTTTTTAGAGGGATCGCTTCAGTGATAAGAGCTGTCTTCACATTGCAGAGCCCCTGCAGACTCCATAGCATATGTGGTTTGCATTGACACTGAATGTGATTCATCTAAGCTTTGTCTTTAGTCTCACCAGTTCCCAAAAGTCCCAACACATCTCTTCACTCACTCTTAATAAGAGCACTGTAATTTGTAAAGCTTATTTTTCGTGCACACAGGTGCCTAAAGTTTGAATGTAGGAGCTTCAAGGAATGGGAAGCATATATAGAAATGCACAGATGCATTCACTTGGAAAATAAAGTGCATGCAGTGTTTTGTGTGGATTTATGCAATTCACAGTGTGAGAGTAAAGCCATGCAGAGCTCATGCTTGATGCACCCTGTCTTTCCAAGATTAGTTTTTTATCTCTTCTGTTACAGTAGACATGAAATAGTCTGTTACTGAATGCTCTTTTATTTTTATTTTGAAATCATAATAGAAAAAAATTGTCAAGAGCAAATGCTGAGGGAAGAACTTGAACAAGGAAGAAATAATATTAGTATTTAGAAGTGTTTGTGGTGGATGTATAATTAAGTCCTAAGTATCCTAATATAATGCCTTTCAAAGCTTGTATGGAATTACAGTGACTTTATCTCTTCTTTATATCACTGTTCAGTGACAGAATGGAATGACCACATGTGCAGATTATTTCCAGCACAGGTGTGCTTACAAAGCAGTTTGCAGAAGAACACTCTTGACTTCTTGGATTGCTTGCATGGTATCATTAAATAAAAATGAGCATTGTTATGTACCACACTGTATAGGAAATATTTACATTCTATTTAAATAAATAATGACTTGATTCCATTTACTACAGATGAAATGAGTCATTGCAGTGTTGGGAGAGGGAGCTGTGTTTGCACTGTGCCTGACTTGGTGGGTAAATGTGTACTGTGAGTTACAGCACTGTATTCATGCAAATGATCTCCCACTGCAAACTGGAATTGTTGGTTAAACCATCACAAACCAGGGTGGCTGTTCCATTCTTACCTGTGCTTTAATGCTGTTCTACAATGAAAAATCTCAACACTGCTTTAAACAGAAATACTGATACACGTGGTCCCAGGTGTAGTTTTGTCTATTCAGTGCAGCAATCAGAAATCACAAAGGACATGCATGCATTTTTTGTACTTAAGAGTTAGTGAAATTAGAGACGGGGCAAAGAGGGAAGGTGAGAAGCTACTCACATTTTACAACAAGGAACAAAGATGAAAGTCCAGATGGACAGAATGATGGTGCATGTAAAACTAATTTCACCTACTCACACTGAACTGAATCTTTCTTCGCTGATGAGTAAGTACAAGAAAGAAGTCTGTAACTGAAAATTAAGATTGAAAGCAAAAATAACATCTTGGATTTCTTTCTTCATCCTTTGGTCCTGCAATGGGGCTGCAGCAGCACTGCCAGGAACACTTCATGAGAGAATGGTGCACTGCTGAAAAGTGAACATCCCATGCAGTTATTTCAAACTTAGAATTAATGGCATCTGAATGCAAAGCTAACAGCCACAAAACATTGTATTGTAATTCCATTTCTGGATGCTAAGCCTGTATTGAAATTGGACACCCTTTTCTTGTACAGTAAGAACTCATCTTCATAAAAGGCCTTGGAGATGAAAGGCATTGTGTATAATAATAATAATAATAATAATGCATGTTTCTGACTTGAAAAACTAATTTGTGTCAAATACATCCTCCTCAGCAAAGAACAGCAGCAGAATATTAGCAGTGTTTACTTTCATCATTTAGATACTTTCATTCAGCTGCCTTCTGTTATCCAGAGCTAATTAAATCTCTGATGCCAGAAGCAGAACTTTTTACCTTCTATTAAATTTTATATTAGTTCTGCTATTTGCTATGATGTTTTTATTACAGAGACTATCTAGTGGATTCTGTTTTAGTTTAGCACAGAAGTTTCTTCTAAAATTACTTTCTGGGCTTCACCAATGACTAAAACTAGAAACAGAACAAGCCTGAGAGGTGTCCTTTAAGGATTTGCTGGTGAGAATTAGTGTCCTGTTAATTTCTTCTGCAAATAAATCCTGGAAATAATGAAATGTTGGTTGTGTGTTCTAATTGTATGCTGATGTTGCTGGCTGGCTGACTCACCAGATGGAGCTGTAGGCTTGTTATTCTTCCCTGGAGAGTCCTCCCTGAATCCCTGAACTGTACTGCTGTGTGAATCCAGTGTATTCTTACCCCTGAAAAAGACAAGCCACCAGAATGACTTGGCAGTCTCTGGTAGAGAATAATAAGAATCCATTTATTTTGGCTTCTTGCGGGAGATCACAACATTCAGACTGTTGTATTCACTCTGTGGCATTGCAGAATTCTTCTGAGGCAGCTGAAACTTGATTGGGAAAAGCTGCATCATGGAAAAAAAAACCCAAACAAACAACTGTTTGAGAAGCAAAGTTCTTGATCGTGTCAAAACCAGAATTCTGGGCAGTGTGTGAAGTCTGAGCCATTGTGCACACAGAGGCTGAGGTGCAGCTGTCCAGCTTTGGGCTGGGATGCTGAGCAGAACCTCTGGCCAGGCGTGGGTGACCACCTGAAGCTGGAATGGCTGAACCAGTTTCAGGAGCTGGTTTGGCTGGGTGTGCCTGCATTGCAGTGCTGCAGTGCCAGTGTTTGGTAAGTGCTTGAGCTCAGAAAGGAGCAGCCATGGGTTCAGGCTGAGTGCAGGTGCTGGTTCACTCCTGGTCCTGCTCCTGATGTCTCTGATTCCTCCTTAGAACAGGGCACTGCTTGGGGCTGAGGTGGGGTTCCCTTTATTCCCAGTGTCTGCCAGGGGCTGTGTTTGGGTTTGTGCTGAGCACAGTGATGATCTTACAGAGCTGTTTTTGTTACTGCTGAGCAGGGCTGACAGAGCTGAGGCCTTTTTGCTTGGGGGGTGAGAAAATGGGATGAGACAGCTGAGCCCAAGGGGCCAAATGGGTGGCCTGGGCCATTTGGCAGCATGCTCAGCATGCACAGCCTGCAGGGCTGGTGCTGGTCCTGCTCTGCCAGAGCTGCCTGAGCACACCCACTGCCCGCTGGAGAAGTTCCTGCTTCTCTTTGCTTTTCACACATGGCTTTTGCTGTTCCTGTTAGAATGACTTTGTCTCATGCCATGAGCATGAGCCTTGGGATTCTGTCCCAGTCCTGCTTGGTGGGCAGTGAGCAAGTGTTGACAAAGCTTTTTTTTTTTGACTTAGAGATGGGGCAACTGAGAGATGTTTTTAAAACTTTTGTTTTATATTTAGTTTCATGAAAAGGGTGAGACAATATAGATGTTATAATTCATGCCATCACAATCAGAAGTTAACTATTTATTAATCACAGTAAGCATTTCTTGGCTAATCAGCTTTAGCTACACTATGCTGTAAATGCTTTAATCATCTAAAATTACTTTTTGTGGGTCTTACTACAATGTATTTTTTATAGTTCTATTTTTAAACATTTAGTCTTTTTTGTGAGGCTATCTTTTGAAACTTTTTCTAGTTCAATTTCTCTCTCAACAATATCTGCCTTATTCTATGGTATTTCTAAGTTAGTATTTCTTATTTTAAAGTTTGCAGACATGTATACTGTGTGAAGTTTTTGTTCGTTTTTGAGAATTTTCTACAAATCCATTTCCCTGTGTGGGTTTGGCTGTGGCTGTGGGCTGAGGATGGAATTGTTCAGCTCAGAGAGAGCAGCTGAGCTCTGAACTGAACAGGTCCAGCATCAGTCCTACCCTGGTAGTGAGAGCTCATTCTGAGAACACTCTATCCTTGGCAACTCTTTTTGTTTTTTCCTGTGCTTCATTAACAGTACAAAAATATAATAGAACAAGTTAATATGTAACAGTTAGTACAGAGGATTGATTGTTTAAGTACTTGGGAGAAGCTACATCAAGATTTTTATGTTTTATGTGACAGCTGATTACTCTAAATGAGATTCTTTCCATAGGCCTGCACTGACAACAACAGCTTTTGGAAATATTACATGAAAAAAAATGAACAGAAACTGAGCTTTGGTGGATACACACAGTTCTGAAGACATTTAAAGCAAGGAGTAAAGAGGTAGCAAGGGCTCAGGGGTTACCAGCACTCAGCTTGGTTCTGCTCTCCTGTTCTGCTTGCCAGCTGTACTCCCTGCTGCCACCAGCTGTGATCTCACTCTGGACAAGGCTCTCAGGGTGGTATTCCTGTCTGACAGAAATAATACCAAAATCGTTGTTTAGTTCCTGCTCCTTCAGGACTTCGAGTCCTTCATGGCTTGTTCAATTTAGGTCTAAGCCAAAAATAGATTTACTACATGTAAGTAAGCAAAATTATGCTTAGAATAATTGCAATAGTTGGGAGTTTGGTTTCCTGTATTTGTGAGACCATCATTAACTGCTTTGACAAAAAGAAGAAGTTAATTAAAGATAATCAGTGCTACTGGTGATGATGATGATGATAGAGAAAAAATACTGAGCATATTGGAGGCAAATTATTTGACAACAGTCTGTACTAAAAAATGTACTAAGAATATTTCCTGACTGGCTGAGGAGAAAAAATCTTGGAGAAAGAAAATAGTGTTTTGTTTTCCTCCATAAAAACAGAGTAATTTCTGAGATGGTGTGCTGGTTTTATATTGGATGGCTGGCTGCCTGAGGTGTGGCCTGGAGGAAAGGAGGAAGGGGAACTGACACACACACACTGTAGTGTGAAACACAATGCATTATTTAGTTTAGACATTCCTTGGAGTATTTGGAAAGGAGAGCACTTTTGAGAATGCTGATTTCTAATTTTTGGAGTATTTGGAAAAGAGAGCACTTCTGAGAATGCTGATTTCTAGTTTTCAGGGTATTTGTAAAGGAGGGTGCTTCTGAGAATGCTGATTTCTCATTTTTGGCTGAGCAAAACACAAGGAAGGAAAGCACCTTCCAGGGTATGTCAGATGCCAGAGTTTCAGGGCAGGACCGTGGCAGGAGCAGCTGTGCTGAGCTCAGCCTCAGTGCCATGGTGCAGCTGCTGGGGGTGTTTGTGTGCGGATGAAGGGGTGAAATGTCCCAGTCACTGCTGCTCCTCATCATCCAGGGCACACCAAGGGGCAGCACACCACCCCACGTCACATCTGGTGGCACCAATTTTCTGTACCCCACCAGGGGAATGGCCAGAATGGAATGCAAACCATTCTGAGCCTTGCAGTCACAGGGAAAGTCAGACTGAATGTTTGGAATCTCTTCCACAGGAAATATTTTCCTGAGGAAGTCTGGGACTGGCATGGCAGGAACACACATGTGTCCCTGTACTGCTTCAAGCAAACATTTTGTTTTCATAGCTGTGACAAGCTCAGTGTGGAATCTTAACCTTCCTAAAGACTGAGATGCTTTCTGATTAATGTATTTAGCCTAACACCATTTGCATATCACTTGAAAGTGTATGTGGTCTTGAGACACTGAAATAATGATATTTTCATCACTATCATCTTGTTTTGGCAAGGAAGAATACCATATTTGAGATTTTTGATTTTATCATGTATTCATGAATACATCTTAGGCATAAATGCCCTAGACCTAAAGTCATTATTTTTCTTTTTGTTGGTTGGTTTTGTTGTTGTTCCATGGCTAGAAATCAGTCTGGCCAAGGTCTTGTGTTTAAAACAAGCAAATGTCCTGTATTCAACATTTCACACAAGTGGTAGTATGCAATGAATTTAAAGCAAATGCAAACATGTGTTAGGTTGATTTTCCCAAGAGTTAAAAATGTGAGAAAGAGCACATCAAAAATTATGATGTGCAACATTCTGGCTGTTTAATTTAAAAACACATTCCAAGCAAACTATTTTTAAGGAAAAGTAAACACAATAACTTCTCATAATGAAATGAAGCTCTTCCCTGGTTCTTCCAGTGTATTTGTGAAACAAAATGTAGAGCTCCTTGTTTTGGAAAGGAGAGAAAAAAAGCTACCCTAACCCTAATCATTTCCCAACAGAGACTGAAAAGCAGAATTACTGAGATACAGTTTCTAGATTTACTCACTTTATACAACAAGCAAAGGGAAGAGGAACAACAACAGCAAAATGTAAAAAGTCTGAAAAACCTTTGGAAAAGACAATAACCAGAGTTTCAGATATGGATGCAGGCAGAAGCAGGTTTTAATTATGCCATTGTTAGGAAAACTGCAGAAAGGTTTGTCAGGTTGCACTTCATTGTAGCCTTGTCTATCACCTTTTGTTGCCAGGCTCCAAAATGAGGTAGATAAGTGAAGTTTTTGCATAACAGTTGTAAAATATTGTCACTAAGCCACCCCCACACACCCATTTTATTTCACACTGACAAAAGCTGAGATGAATGAGTTGTCTGGCCCTTCCCACTGTGTATAGTCATTGGCTGGCTTGGTTCTAAAAGGGATTTTAAAAAGGGGAATAATGTGCCTTTGCCCAGGATCTGAGGCTGTCAGGGTGCTGAAAAGCTGATCTGTGACCATGCAGATCCCTTGGGCTGTGTGTGCTGTCTGTGTCCTGACACAAATCACATCTCACTCTGTGCAAGGGTGGCAGATGTTTAAAAATGATGCTACAGAAATCATTCCTGAGATCACTGAAAATACAGAAACACCAGTGGAACCGACTTTCAGCAACAACAACACCATGAATCAGGCAAAACATGGAGGAAGACACATACAACAAGCTCCAGACCTTAATGGTAAGAAAAATTATCATTATTACTGTTTTGGATCTTAACAGACAATTTGTAAAAGAATATTTGGTATCATCTATGTTTGTTTATTAACTTTAGGTGTGGCCCAGCTGCTTTAAGTGATAGATATTTACATCTACTGTTGAAGAAGTATGAATATAAACATTAGAAAGAATATATTGGAGTTTACTGATGCAAACATCCAAATGATGAACATTGCTACTCTGCCCAGACAACTCCAATGCATAAAACCTGTAGTAGATATTACTTAACACTTCTCTGTGTTTTGTGAGGAAATATCACAAGTTATCTCTCCCTCTTTAATATTAAGATGGGGGAATAGGTTGACAGTGGAGACAATAATATAAATTTCTAGTATTTAGGAACATCCACACCAATTGTGACTAGAATCACACACCAAAAGTGGCAGATTGAGGTTGTGTTCAGCTAAATGAGGGAAGTGTGCTGCTCATTGTCCTTTGCAAACAGACAGATCTTCAGCCAGGTTCCAGCAGCCAAAAATGCTTTGAGATACACTGTCACTTGACCAAGAGTCTAACTTTAGCAGTGATGCAAGACACCAGTCTTTTGAGGAGAGACAGAAGATTGAAAGCTAACACCAAACAGAGAAAGGTAGCTTTAAAAAAGTTCTCCACTGGAAAATAGGGCAGGCTTGGTCCTCCAGACACACAGCACAAAGCACAGAGCAACACAGGCACAGATAAAACTGAGAATTTCCTCTCTTGTGCATGGCAGATCTTAGCCCACCTCCTTTTTCTGGGGACAGCTGGAAGAAAATTGTGGATTTCTGCTGCAGCTGTCGTTAAGGCATTTAAAAGCATAGAGTTATCAGTATTTTAAAAGAAATTTAAAAAAGAAAAAAGTAATTCTTTTGAGAGTGTGACCTTCAAAGTTTCTCATATTCCTAAGAGGGGGAGCACTCTTGCTCCCAGGCAGCCCCACCAACCACCAGGTCAGAGCAGGCTGGTTTTCTTGTCGCATCTCAATACCTTCATTTTTTAGCCTCTTACTACTCTGACATAGCTGGGAACCTGCCCAGGTTTGTTTTTCAAATAAGTAAATATTTCAAATAAAACAGGTGCATATTTTTCAAAGTGGAAAGCACATTAACTTAAGAAATCAAAGACTGAAGGAGACTGGGCAGTTGTTTAAGATACACAATGGTTTTGTATACTTATGTTGGCATCTTTAGCATAAGGAATCAAAATTCTGATCCAAAGTGGCCAGACCTTTCTGGAACACATGACCAGACCACGAGTGACTTTGCACCTGCACACTCACAGGACAGGACATAAATGCAAATATCACCTATATAGCTGAGGCAAGTGCCTGGATATTTAACTGCCTGTGCATTATGGAGGTACAATAAACCTTATTCAACATATTTTTTAGTGACAGACAAACAGAATTTTCTTAGGGAACTTGGCAGTGTTAGACTGAAGTGCACGTGGAGTTCAGTTGCCACTATTTTTGTTACAGCTGGCAAAGGTTGCTTAATTTCATTAATGCAGTCCTTCAAACTTTTAAGAAATGAAATCATGCTAGCTGTACTTTGACAAATATAAATATACTTTAAGAAATATAAATCTGAGCACTGAAAGTCCTGTTTCTGCACTTCACAGGAAAACCAAAAATTAAAATGTCTGTACAAATACTGTTCTGTCACTAATGATTCAGGGTGAGAATTCCTTTTTGCTGAACTAAACCTTGTGCACCGTGAGGAGAATGGGCCTAACAGACACAGCCTTCTCTGTGAGCTGACCTTTGAAGGCTTCCACCACAAACAGTGTTCCTGAGTTAAATCTGTCCTTTTGACTAAAAACATTCATGTAGATGAATTACTAACATAGATTAATAACTTCTAGATGAAGTTATTTGATAAGCACTTAAAAATCAAATTTTGTGTCTTCCCAGCAAGTCAATTAACCAAGGATGTCATTTGGGAAGAGCCACTTTTGGGAAAAGTTATGCTCCTACAACTGGAAAGTTTCTAAACACTTAATGCTAAGAAATCTTGTCTTTTCTACTGCTTCATTTTCCTAGAGTTATCCATTGAGAAAAAGGAGAGGAAAAAATCTGTAAGGTTCTTAATAGCCAGAAGATTCCTCTAGCTCTCTCAGGGGAACTATGTGGAATTTCCACAGAGAACAGGAAACTTGGAAAAGCTGCTGCCTGAATAGTGGGAATTCCTTAGTGCTGTTGTTACCTGTGATTTCTGTAACCTGGAACACATCATGCAAGCTAAAAACCACTTTAGGAACACTTTTTTTTTGTTGTTGCAAAAGAATTTAAATCTGGAGTCAACATCTGAAGTCAATAGAGTTAAACTAGAGCACTGGGGGAAGGTGTTGCCCACAGGTAAATGGAGCCAGGAGAATATTGCCAAAAATTCCCAGCTGCTCTATTTCCCCCCCTGCACAGCAGTGACCTGAAATGTACCTGGTGGGTTTTATTCACCAATTTGCACATTGTTACTCAAAGATCTTATAACTGGAGTAGCTGAATAGTCAGGAGCTGTATGAATGAGCCTGTTGAGATATTTCTTCTGAAAATCTGCTGTTCAAGTCATTCAGCTCAGAGAGAGACCTGCTACAGGAACTGTTGTGGTTTGACACTGACCCAACACCAGGCACCCACAAAAGCCACTCACTAACCCTCCCCTGCACAGCTGGGCAGAGGAGAGAAAACTTTTTAAAAAATCTGTCCGATTATAGCATTTATGGTCTGGTAAGAGAGTGAGAGAAACTGAACTAGAGGTAGCTGGAGGTTTGGAGGTTTGAGATATGGACCAGGAGAAAAACACTCCAAAGGCAAAACAGGCTTGGCTTAGAAGTACAAAATGACTTTATTACTAACAGGATCAGAGGAGGGTAATGAGAAGTAAAATAAGCCCTTAGAAACACCTTTATTCCTTCAAAGTGCTCCTTCCCACCCACAGTGCAGTGTAGAGGGGTTGGTGGGTGCTTTCTCAGAGCTGGCAGGGAAAGAGCCTGGAAAGAAGGAAAAAACAGGAACAAAGGAAAGAACAGGAATGAAGGAAAGAGCGGGAATTAAAGGAAAGAACAGGAAAGAAGAAAAGAGCAAGAGAGAAAGCAAGAACAGGATTTAAGGCAAGCGCAGGAAAGAAGAAAAGAGCAGGAATTAAGGCAAGAACAGGAATTAAGGAAAGAGCAAGATTTAAGGCAGGAGCAGGAAAGAAGGTAAGAACAGGATTTAAGAGCGGGAACTAAGGCAAGAACAGTAAAGAAGGAAAGAACAGGAAAGAACAGGAATTTGGGAAAGAGCAGGATTTAAGGCAAGAACAGGATTTAGAGAAAGAACAGGATTTAGGGAAATAGCAGAATTTAAGGCAGGAACAGGAAGAAAGGGAGGAGCAGGAAAGAAGGAAAAAGCAGGATTTAGGGAAAGAACAGGAAAGAAGGCAAGAACAGGATTTAAGGAAAGAACAAGATTTAAGGCAGGAGCAGGAAAGGAGGAAAGAGCAGGATTCAAGAGTGGGAAATTAAGGAAAGAACAGGAATTAAGGCAAGAGCAGGATTTAAGGCAAGAACAGGATTTAGGGAAGGAACAGGATTTAAGGAAAGAGCAGGATATAGGGAAAGAGCAGCATGTAAAGCAGCAGGAGCAGGAAGGAAGGCAGAGCAGCATTTAAGGCAGGAGCAGGATTTAAGTCAAGAACAGGGTTTAAGGAAAGAGGAGGATTTAGGGAAAGAGCAGCGTTTAGGACAGGAGCAGGAGGAAGGCAGGGCAGGATTTAAGGAAGGAGCAGGATTTAGGGAAAGAGCAGCATTTCGGGTAGGAGCAGGAAGAAGGCAGGAGCAGGAGGAAGGCAGGAGCAGGATTTAAGGAAAGAGCAGGATTTAAGGCAGGAACAGCAGGAAGGCAGGAGCAGGATTTAAGGCAGGAGCAGGAGGAAGGCAGGGCAGGATTTTAGGCAGGAGCAGGAGGGAGGCAGGGCAGGATTTAGGGAAAGAGCAGCATTTCGGGCCGGAGCAGGAGGAAGGCAGGGCAGGATTTAGCGCAGGAGCAGGAGGAAGGCAGGGCAGGAATTTAGGCAGGAGCAGGAGGAAGGCAGGGCAGGATTTTAGGCAGGAGCAGGAGGAAGGCAGGGCAGAACTAACGCTCCCTGTTCTCCCTGTTCGCAGATGCCGCCTTCAGCTGCCGGGAGGTGCGCACCACGCGGTTCCTGACGGACGGGCCGTGCCGCAGCCTGAAGCCGGTGAAGGAGCTGCTGTGCTCGGGCCAGTGCGAGCCCTCGCACCTCCTGCCCAACTCCATCGGCCGCGGCAAGTGGTGGCGGCAGGGCGCGCTGGATTTCCGCTGCATCCCCGCGCACAGCCGCACCCAGCGCGTCCCCATGGCCTGTCCGCAGCAGGAGACGCGGACTTACAAATTCCGAGCGGCCACGTCCTGCAAGTGCAAGCGCTACACCCGCTACCACAACCAGTCCGAGCTCAAGGACTTCGGCAAGGAGAGCGCCCGGCCCCAGAAGAACAAGAAGCCGCATCTCGGCCGAGCCAGGAGCGGCAAATCCAACCAGCCCGAGCTGGAAAACGCTTATTAGCGGCTGGCTCGGACACGGACTGCGGCTCCGGATGGTTTCGGAACCGTCCAAAGGCTCTCAGAGGCCACAGCGCGATGTTCTGACTGCAGTAGGTTCCAGTTCCTTCTGCTAAGCTGGGTCAAAGGCTCACATAGGCAAAAATCGATCGGATTGTAGCACTTCTGGTCTGATAAGAGAATGAGACAAAGGCAGCTGGAGGCACCCCTTGAGGTCCGTGGCAGTTTGTTCGTGTGTCCTGCACCAGGAGGAAGGCAGAGGAGAGTGAAGCTGTTGTGGGGACAATCACGCTTTGCTAGGAATCGTTCCGCTCTCTTGATGTGAAAAGAATATTGAGATCCCTTTCCAGGACAAGGATGCAGGGTCAGCACTCTCTGAAGGAGCCCTAAAAGTTTGGGGTAGCAGGGATTTCAAGTTGTGGTGAATGAAGTCAAATTGTTGGGAAATTAACACACTATCAGATGTCCTCATGCACCAGGTGTTTCCTCTCAAACACAGAAATCAAAATATTACACTGGTGTTCTCAAAAGAGAAGTATTTCATGCTAATCCATTTCATACTTTCTACAAATCTATTTCATACTTTTAATAAAAAGATTATGGGGTCGACAAATTCAAAACTGATATTTGGCTACTAAAACCATATTGATTTAAGAACAATGATTTGTTTTAGGGACAATTCAACAAATCCTCCTAAGTGGAGTAGATTTATGAAAAAAGATGCTCCTCTCAAACCAGATAACCTCACTGATGTTTGTCCTGTAAACAGCTAACATTATACATAGTTTAACATAGAATATACTGATTATTCCTTATTTCCTAGAACATGTTTGACTTTAATATCAGCTTAGATACATCCATTTACATTTTCTGTTCTGTAGAGTTTGGAGTATCTGGCCACACTCTGTAGCACTAAAACTGTGCAAGCCAAGCTCTGTCAGTAAGGTGGTGGTTCTGCATTAAAAGTGAGCCTCTGCTAAGTCATGAATTCCTCTAGAAAAATCTTTAGGATTTGCAGCTTTGATAAGTCTTTAGTTTGGCAGCAACTTTCCTTTACTTAGCTTCTCAACACTCAGACTAATGTTTGTGTTTTTACATTAAAGGATATTGTTAGAAAGTTAATTGTCACATACTGTATACGTCCTGTAGAATTTATGCTGAAATAATATAAACTGTGGAAATTTGAAATGTTGATAGATTTTTCAGTTATTTTATGTGGGACCAGAACCTAGAGAGAAAAGGTATCATTTCAGAGAGTGAATTACGTATTTATTTTTTTTCCAGAAAATTATTTATGCAATGTTTTAACTTGTAGAGAACAAGAAGTAATACTGCTTTAAAAATATTTGTCTGTTATTTTTAATTTTAAATACATTGTTAATAAAGTAGAAACAATAATTAATTATAGAAAGACTCATTGTTTTTCAGTTACAGTATAAAGCTGATTTCCTGCAAAGCCAGGGATTTACAGAACAGTGAGGGTGTCAAGTCCAGTTTCTGTGATCAAAAGTGTTGAGATCCTTAATTCTACCAACCTACACATCCCTAAAGAACCTCCATCCTGGACCTCCTTGCTCTGGTACAGGAAGTTTCTCATGGAAAAGTTCTTCCTGGGCAGATGAGTAGCTCAGAATTATTTCCATATTCTCGTTTCTGCTTCCCCCAGACATTTCCTGATTTGTGTGTTCTAACAAGTGGATAAAGCCACCAAAGAAAACAATAAATATGTGAACTGCCAGTCAAGAATTCTTGGTTGAAATCTGATTGCTTCAGATTTCTTTCATGGAAAACAAATAAGAAAAACGGTGTGTAATCCTCTTACAAGGACTATCAAGCAACAGTTAAAAGTTTTTACAGTTTGATATTGTAGACCTATGCTCATTTTCATTTAATCTTTAAGAAACATTTTCCAGTAAAGTCAGAGAAAACTGAGCTTGGGCTGCACATGCAGGTCTTTCAATGCAGATGTGAAGATGAGCAGCTTTTTCAAGACAACCAGTATATAAGTTGTCTTTTTCTTACTATGACTTGATACATCACATAAAAACCCAAAATAAATCATTGTCACAACTGCAGCAACATTTTCCAAATTTATCTTTGCTTTCATGAATTTGACACTTGAGGCTCGATTTTAAGCATTCAGTATGAGCACTGCAAGCAGTGCTGAAGTGAGAAAAGCAGCTCAGCTCTCTGGAAAGCTGCTCCACAGTCTCTCAAGCATCTAAAGTCAATGAAATATTGGGTTTTAAATATTGATTCTGATCAGCCAGTGAAAGAGACTTGCTCCACTTCATCTCAGACCCCAGCCTGGGTTTCAGGTAATTCAGAAGCATCAGGCCTGCTTCAGGTGAACCAGGAATGCCTTTCTCCCAAATATTTCACCTAGAAGAGGTCCTCTTACCCCAAAAATCATGTCCCATACAGTTCTTGTCTGCAAAAGTGTCAGTGTTTCCTGCTGTTAAACTCAGAATCTTGCATTTTCCTGACTCACAATGTCAGGATTCATTCTTTACAAGTCATAAAAGCTTTTACAAGGATCCCAGTGGGTGAAGAGTCCTTTTATGCTGTATTTCCTCTCAACACCCGTCCTGTTTGCAGTGACTTCTCACTGCTTTGAGCACAGGTTAAAGGTGGATGAGATGAGCAGGCTGCAGGTATGACTGGCCTTCTGTAATCTTTCTCCTGAAACAGTCACCCCAGTCACCACCACTTTTGCAATTTATATTATCAGGAGAGGAACAGGAAATAGTGTTTTGTTGACAGCTAGAAAAATCAAAATATAGGATGTTTCAGAGATAGACTGCTACATTCTCCTCCACCACCACATCCATGTGGGTTCTTTCAGACAGAGAATTTGGGTTTGTTTATTTATTTAATTTTGCAATCACCCTCTATTTTTTAACCTCTAATATAGGTGTGCATAATCTGAGAGGAGAAAGCATCTCTAAGGATGGGTTTGAGAAAGTATCTGTAGGAAATTTGAGTTTCCCTTTTACACAAAATTATATACTTCCAGTTCTTTTCAAAGAATGGACAGTGATCTGCTGGGTGCTCCTTCTACAAAGGCAGACTAGATTGGATTATTAAATTAGATCGTTTGTCTTTGGAATTGTAAATTCTTCAAAAGAGAGTGAACGTCCTCATTGTCATTTTTGCAATAAAATAGCACAATTTTGCATTGTTTAGGTGCTGCTGAGGTATCAGTAGGAACAGGTCACTGCTTTTACCCTCCCTTGGCTGGTGGCAGCTGCCCAGAACTGGGCAATGCCACGATGAGCAGTCCTCAGAAAAGCAATCAAGTCACTTTTTTTCAGACAGAATCCATGATTTCTCCAAATCTGCTTTTCCACCCCATTTTCATTTCCAACAATTTGTGCAGACTGTGGCAGATTCTCTACAATACACTCAGTGGCTTAAAATAGTCACTGTGCTCACTTCATTCCTTTTCCTGGCAAAAATAGAATTATGCTGTAATTCAGTGAAAAGTAAATCTACCAGCATAAGAAGGATCCTGCTGGTATCCACAAGGCCCCAAAGATTTGCACAAGGTTCATATTTTTAATTAGAAATTGCACAATAAAGAGCATAACTTTATCCAGTGAGCTCCTAGGCCCAGAAAACCCAGCACATGTGTGTTCTGCAAGTGTGGTTGAGAAAATCAGCATTGTGAAATACAGAAGGCATAAACATGTATTTTTTTAGCCATATGACATCAACTTATAATTAGCTTGTTTCACTCAAATTAGTGCAGCATATGGGCACACAGAACAACTTTTCTATAATAAACAGCCTGAAAAAACTTAAACTATCATACAACATATTTATATGTAGCTGGAGTTTGGATTGAACATGCTGTGCAGCTGGAACCTGAAATTTGATCTGGAACTCCCCTTGATGGGCCAGTAATGGAAGTCCACTTCTAAAATAACTCAGCATTTAAAATAAAGCCAGCCCAAATTGCAGAACTTGCAGCACATGCAGCCAAATGTCATTTAGTTCCACAAAACACTGCAGCTGCTCCCTGCAGTCCTAGAGCCACCAAAGGAAAATTCAACTCCAAGTTTTTTCAAGGCATTGACATTTTTCTTCCTTGTGGAAACAGATTTTAACACTGCATGCTAGAGAGCCAAGCAGCAGAGCCCCATGGACAAGGCTCATGATGCCTTGTTGCCATTTCATTGCATTGGGAATATGGGGCTTTGCTGTATTTTTTCTATTATTCACCAAAATGAATTTTACTCTGGGTGGAGTATTACAAACAGTCTCAAGACCAAAGGGAGGAAGTAATACTGATTTTTCTGTCTCTGTTAAGCATTTCTGATGCTGCACCCTGATCTGGTTGTTTCTTTTAATCCTAAAAGCTTTCACTGTTCTTCCATGAGAGCAAGTTCTTACTGTAAAAAGAGGATAATAAAATGAATCAGTAAAACCTGAATAGAGGTAAAGATCATCAGCACATGCCCTGCTAATTCTGAAATGTAACAAACACAAAGAGCACCTTTAAAACACCTCATCTTTACCACATTACAGTGGTAATGTGTATTTACAGATAAATTGAACGCTTCCAGGATGGGGCAGCCACAGCTTCTCTGAGCAACCTGTCCCAGTGCCTCACCACCCTCACAGTAAAGAATTTCTTCCTAAAATCTGAGCCTCTCCCACTTTAAAACCATTGCCCCTGGCTCTCTGATGCAGAGGCCTGTCCATGTATCTTCTAGACCCTATTTAGGTGTTGGAAGTCTGCTCTAAGTTCTTCTGGAGCCATAAAAATCCGTTTTAGCCCTCCCAGGTGAGTGTGTGATGTGAATTTTTTTTTTTTTTCCCCCATATTGGCCACTTAGATTACAGCTGATTCCAGTGGGCCTGTGGTGACACTTGGGAACTCACACTTCAGGTGGAAATGGTGAATTTTCTGATGAAGAAAGAACACATTGCTCTGTTCTTGGTGTCTAGAAGGGTAATATCATTTTCATCTCAAAGGGGAGTAGCCCCAAGTCCTTGACTGAGTCCTGAGTCCCAAATCCGTGAGTTACAAACCCAAAGCCATGCATCTCCCCACTGAAACTCCCACCCCAGGATATTTGGAGCATTAACCCTAAGGCTCAAGCTTTCTAGTTCATGGCTTTCCAGGCAAATTAAATATACTCTCAAACCAAGCAATAACAGAGTATTTATTTCATGGTTATCAAGCTCCTAAATTAAACAATCATTATCACTCCCCCAACAATTTAATGCTTGCAGCATGAGGTTATTTCAATTAAGAAAACAGCTCAGCTCTGGCTAAATAAATAAGTGATGTCATTCTTCATTCAGACCTCCAGATTCTTTGGTGTAAAAATTTCCCTTAGGAGAGGTTTTGGGACACGGTGGCTCCTCTGAGACTATTTACATCTCTCAATTTCTCTAATCTCTTCTTCCTTCCTTCCTCCTGTCTATTTCCTTCCCTTTCACTATAAACTGGCCAGTATTTAACTCTAATGCTTCCAGTCTGCCCAACATGCTTTTAGAATTGGGTGGTTGTTGGTTTGTTGTTTTGTTGGTTATAAAAAAAACAGAAATAAGGTTTAATTTAAGGTAATTACTTCCCCATTTGGAGAGTTCTGCTATTTGCAGGGCCTTATTTTTTTTCCCCTAGTCAAATTAGCAGGAGAAGTTAGTTTTAAAAGTGATAGTTTTCTCCTAAAATTGTTCTTTGGATTAAGGGTAGAGCTCAAAACCAGAAACTTCTCACTCATGTTGAATTTCTGCATGTCTAGAAACAAAAGTGGTGCTATCAGGAAATTATTGAGGGGAGGAAGAGGACAAACAATGACATAGACTTCCAATGAAAATATGCATTTAAGCTGATCACCAATTAGTGATGGGCTTCCAAATAAATTAATCTTTAAATCAGAGGTGTCCAGAGCCCTCCTTGGAGTCAAAAATGGGCCCATTGGAAAAGATACTTTTCTCTAGGAGTAGGGGTCTTTTTCAGTTATAATCTCTAACATGGCATTGAGAACTCACAGTGAGTTCAAGGATTAAACTTGCACTTTGTGGAAATAAAAGTGTTAATAAATGTGAATATTCAGTGGAGCATTGTCCACTGGTAGGAGTAAGGGAACAGGACATCCTTAGTGGGAAAATGGGCATAATTTCAGAATCCAAGCATCACACCCTCAGACAGATCCCTTTCTTCTGTTTGGGGTGCTGTCTGCATAACCTGTAAGGATTTTAACCAGTCCTTCATTATTTTGGGGGGCTGGAACCCCAAAGGGACCAAGTCTGAGCTGGCAGTTTGCATGTGAGCACCAAACCCAGCCCACATCCAATTTCCTTTGAAGCCACTCAAATCTGCAATTCTGCTTTGGTCAGCAGTGCCATCGCCCTGTTTTTCCTGAAAAACACCACTATTATCTTGAA